GAGTAATCTATTTACCGCGTTTATTATGTGTATAAAACCGAGTCAACCGGGACGTCCCGGCCAAAGCCATCAGATAACCCAAGAATTCTCTTTTTTTAATATAATAATGTAACTTCTACTAGTTCATCAGGTTTTCCGTCGCACGAAAAAGAAGGGGAAAAACGTTTATCATACTCTTAATAGGTGCATAACATTATATAGTGTTTTAGGGTAGAAACAAGACCAATTCCAATTAGGTGTCTGTAAATTGACCGTTGGGTGATTTGTTGCGATCGATATTTTATAGATAGAAAAGCGGCGGCGAAAGAGTATGTGTGCGGCTGTACGCGCGGAAGGCGTAGCTGACGGTTAAGATGGCAGTCGCGTTGAACTGCATAGACACACACAATATACATATATAGTTGGAAATCGATTAAGAAAAGACTCCTCCCAACTGAATTGCAGTGTACTGTCGTGAGCATATAAATACCGGTTTTCGGACTGAACCCAGGTCCGATCAATCACGAGCTTTCCGAATAATTGATGTCCTCCATATAATTGTACTATACACACCGTGGCTGAAATACAATATTATAATACTTATTATAAAAATGGGGAAAGAGGGAGAAAAGTAATATTATAGTTTGGTGACATCATTACATGTACGTAAGATGAAACAATGAAAATAATAGTAAAATTAGTCATTTTTGCACATTCGTTGATTGTCCAAAATTATTTTCATTGTTTTAAAAAGTTTGTTTTTTTAAATACTTGAAAATTGTTTGGTCTAGGATTTTTTTCTGGACAATTTTACCTTCACTCGGGGAAACGATCATCTCTGAAAATACAACGACAGCGGTCAACGCTATTTCCTTTTAATTTTTTTTTTATGAGTCCATTGGCCGTAGGTAATGCATCTTTTATTGGCCAACATAGATTATACCACTGGCAATAAACCCCTTTCGCGTCGTCCCGTGTACATGTATATACGGTTCCATTAAATAGTTATATTAATATGTATTATTATTTTCCCATACCTACTACCTATGTATGCGTATAATATAATTTATATTATTCGGCGCGGACAAATCGATGTAATTTGCCGCGCAGTCTTAAACGACCGCCTCGCCGGCACAGCTAGAGTGTTTTTTTTTTATCGATGATTGCTTTTTTAAAAAAACAATATGCAAGTTTACGATTAGTATGGTGACCGCAGGGGGAGCCGATGTTTGGCGGTCACTGTTCATTTTTAACCCTTTCTCAGCTACTATTGATCTTGGGCCTGTATACCATAATAATTGAAACTCCGGGTCGTGTGGCGACGATTGCAGAAATTACAGCTATAACAAAGCGCGTCCGATCGCATACCGCTATCGCTGCACAGGTATACATACAGCTCTGATAACCATCTGGTTGCGCGGTTTGCATAATGTAATCCGCGAGTATAATGGAACGAAGAGCCCGCGATCGAGACCGATAAATTATATATTATTCGGGGGTCGAGCGACGATTAATTCGTGCGAGGTAAAAAACTGCAACTGGTGCGATGCGGACGTGGTCAAACACAGAATTGGGTCTAAAAAGAGCCAAACGCATCGTTTAATCCAAACGGGTTGAAAAATGAATTGCAAATTGTGTAAGGTATAGAATTTTTTTTCATGTTATTACTTTTGTTTGGCTCAAAACCTTCTGTCTGGACTCTAGAGTATATAGCTATTACATAAGTTCAAAAATGTCAAAACACGTGAACTTTAAACCCACCGAATTCGATTTAGTCGTATTATACTAAACAAAAAACCTGCTGAAATAGTTCACAGGCGTTAGAAAAAAATTATGTTGGCAAGCTGTTCTCGTAACTACCTAACCTCACTTCCACCCCCCCCCCCCCCCGGGAATCGGATACCTCGATGAAATTCGAATACTGACTCGAGTACGTCGTTTACCAAGTATAGAATGTAGATATATGAAAATATAACGATACCGACCGAAATAATTGAATTGATATCGAGAACTGAGGCCATTTGTTTTTAGCTGTCTCGGCCAGCGCCGAAGTCCGCATACCGGAAAAACCTACGAATGTGTCGTTAACCTCTTGTCGTCTGAATAATATACTTAAGTCATTACGCGCGTAACGCGATATCGTGCACGTTGTTGTTTCTTCTAATTTTTTATTGTTATAATATACTGGAAAACTGGTAGGTAGATTTCGCGGCCTTATGCGCTGATAAAATTATATAAATGCTGCGGAGAATCCGGTATTGCTTTTTTTTTTTACCGTCCGAATCATTCGTAAATGTAACTCATAACTCACGAGCTTCTTTTTTGCACCTTCGTACCCGTTCGATAGTGGTGACTGGTGGTACATGTCAAAACGTAACAAATTATTATGTATAATATATCTAAAGCCGCCGCTGACCGCATGATTAAAGGAACGACCATTTACCGTCTGCCGGTGTACCGTCGGCCTCCGCCACTGACACCTCTATCGTATAATTTGTCATTATATTTGTGCGAAGAAAATGCAACAAATTCACCCTGAAGTATTATTTCCAACTAGTTGGATCTTTTCGGTGCATACCAATTGCCTTCCATCTCCAAGTAATCGCCAAAATTATATACTATACTCTGTTCCAAAAGAGAATATAATATAGTTGTCTCCGAAACATTATCCAAATTGCCTTCGGTGACCTTCGTGTTTTACCTGGCACATGGGAGACAACTCGTAGTTAATGGCACTAATAATTACGTTAAAAAATGGAAGTAATTCGTATGCGCCCGATTTTTGCATAATTTGAAATTCTTACTTATTTGGTCCTTGGCCGTCTTCGATCATTTATTCCGTCATATATGTAGGTATTGCTATTTTTTTTTTAATACAATATTGTGTTGAAAAAGCGGATTTAGTATTCAAGTATCTTGCCTTTATAAGACGTCTTCAAAAGTACAGGGATATCTAATATTTATCTACTACTTTTGTTGCTGCTATGTTTTCGGTTTATGTGTGTATATTATGTCGCTGTCATAGTATAATCTATTTTAAATAATAGAAAAAATTAAGCTCCGCAGATAACCCCCCCCCCCCTCTTGAATTCCAATTGAGTCAGGTACAGTACAGTACAGTATAGTCTTTAGTCCAATCCAACATGACCCCAAATCCCAATGTAGTATTAGCTGATCATTAAAATAGTTGTCTAACACGCCGCGCCATCTGCGTCGCAAATCGTTTTGGTCATCAGCGCTGTACATTTTCTATCGGTTATTTTTCACGCGCTTACAAATGAATAAACCGTGTCACTCGCAAAGTATTACTTGATTTCTCGTAATAAGAAGTTTGTGTATATGCCGAAGGATTCTCAGAAAACGTTCTACAATTTAGTTTATTGGCTCGTATATATTATTATTATTATTATTATACAATATACCTACCCACATAGCTGTAAAAGACGTTTAACCCATTCGCTGTAATTAATTCGTGTAACATCGTGTACTATAAATATAATATAGTATATACTCTGTTCCACGAAAGTCAAATTCCTGCGCAGAAACCAAAACGTGTTACTCTTGGGTATGCACTATGTGAGCAAGCGCATCGTTAGTTTTTGTGCAAGCATGGTCGCTCGTAGAATAGAGTATAGTACTTATACAGGCATACATAAGTGCGTACAGTGGGCTTACCCGTCATACTATCCTGTTAACACGTGTTGGTTAGGATAGACTGGAACTCTTATAAGTATTGGTATATCTACCAATAAGATCCCGTATAGAAGGTCCTCACGTTGTGTTAGCAACACAGGAAATACCAAAAATAAATAAATTATAAGAAAGTAACGTATTGTAAAGATCAGTAAACCTGTTAAACGATCATTTGGAAGAATCATGCTTGAAAAGTGGTGTCAGTTCTGCATAGGAATTCTCAAAGGGATGTCACTAGATTTGCCCGTACCATGGCATTCAGTGTATATTGCATCATTGTCAGCTCTTTATGGGTGCTCGGCTTGAGACTTAAGTACTGAAGGATTCGTAATTGGCATACACATTTCCGCATTACAACCGGAAAGCCATTCATTGGGCCGGCACAGTTATCGCATCGTTCAATCTCCTCCGGTGGTGGTAGCCATTGTCGATGAATTGAATTTATGATCTTGCACGTCAACTGACGACGGGTCGTTCACCGGTCGCCAACGAAGGTTGTCACATATTTTCGGGTTGTTTTTATAGTTTGTACTTTTCTACCGTCGCCATCCATTCACGCCTAACCCGTTGTAGTGCCTAGGGTCATTCACAGGCACGGCATACGCACATTATCGAATAATCTTACAAATTATTATCACATATAGTCTCACGGATATGTATAAAAAAACAACATTTAGTATAATAATTATTGTAATATTATCGCGTCCGTATGAGACGATATCGCTGTACGCGGACACGTCGGAATTGTTTGTTAAATTATATGTTTTTTTTTTGTCGGGTCGTTAAATAACCCACCGCGTTTAAATTCTCGCCCATGCAGAATTATTGGAATTTGTATTTTATTTTATTTTTTATACCCAATCGAATGTAAAATAAATATTCAACTTATTTTACTATTTTTCTCTCGTCTGGAAGCGCAGGGCGAGGCTAATAACGTATAGCCTGCACACACGGTGCCCACTCCACTAACGGCCGACGTTTATGGGATGATAATATTTTGAAATCGTTATTGGCAGCTGTCGCTGGCGATATAACCGGCACGATATACCCATTGGCATTGGCAGGAACCTGTCAAGTCCGATTTCAAGTCGGGCGAAAAACGAGAATGCGTGTTTTATTATGGATCGTTAAAAGGGTTGTCTGAGATAACTTGTCTCGGCAGTGGTAACTAAATAGCAATCAAAAGACCAAAAGGAAATCAATTATTATTTTTCCGCGTAACACCGCGTTCTATTTGTCTGTGTCAACATATTATATTATTATGATGGCTTACTCCGTCGTATTATGTTATACACGATACTTAACGTAACCGCTTTGTATGATTTCAGGTGTCCGCCTCGGATCCGGATTGCGGTGTCAACTCGATGGTGAACTTCACGTTGTCTGAAAACAGTGGTCCGTTTTCTATTAGATCCACGACGGGCGAAATTTGCCTGACTGGGCCTTTAGATTTTGAGACCAGAAGACTTTACGAGTTCCCGGTGGTGGCCACAGACAGAGGTAAGACTAAACCATAGTATTAGCTTCAATTATTCAATGGAATTTGTCAGCTAAATATGCCAGTTAAGGTGTAGTACTGCTGTCAGTAACTCGACCGCATTATCCAGTACTCACGCAGTATATTTTTCGCCTGTTGTAAAATTCTAAATATTGCAGATGGAGGAATCAATTAACGTCTGACAGGATGTCGAACGGCGCGGTTGTTTTTTTAAATCAAAATATTTTCAACGCTGCTCCCTATGGTATATGCGATTGTATAATGTTTGTGCCAGTATTATAATAACAACTGACAATAATTGAAATTGCTATTCTTTTATTTTTTCCATTCCGATTTTGGCGAAACGGAATTATTTACACTAATTATTACTGAAGCCGGTATTGTTGTTGTTGTTATTATTATATTCGCACCATATGTCTTCGATATGATGCGGTTATAAAAAAAATCCCACGTGGCCGTTTTGTACGGCCGTCTATAAATCAAGACCCATTGCGCGCGCGCGTAAACCGGTTGACCAGCAGACACATCCGATGCTTATCAGGCCACTCGAACCGGACAAGTAAGAAAGCACCTTGGAGCGGGTCCGTTGAAATCTATCCGGCGGGCTGCTTGCCCTGTATCTCGGCTTCATCTTCCCGCGGCCACCTGCTGCTGCTGCTGCTGTTGGCCGTGCTGCTCATCCCTTGTCTTTCAACACATCTCCTCCTCTTATCGGGTTATTGCCGCTTTTCATCGGCTACACATAGCTATGTTATAGTAATAACAATATTGGAAGCGTGCCGTGTCGTCCGACGCACCATTCCCCGGCCCGCCACTGGTGACGATTTGTTTCCATATATAAATACCTAAACAATACAAAATACCGCTACAATATTAACGCGCATCGTGATATATTACCCACTATACAACCCACGGCGGTCGACCCGCGGCTGTCAATACAATTTAATATAATATTGGTATGATTTTCATCGCGTTAATTTTGTGTATTTATCTTCGCAGGTGGCTTAAGCACTAGTGCCGTAGTCAAAGTGGATGTTCTAGACGTCAACGACAACTGGCCGGTGTTTTCACCTTCCGAATACAACGTTTCCGTCGTATGGAGTGCCAGCAATCAGGGTCCGATCGTGGCCGTCCGCGCCAAAGACTTGGACTCCGGTCCGTTCGGCATCGTCTCTTATTACATGATATCGGCCAAAGGTAAGTTAAACGACCGACAACATGATCTGTTAAATATGGATCTGAAAGCTACTGAACTTGTTATAATATGCCCGAATTGCCAAAGGGGATGTCCAGATATTATGTGCAAATTACTGCTTACCTACCCTCACCGCCTAGGGTATATGTCATCGATATTACATATTATGATTCTTACATTATATAACAACCGTCAATGTCACAGGATGCGATTCGCGGTCATTATAATATTTTATATCGTGTCGACAAATCGGACGCGTAGGCGTTTGGCAGCGACACCGCGAATAAGGTCCTTTCACCTCGATGTTAGTTATATTGAAAAGTTTTATAAAGGAAGCCATCGATCAACAGCTATTATAGCGCAACTTATTACACCCACGCAAAAATAAGTGCAAGCAATGTTTGCGAAAATGTACCTATATATATAGATTTATATGATTTCCTTCCATACCTCACCTAACCTTATGTAGAATACTTAATACGTTAAACCATTGTCGTTGTCGTTAAAAGTGTTACAATAATACTCTAATGTCACTTGACTCTTCTTCTTTTTTTTACTCGAGTTTTGTGGTCACCGTAGACGCTTATTGTTTCGTCGCATGTACAATATATTATATTATGTCATTTATTGTTTAAACGAAAAACGTATTGTCCGTGGTGGTATTAGGTTTCTGTTTTGATTTGACCCCAACATTAGACAACATATGAATTAAACGACCAGTCTCCGCTGCAGCTACATGATGATATATTTTCTCGTATAATGACCAACATTAATGGAATCTTTTTTTGCAGGACCCGACAGCGAAGACTCGGAAACTTCATTTAGGTTAGATGGCAACACAGGCGAAATTTGGGCTGCACAACTCCGCACCGGTGTCTACAGACTGCTGGTAGCGGCCAGGGACGGTAGTGGATACGAAGCAGCCCAAGTTGCCCGAGTCCGAATCCAAGTGCTGGCGGCAGACTCTGCCAAATCTTACGCTGTGTTCGTCCGGTCTCAGTACACGTTCACCGTGCCCGAAGATGCGGCCATAGGAACCACTGTGGGTGCAGTCACCGTGTCTTCCCATCAATCAGGTATTTATGCTGTATGAGAGTCTATACAAATATCCATAGACATAAGTATAGTAAACTATGTCTGAATGGGAAATGTTTTCTATACTAATCCTACTATATTTTTTGCTTATATCAAAACTTCAATTAGAGTTAGGTTTAGATATTGTTAATATTGGGTCACTTTTTTTTTACATTTATTAACTGGGAATTTTTTATAGAAAACATTTTGTATGAGGACGTTAAATGTTACTCCGATGTCCGTTTTAAAATAAGAAACCCCGTTCCAGTTAGGCTATTGTGTGAAAACGAGGAGAGTATGGAATAATGTAAATGGGAAGTATTCGTAGTGTCATATGTGTGTACGTAGGATACCCCCGGTCGACTGACCTTCACGGCCCACGAAGGGTTTCGTAGCTGGACCGTGCAAATGTTTGCAGATTCTTTCGTGCGTGCAAATAGACACGTCTATTGCATATATTATAATGTATATTATATATTATTGTATGTATGACAACATGTTTATCTGTGGGTAAAATAACATCCGCGGGAGCTAAACGGGTGACACGATACTGTTAGTATAAAAAGCGCGCATGAATAAATGTGCGGCGCACCGGCGGAGAATGTGCACCTAAGGATGAAGTATACCGGCCAAAGTCGTGAAGTGTACCGTGCTTGTAATACGTCTTTATTTCATACAATCACGATTTGCAGTTCGGGGGCCAGAGGGGGTGAGTTACAATAATAATAATATATGTGCAGCTGAACGTTGCGTGCGCCCATATCATCCTCCCCATCGTATGTAGGCATATCTAACGTCTCTGTTTACAAGTCGTGCAACTACAATCGTAGTGTTGTTTAGCGACAGTAAAGAAAATTCGGTGGCCGATGTGTTTCAGTCATCACGACCTCTCATTAGAGCCGCGAGAAGACAAAACGCACGGGGTCGCGCAGCTACCGTCGGTACACTAGCCTTTCCTGTTTAGCATATTATTCACTTTGCTTTTATTTCTAATCACGGCCGGGTCGATGGTCGTCGTACTCGATTTCCTGTCGGGTTTATTTACACGGCAGTCCGACATCGCATCGCCTCCCCCGGGCGAGAGATCTTCTCCTTTTGTCCGCGGTGCGGTATAGAACGAGAGGGGAAAAAGCCATCAGTCCACGGCATCACGAAATGTGACTGTACTATCTATCGCCGCACTGTGATGTACATATACCTATACAATATATACATACACCTGGAACATAAACAACCGCAATTTATGTCCGTTTACTTATCTCTGACCGACTCGAGTTATTTATCGTTTCAACCGGACCCGACGCGGCGCGGATGCGGACGAATTTCTCACATTTATTAATATTTTATTCAAATGAAACAACGTGCAACGTCGCACGAAATTTATATTATGTTCTTGTAAATTAATTTACGAGACCACGCAACACAATGAACGGGCCGAACGAATGGCAAAAATAATAAGTCATATTTTGGCGACGGCGGGACTCCCGAAAAAACACTTATACACGACACCTCCTTATAAAAATATAATGTACACCCATAACAGGCCGTCGCCTTGTCGCCCGGTGTATGAGTTAGGGCGTTTGGTAACGGAACACGGTTATAGAAAATGTGACATTTTGGATTTATGCAGATTTTTTGCGCTTTTCGTGTATACGCCCAATATATATTCTACGAAAATCGCCCGTTGTCATTTTCGACCTAACCAGCTACTGTAGGTATATTTATGCATATATATATATTTTTTTTTAAATTAAACGTTTGCCTCCCCTTAGAGATAACTCCTGTACGCGACCAACCGATATTCACGATACGTTGATTGATATCCGTCGAGGAAGAATAACCGGTTTAGCAAAAATAATGCAACAGTAGTGTTTCTTGCCGCCCTACTCTTGGTTGAAAAAAACACAGTTCTTTAAAATAAAAAACCAATCGGTAAAAAATCAAATTAGGCCATACGACAAAATAATAGTATGTGTTGAATCCAAACCGTGTTATGGGGTTTTCAATTAGCTGACTAAACCGTATTATTATCTCTTACGTAATAATAATAATGTAACAATTTATTTTTGTTTTAGACGTAGAAGTTCCCGAATCCGTGACTTATGCGATTCATTCGGATGAGGCGGACGGGTATTTCGCAATAGACCCTGTGAAAGGAACGATCAAGACGACGGCGGCGTTGGACCACGAATCGTTCAAAACGGTTCTGCTCAACGTCAAAGCCTACTCGGAGACCAACAAATATTATGGCGCACACACCCAAGTAAGTAAATCTCAATAACCTTTTGTTGTCCGCATTCCGAGCACTTGTATAATAATATGCGATAGCCGTTTCATGTGTATTTTTCTACCTCTTTCATAAACCTCCTCCCGCTCGGGTTTCTCCTCGGATCAACGCACACCACTGACGTTTAACAAGAACACGGGATCGCTGAAGTTGTAAAAAACCGTTTAATTACCGGCCCTGCGTGCCTTGTGGGGACGTTTATGAGTTTGTGTTGACTTAATGGTCTGCGTGCGGACCTCTATATATTCAACTTAAACACACTGCCAGCAATAAAACAAATCCCACTTCGACTGGACGTGCATATACGACGTTAAAGTCGCACACGGTCAGCATTATCGATAGTAATACCGACGATTTAAGTGTATAATATACCGCTCTACGATGCCGAGAAACGGACTGTGTAATATTTTTTGTACACAGTGCACACTATACATAATCTTTTAATATACTTTGATTTTATTGACGTTTTTAACTACTTTTTTTTTTAACTAATCGTTTGAACTTCTAACCTAACCTATAATCGAGCTTTCTTTATTATTTTTATTGTTACAAGACGCATGACTGTATTATAAAATAGATTTGAACTATACTATAAATATTTCTCTCCAGAAAAATACTATTGTGGGACTAATGGTGATAATAATGTTAAGGATTATAACGTGTGACCCGGGGAGAGGTTTATGTAGTATTGATACCAAATAACTTTCCTTTTTTTTTATACACCTATTAAGAAGGTTCTGACAAACATTAATGGTTTTAGCTGCAATGGGCCAACTAGACTATAGGAGGTGTTGATTCTGATCAAACCAATTACATTGCTATGTTTTTTAATTTGGCTGGAGTTCTATCATGGCGTTCGACGTGTTACAGGTAAACGTGATCATCGAAGACCGAAACGACAACTCACCACGCTTCGACTCGAGTTCTGTGCGGATAGCTGTGCCAGAAAACGTGGCCACCGCCTCGGCCATATACACCGCGCACGCTTTCGACCCTGATTCCGGTGCCAACGGGGAAGTTCACTACGAGATCGTGGCTTCGGCACAGGAACCTTCGTACTTCATGGTGGACTACAACCGGGGTACAATCAGCCTGATCCACGGTTTGGACTACGAAGCGGTTCACAGGCTGACCGTGACGGTGGTGGCAAAGGACTCGGGAGTGCCGGCTCTGTCCGACAACATGACCCTGTTGATCGACGTGCAAGACGTCAACGACAACCCGCCGGTATTCGAACGACCCCATTATGCGGCCACCATCCTCGAATCGTTGCCGGTCAACTCGCAGGTGAGTTTAGTTTACACAGAATACTTATACTGTACGGGTTGAATGTACTGTCGTTAACGCGATAGGTTCCAATAATAGAGTTGTACTGTTTGGCGATAATCGATTTCCGAAGACCAAAGACTCCATAAACGACCGTTATGCGTATACCAAACGAGCGCGTCTAATTAGAACGTTTACCGAAAGTAGGGTAGTTAATATATTTTTAGAATGAAAAATCGTAAGCAAATTAAAATATCGTTACCGCGTGCCGTCCCCGAGATTATCCGGTTGATTAAAATTGCCAAGGCGAAAATCATCAGGGACCGTCGAGGCCGATTTCCGTCTCTGTCGTGGGTCACGAACGGCACTCGTTAATTAATAACGGTATAAGGTATACCAGAAACGGGTGCGCGCAATGACCATCCGCGAGAGCCGGTCAGTCATGATCGCGTTTTCTCCCTTGTGCAACGCAACGGTAAAACACCGCACGACCCGCCGAGGTATTGTCCTCTCTCCATTATATTAAACCGGCGCGGCGGCGATTAATTAACCCGGCGGGAGCTGCACTGCCCGTGCACACGCTCCGGGACTTTTCTGGTACAACGTTTTGCCGATTGTTATTTTTTTTCTTATCCAGTTCGAGAATACCTAATGGGTAACGACGGACGGGCCACAAGTCTATATATAGTACCTACACGTCTAAAAAAAAAAACGAATAATAATACCGCATCGAGGAATTTCGAGCGTTCTGCGTTGGGGGACACCATAGAGACAATGTGGCCGGGCGTGGTGGGCAATCGTGTGGCCGATAGAAACGCAGTCGCGACGAAACCAATTAAACTATAAACGACGGCTAGTTAATAACATTATCATCGACGAGCAATAACACCAACAACAACAATAATAATAATAATAATAATAAATACAATGCAACGACAGATAACCTATACGGCGCGTACACAATGAACGCTGGAAGGGGTTAATGATTTTTCTTATATTATTATGTACGAAAACAATCGAGTTGAGGAGGACCAACGAAGGAGGGTGGAAAAAACGCTTTTGACGTCGAGACCGACTATAATATAGGAGAAGCCTCGTACGTTTGGAGATTTCGGGTTGGACGGTTCGCGCCCGCACACACACGCAGGGGGGTGTCGAGGCCCCCAACGAGGCGCGAACAATGCGTCATTGTTGGCAGAACTGCGTTCCGATAATTATTACTCGTCAACAGCCGAACCGGTGATTGATGGTATGTGTGTGTGAGCTCCAAGTCTCCCCGTGGGTCCCGGGGTCGAGTTCACGCGCGGGAATGCCGTTGTTTGTCGCCCAAGTACGCAGTGCGTGCCCGTTGCCTCCTCCTCCGCTTGCGTTCGTTCTACGCGTCGTCTTCGTTCTCAACGCGCATAAAATAATAATAATAAATATATACTGTCGTGTGGCCCAAGGTTCGTGCGCCCGACCAAAATACAAATTCCGGGTCCAGAGATTTGACTTTTCTTCATAAACACTTTTTCCGAGTCACCTAGTTTTAAACCCTCTTCCTTCCCTTTGGGTAAACCGGCCCAGTCCGCGAATCCTCTTTTTATCGGTATAAATTATATTAGTCGACGTTAGTCCAAACGACCACGCTGACCGGCCAGAACCATTGAGTTTTATATTATATCCCTCGACATTTATTATTAATATTATTAAATATTAATGTTACTATTACATTCAACCGTCCTCGAGTCTACGTGGTATCCGCGTGCTGATTCATTGCCGTCGTCACCGCGTAAATGCACTGTCAACGCCACCGTTTGGGCGCATAAATCGCGGGGTAAATAATCGCTTTGGAATGCCAAAGAGCAGTATGGGTTTTTTACGAACGGCGTGCTGATTTTTATATTACCGGACGGTCCTTAAACCACGGTCGTTAAATTATCATTAGGTATTTTTTTTTTTTATCGTCAAACGTTTATAGTAATTTTTTAACGATTTCAGATAGTGCAGGTGACTGCGTTGGACGGCGACAGCGGCAACAACGCTAGGGTCACGTACAAAGTGTCCAGCGGCGACGGCGGCTCTCTGGACGTGCACCCTAACACGGGATGGGTATACGTCAAAGCTCCGCTGGACCGGGAAACTCGGGACACGTACGAGCTGACCGTGGTGGCTGCTGACAACGGATCCCCCGGGCCCCTGGCCACGACCGTGGTGGTAATTGTCACCGTGGCCGACGTCAATGACAACGATCCAGAATTCGACAGGGATCACTACGAGTTCCACGTGGAAGAGAACCGACCGGTCGCCACCGTGTTCGGGACCGTGTCGGCCACCGATCGGGATGCCGGCGACAACGCTCTAGTTCGGTACTCACTGTTGCCAACCAACTCCAGCTTCAACATCAACCTGTATTCCGGTAAGTCCGAAACGAACATTTCAACAGTTATAAATTCTAATCATATCAATGTAATGTTACATAAAAATACTTAACTTTTAGGTTAATTAACAAATACAACGGGTATACATTGAATTTTCATAAATTTAAGTTATAGACGTAGGCTATTCGTGACCATTTTTTTAAAATCTCATTTCGAAATTTTGTAACTCGACAAAGCGATAATAATTAATTTTTATGAGGTTCATTGTAAAATATTTTCTAAGCTTCGCACGGAAGTAAAAAAAACAACTAGGTACGACCTGTCAACAGAACCGCCGAAACCGTGGTGTTAATTTAATAGAAAACATAATTATTTATGCCCCGGCATACCTATTAAACCCAACACTCGAAAGTCAAATGGTAATGTATGTATAATAATTAATTATATATACATATATTGGAAGTAGGCAAGCGTACATGATTGATCGTAGTCTGTATATTTTCGGTTCGCGATACGTCCCCGTTCATATTAAAAATAAAAATATATTACCTATATCTTATTACCATAATGTTTTGTAATGACAACTTTTTTCTTTTTTTTTTCTTTTGCATATAGTTTGTTTTACAGTACACGTGACTAGCGTTTGACGCCAGACGCGCCTTTTCGTTAACCGTTCACTTACCGGTTTGTATAATATGGGAATTCGTTACCGCTTTAACCAGGACTGGATTAACCAATAGGTATAGCGCCTAGGCTCTGGGAGACTATACACCTGTTAAGTTTAACAAATTTGTTAAACCGTGTTGACCATTATTGACGGGTAGTTCGTTTTTTATATATTTTTTAACAAAATCGTTCTCTTTCCAGTATGATATTTCTAATGTTTATGGCCCTAAATTAGTGTGATTAAATAAGGCATTTTCAGTAATTAACCATCTGGGGGGTGTTAAAAATTATAGATTAACCTCTATCCATGCAAACAGACTTCATTCGACCGTTGGTGAAACAGCTGTAGTCGGAATATTAAGTCGGTATATTCGGTATGTAATTAAAATATTTTCGAGGTGTCCGCGTCCTCGCAGTCGAATAATAATTTCATGAACGTTTTGTAAACATGGACATTTTTCGAGTGGGCTAGTTCGTCGAACGGCGTGTGTATGCATGCATGTATTATATGTATTATGTGCTATTAACGGCGCGCGCTCGTTTGAGTTATGGCCACAATATAATGGTGCGAGTATTAGCCGATGACATTGATATCTGCCGTTGTAGGTTTTTCACCCACCCGGGCATTCCACACGCCCAACGATTAATGAGCTCTAGGGTCCAAGAAAGTTATGAAACTTCCGGCCGGCCATAAACCGACGGCGCAACAATGATAATTATTATTGTATCGGTGGTAAACTTGCTTTTGTCCGTTTTTAATTAATTCGCTTGTGTACGCCTATCAACAACCACAATAAACGCAACGGGTCGACTTCCATTGATACTACATCACTGTTGTTATTTTTTGTTTGTTTTTACAGCATACTCTCCACTCGCATACGTTTCAGATTGCTACACTATTAACTACCGGCGTTTATAAAATATACTTAGCTCTTTCATTGCTCTCCGCGTGCCCCCGTTGTAAAAAAAAAAAAAAATAATAACATTTTTCAACCATAGCACACAACATTATGCTTGCTGGAGTTATTCAAACACCACCTGAACTCATAACGTTCAAGAGGTCTTGGTTCCATGACTGGTCGGTTTAGGTTAGACCCAAGCTTTTGTGTGTGCGCCTATGTACCTACGGTTTTGACTGACGCGTAACACGAGAATAAACAAACTGAATAGAAAATATCCTTCTCGTATTATAAGTACTTGTTATTATTGTTATTATTAATCATTTGTCAGGTCATTTTGACTACTTATATACCTCGTTCTATAATATGGGTCTGCTTGCTTCGGTATTATAATATTATATATTTATATGTTTATAACAGCCACGGAAAAATAGTATTATAAAAATCGAACAACATTTGCAATTCTTTTCTAAGGATACACTTCAACCGGTTCGGTCAGAGGTCTCTCTTTTTTCTGTGGATACTGTTAGCATTGGGCAGGTAGTTCAAACCCGTTCCAAATGCGTTCACCCACGTTTTCCTCCCTTTGAACTAATTATATTATAAAGTCAACCACAGTATTCTCAATTTTTACTGTGTGCAATGAGAATAAATAATAATAATTATAAACATCTTGTTCGCCTCGCTATTTGTACTAGCTATTTCCTACAGTTTAAATTTTGGTAGCCGCGTTTGGTGCGTGGCTAGGTCGATCGGTTTGGACGGCTACTGCCAAATTACTGGTTGAAACGTACTCTACAACAGTCACACACGGGCGTGTTACAAAATACATATAATATTATTATTATAATAATATATATATATATTTATTTTAAGATCAGTGCGTGTTTGGTTCGCGTGCGCGCAATCGTTGTATTATACGACTGTGGGTCGAATACAGAGAACTATATTTTATATGTATATATTGTAATTATTCCGTAGTGCCAGTAGTAATACTATACTACCGAGTAGTATATTTACTTGGTTAACACGCGGGACCTATGATATAATAACCGTCAGAATCCCATCAAAAATTAAATATTCTCGTGTGTAACGCAGCAGCAGGAAAAAAAATCAAATGAAAAACAATCGCTGAGGCCTTGAGGTCTCTCAAACACCCTGCGGGCCACTTATATAAACCTACCTATCTGCCTACCGAATACAGACTGTTGTCTTCATGACCGTCACCCGAGTTACTCTCCGGCTCCCTAATACACGCCCGCCTAGCCGTTGGCAGTATAATAAAAAAATTAGTAATCATAATAATAAAGGAAGAATATCTCTCCGGACTTCGCCGCTTGTATTACGTTCCGAATCGGTATTTTCAATATGAATAATAATAAATCATGTCGCCGACTAAAATATTAATAAATTTGTAATAATAGTTCCCATACAATGGGGCATGGACGAGCTTTAGGCGGCTTAACCGTTTTCCACCAAATTCTCCATTTATACTTTTCCAGTTTCTGCCAAATAAAATACTTCAACCATTTCGTACAAGTGTATCAATGCACGCTATAAAAAATTACGTTAGGTTAGACATTTTTCCCGAAAAAAATTATTTTATGTAAATACACATAAAAATCTAGGAAATATTTTTGGAAAAAGCGAATTTTCATAAAAAAAAATTTTAAAAATGAGTAATTCAAATTGTATGATCTGGTAAGACTAGTCATAATTTTTTTAACTGGGCTCTAGGGAGGCGTCCATTCAATTGATTAATTAACATTTACAACAATAAAAATAATCGTTTTTCATGTATTACCGTGTTTGAAATTTACGTTCATACATTTTTTCTATTATACTTATACTCGAGTCTCCATTGTTTTTGTCGCCGGGTTTATCGCTCGTTTGCATATAGGTACACATACACATACATTGAAAATAGTTTCAATAGAATATTATTATCATATTACACGAGGAAACAACCACGGCCGGCATCGCACTGTCGCGTTAATTATTATTCTTATTCGGCAACACCGTACGCGGAGATGCTTAGAACGAAATTCATTCACCCTATAACTGTACATACGCCGTGCATTATCGCTGTGCCGTTGTCGTTATGATTACAGCAGGCGAAGAAATATTAATTTTATGCGGCATGCGGTACACTACATACATACAATATTATACGTATAATGTATTTTAATCGCACCGCGAACAATGGATGTTACTTCTGAGATTGGTTTGTGTTGTGCTGAAAGACCGAATCATCATCATCGCCGTCGTCGTCTCCTCCCCCTCGGGCCCCTCGCTCAAGCCCGTGTTAATTAAACGGCTGCCTACGCGCTTAGGCACACACACACACATATATACACACACCATACACTATACATATTATCCAAAACGCGTTCGACGACGACTGTCCGCTGCAGTTTTTTTTCTCATTACGACCAACCGACCCGACCGTCGCTGATTACATCGATCATTAGGAATCGAGCATATTCGCTTCGTGAAATAATAATAATAATGTATAACGCACACACACGCCGCATGTGCCTCATGACCCGTTTGGTCGGTGGCCCCTAACTTCGATGCAACTCGATGCAGATTTATTTACTCTTCGGTTCTGTGTGTAAAATTTACTTGTAAGCTTCAAACTATCTGTAATACAGCAATAATTATCATTCAATATATATTATTATTATTAAAGTGTTGATAGGGTATCAATTGTCAATGACAAAATTATTATCGAAATCATTTGAAAAAATATTTTATAATAATAATAATATAGAAAACCATACTTATATTGCTTGAGATATTATGTTTGTCAATATTTCTTTAAAAAAGGTGACGGATAGAGATTTATGAAAGGTGAAGAAGAAAAGCAATTCTAAGTTTTCCCATTTTAATGTTATTTATTTTAACTTGTTTTGACTAAAAATTGACACTACAAAATATATTGATATTAGGTATTTGTGTGTGATAATCTCACGAAACGAAAATAATACACACACGTTGTCGCCGCCGCTGTGTCCCTTTTTTTGGGACATACCTGTCTAAATATTTAACACGTATTGCCGCAGACATCCGATGTGTATACAACGAGAATGAATTCTACACCGAAACGCCATTAGATAACCCGTCACCGTTTTCCTCAGTCGGGGTATTTTAACACCCATTATTTTGTTTTTGTATTACAATCCGTCCGCTTATATAAATACTAGTGTTTACGACGCGTTACAATATTCCAATATTTACACCGCCGTCGGAGTCGTAAAAACGAAAAAGAAAGAAAGAAAATAAAAACCACCACCGCCGAATGATGACTGCGGGGTCGCGTTCCCGTGATAAAGAAACGCAAACATCTCGGCAAGAGATCCAAGGCCGCCGTAAAAATTAATTTGTTTACAAAACGTGTGCAAACACAATATAACATATGCATACACACACAAGTCGCGCGAACACTGTCTCTGGTGATAATAGATTTATTATGGGAAAAAATGTGTCGGCGAGAAAAATAGCCTAATAGATAAATATCTGTTTCGTTGATAATATACAGTAGGAAATTTTCATTAAAACGGTTTCATAATATGTAGATAAACCTTCATACATAGGTCGAGTATACCTACAGCTTTTTTCTTTCTTCGATCCGTAGCCGATAGCACTTGCGGTCTTCCGTCCAATGCACGTGTATTCTTAATCGTGTGAATCGTTTTTTGCAGGCGAACTCAGCACCAAAGAACCGTTGGACCGGGAAACACGGGCCTGGCACGAGGTGATCGTCGAGGCCAGGGACCAGGACGGCGGGGTCAGGGGTCGCAGCAAGCGCGTTAAGGTCAAGGTCATCGTGACGGATGTCAACGACAACGCTCCCGTCATCGTGGACCCACAACAAGACGTGGTGGCCGTTCGAGAGCAACAACCACCTGGGATCGAAGTGGTCACAGTCAAAGCCACCGACCCCGACCAGGGCAACAACGCCACGCTCACCTATTCCATCCTCAAAGGTATGTAACCGAAAAACTATTCTTGTAGCTCGCCCGATAAATATTAAACCCGGCATTGGGAGTGTCACGTGGAATATTTCTGTGGACAAATAGGCACTGGTCTACAGCATAGGCATAACTCCAAAATTACGATTATTTTCTCATACATATCTTTGTTTATGAATTATCGTTATTCGGTCTGGGCTGCTTGCTGCATGTTTTCACTAGTTTAGTATGTCGGTCAGAAAACCGATTAGAAAATACTCAGTACTCTGATGATAATATTCAAGCATACGTGCTTCCTGAAAATAATTATTTAATTATTATTTCTTATACATGCCTACAGACAGAAATAGGATTTTTTTATAGAACCTGTACCTATGACGTATAATATTATTTTATACGGTCGATTAACGTTGTTAGCGCACGAGTTCATTCCGGCAGTGGTCGTGATCTTCTAATTTTGGAGTTGTTGTTGTGATGGCCAAGCAGGAGACTTGGCTTCACGTTTTCGATAATGTACGCTAATTAACACATAGACCGCCTCTACGCTGTTACAGGTCGCGATTCGGACGGCAACGGCGAATTCTTCATCGACCGCATCACCGGCGTCATAAGAACCAAAGTGTCGCTGGACCACGAAGAGAAATCTATGTACAGGCTGTCAGTGGCAGCCACGGATAACGGGCACCCGCCCAAGCAGACCGTGCGAATGCTCAGGGTAGAAGTGTTGGACCTAAACGACAACCGGCCAACGTTCACCAGCTCCAGCCTCGTGTTCCAGGTATTTTAATATAACTTTGACCGTTATACCTAATATGTAAGTTTCTCAGGTTCTCAGATAGCGTGATTACATTGGAAACTCTAATAGAACTTTTTAGTTCTTCTTCGGTCACCTCGAGTTTCGTGCGTTAATAGTGATTAAATTTAACGCCGTTAACTTAGATGTAATATTAGGATTAGATACTTACATTTCATACTACGAATGCTGATTTTATACCGCACTCAATTTGCGGTTTCGATAATCGTTTATCGAATAGTACCCGACCCATGCGATGGTCGGATGGTACGTTGTGATAACCAGTTCCCGTTTACCGCTTTTTGTCTCCAATTTTTTTGGCGTCCAATAAATTTAAATGACCTCCGAGTCGCATTTTGAAACGCTGCGTCGACGACGGGGAACATGCCATTTTTGCACTGTTGTATTTAATATATAAATATTTTAAGTATACGACCCCGCCGGTGAAGCGAATAAATTGGATTGTTCGGGGGGACATAAATCAACGGGGGGCGACATGCAGAGAAAGGACAGAGGCTCAGATACTTCTAATTGTGTTCATCTCGACGCGACCGGGTACACGAGGAATTCCAAAACTATTCAAAAATCCAGATAAAGTCATTATATTAACCTGTTCATTTTCGCGTATTTTTGTCGTTGTTATAATAATAATAACGGTGTGGAGAAAATAATAAATAATCAAATAAAATGGCTAAATAAATGTTTATGTATTTTATTCAAAAAATTAAAACTGGTTTCGATGCAACCAAGAAACACCGACGGTCAGCCGCGCACCAGTTGCACCGAAAATAAAGAAAATAATAATACAAGATAAAAACAATTCGCCTATATTCAATTGAAACCCGGTTTCGAAACGGCGAAGGTACGCGTTTACTTTTTGTTCGCTCACGATGACTTCTCTTTACTTATTTATTGTTCGACTTTTTTTCCCCTCCCGTTTATTTATTCATTTCTATCCGCTCGCAGCGCACAAACGAGATCCAGTGCTCACGATAAGACATTGTTACTCGAGCAAAAAAAAAAATAATAAATAAATAAATGAAATTCCTAACTCGCTCAGAAAAAAATCAAAGCCGAACGAAACTGAACTTCACGTGTTATGCATATTTTATATCATAGGGTATGTGCTCGCATTAAAAGTTTCTGTCGTGATCTGACTTTTCGGTCCTAATGAACGTCGTCGTATATATGTTTTTATTGTACAGAACCGCAGCACCGGATGTAGACTTTTTGTGGACAACATTTTTTCTACTCTTCGATTCGGATCAGATACGGAATTAGTCACGAACTAACGAGATTTGCATTAATACTTAAAAGATTTATGTTTTTTGATTTGGATCGGTTTAATTAAGAGGCAACGGTGGGTGCGCATTGGTCGAGTTTTATGAAATGAGATTCTGATGTAGGGAATAAATAATAATAATAAAAAAAAACAGCCAACCGATTTTCCCTCGCTCGCTGACCGGCCGAAGATTATGTCCGTCGATTGTTCACCGATGAAATTCACTCTGCGGTGGAGTCCATAACCCGAAACCCACGTAGGGGCCGTTACACGGCGGTAGCAGTAGTTGACCTATAAAGTTGGTTCATCAGACGAGTATAAAATATAATTATTATATCCGTTCATGTATAATTAACCGGCATAAAATGAAATTACTTTCAAGGAAATAATGATTGCATACTGAAATTGGAAATTCATGCCAGCGCATGAAAAATTATTATACTACAGCCGGATCAACGCGCGTTTTGTGTTAATTTAATAACTACATCATCACTAAATTTAAACTTAAACCGGTATTCTGCTTTAAACTTACTTATTCTCAAGCTATATTTTCCTTACCCAATATCTTAATATTTTCCTATACTATGATTAACTTTAGTTTTATCCAACTATGCATTTTTTTTACTACGGAGAACAATTATGCGCTTAATACCGAGCCTCGTTATTATATTTAACCACGTACACTAGTTTTTACTCATAGACCATACGTCATATCCTCTGTGTGTTGATTTATTGTAATTTCTAATAAAACTTGTGTGCTTGCAGGTAAAGGAAGACGTACCGATCGGAAGCATAGCCGGCCGTATAGCCTGTTCGGAAAGCGCAGGTGCCGCTTCGGCGGGTCGCGGCCAAGTCAAGTACACGCTCAGGCATTCGGACGTCAGCCAACAGGTGTTCGACCTAGACCGAAGCACGGGCGCTCTGATCGTCGCCGGCAGGGTGGATAGGGAGGCCAAATCTTTATACGAGATGGAAGTACACGCACTCGACACGGGCACCAGCACGAACCCGCAGAGCAGCTCGGTGTCGGTCAGGGTGGAGGTGTTGGACGTCAACGACAACCCGCCCAAATGGCCTGCCGATCCAGTCACCCTGCACGTGCCTGAAAACGCCGTAATCGGATCGGTTGTGTACAACTTCACCGCTACCGACGCCGACCTGGACGCTAACTCGGAACTCCGGTATTCCATCGCACAGCAGTGGCCGGTCCAAGCATTTTCTCTGGATCCACTCACTGGAATGCTCACGCTAGTGGACCAACTAGACTTCGAAGCCGTCGGCGAATACGTGCTGGCGGTGCGCGCCACCGATCAGGCGACTAACGTTTCCGAGAGACTGTACGCCGACATGACTGCCAGGATAATCGTGCAGGACGTCAACGACAATAGTCCTAGGATCGTGTCACCGACGTTCAAGAAGCTGTACGTGGACGCATCGACCCGGCCCGGTGACCGGTTGTGTCGCGTGGTGGCCGTCGACGACGATTTAGATGATGGTGGTCGCATCGTGTACACGATAAGCGCGGGCAACGAGAAAGGGGTGTTCAACATCGGGTACGACACGGGCGTGTTGGTGTTGACTAGACCCGCTGACAACGTCAAAGACCACACCCTTAACATCACCGTTGCCGACAGGGGTACGCCGCCCAGGTACTCGTACATGATGCTGGATGTAACGTTTGCTGCGGCCACCGATAGGTCCGTGCAGTTTGCCCAAAAGTTCTACGCCGCAAACGTATCGGAAGACGCGCCCGTCGGCAGTTTCGTAGCCAAAGTGACCGCCAACTCCAACGATAACAGTAAGTCGGCGATACATTCTTAACATGAAATATTTTTAGACTGGGAGTAAACAAAAAAACAAAGTTCCGCCATGATATTTCCAGGTATCACATCGATATATCTTGCCATCCTTAGTTTAAATCAGCATTCAGCTAATAAGAAAAATTATAGTGATTGATATTGGTGATGTTAAGTTAGGTTTCAAAGTGTTCGATTTTCCTTTTCTAAAAGTGCCGCATATGCAATTTTTTAAGATCCGAAGCCTTGCTTAATATTACCAGTCATTAAACTTACAATTATATTTAACGACTAGAGTATACACTTAAAACATCATTTGACGAGCGTAATACACTTAAAAGTTAACCGTTCGAGAATGATTGGAAATCAATAACGTAGATTGCTAACGCTATTAGATCCCGCTAGCCTGCGCTGATTAATTTAAAATTACTAAGTGCGGCGTTATAAGGCGAAGAATCCAATTTATAGTTATTATTACCAAAAATTACCGGGTTATAATGTTAAAATCGTGTCGTAAACACTAGTACCTATCGTTTAAAAATATTTATAATAATGTCTTAGATAAAATCTGTAAACATTTTCAATGAAAAATAATATGTAGCTAACATCCACACTTGTATACTCTTATGCTATTTATTATTATGATGATTTTAAAGAATTATTTTTTTTTTTAATTTTAGAAATTTCATACAGCATACCAGAAGGTATAGCTGAAAACTGCTTTCACGTTGACAAAGACCGAGGCATAGTGACGTTAAAAAGTCGAGTCGATCGAGAACAGACGTCGCACTATGTTTTTCCGGTATACGCGACTGACGAGATCAAAATGATTACGGACGTAGTGACGCTGGAAGTGGGAATACTGGATGTCAACGACCATAGTCCCAAATTCAAACACGAATCGTGTCACTCAATGATGGTACCAGAAAATCAAGAGCCGGCCGTCATACGCACGGTCGCAGCGGTAGATCCTGATTGGGGTGCCAACGGTCAGGTCGTGTATAGTATCACCGGTGGAAACGGAGGCAATAGGTTCTATTTGGATCCCAAGTCCGGCGAGCTGACGGCGAAGACTCTGGATCGAGAAGTGCAAGCGAAATATCAATTGACCATAACGGCTCAAAACCGGGGAAGCACGACCGCTGGACATTGCAACTTAACAGTGGTTGTCGAAGACGAAAATGACAACAACCCCGACTTTGAACAGATCAAATATGAAACGGTATTACTTGAAGACGCGTCCATCGGCACCAAAGTACTGACAGTCAAAGCTCACGACGTAGACATGGGCATGAACGCTAGAATTACATATTCGCTGTCTAACCAAACTGAAAACGTGTTCCAAATCGACAACAAAACAGGAGTCATCTACACAGTTGGGTGAGCACATAGCATTTTTCTTTGAAAACATAATATACCTTTAAACGGTAATAGCATTGATTTGAAAGTAAACAGATAAGCGCCGCTATAACTAGAACGGCGACCGAGTTTAATTGGGATTTCTGTGTGAAAGCTGACACAGATTTTGTGCATAGCACCGCTTATCTGTATATTTTAAAATCAGTGATCTAGGTAAAGTTAAACGATTGAGTTAGGTAAAAACAGCAAGTCAATAAACAATGTGCGTTATTATCATTTCTTTTAGAAATCTAGACCGAGAGCGGCAATCCAACTACTGGTTACAAATAGTGGCCAGAGACGGTGGCAAATACAATCCGAGGTCTTCAACGGCACTGGTCCACGTCAAAGTGTTGGATGTTAACGACAATTCACCGATATTTTCTAAATACCCGTTCACGGCCGAAATTCTATCTCACGTTCAACCAGGCATGGACATCCTACGGATCTCTGCGACGGACAAGGACGAAGGATCTAACGCCGACGTCCTTTACTCGTTCAAAGATAATGAGGCTGGCAATCGATTTCGGATGAACCCGAACACTGGAGTGGTCACGGCGTCGTCTAGCCTTGCCTCGGAAAATGGTAAAGTATTCCATTTAGAAGTTATAGCAACGGACAAAGGGAACCCGTCGCAGAGTTCAGTGGGTCTTGTGGAGATCAAAATCGGTGAACACTTTGAACGGATCCCGGTTATGAGGTTCAAGAACTCGACCTATCACGTTACAATACCGGAGAATTTAGAAGTCCACAAGGATGTACTCGAGGTAAGTGTTCAAACTCAAATCTTCTGCATGCTTGAATGAATCGTTAATAAAAATGTCTCACTTTTTGTTGTCCACAGATTTCGGCCTACCGCAGTGACGGGCGTAAGCAAAAAGTGTCCTACAGGTTGGCTCCCGTTAACAACGAAGACGGATTATTCTACATCGATGAGGAAACCGGCGTTATCCGGGTCGGTAAGTCCGAATCACTTGACTTCGAGAGTCACAAGTCTGGCATACATCTAGTGGCTATAGCGCAAACGGATGCGCCTGCTTCCACGTTTATGTGGGGCTACGCGGACGTATGGATCTATTTGTCCGATCTCAACGACAACGGTCCGGTATTTGCACAAAAGGAGTACATAGCTACAGTGGCTGAGGGAAATTCGAAGGGAACTTTCGTCATGAGAGTGTCTGCTGTGGATCTCGATGAAGATCAAAACTCTAAGTTATCCTATCACTTGGTCGACGGCAATCACGACAATGCTTTCGTAATCGATCCCACTGACTCCGGGATCGTCAAAACCAATATCGTGTTGGACAGCGAGATAAGAGACTCGTACAAGTTGACTGTGATAGCGACAGACGAAGGGACGCCACAAATGACGGGAATGGCCACTATCCGAGTGACGGTCATCGATGTTAACGATAATCGACCTTCGTTTCCGCCACAAAGTACCATCAGCGTCAAAGAAGGTAAAATATGGCCATTACATTAGCACCGTTGCGTTACCATATGTTTAACAACTGATTTTTTTAAACGTTTTTTGTACTTAATTTTAGGTTTGGAAGTTGGAAGTACAATAACGACGGTGGTGGCGAACGACGTTGATACGCATCCGACGTTGACTTACACGTGGGCAAACTCGGTAGGAATGACCGACAAGAAACTATTCGCGTTGGACAGATACAGCGGACGCATTCAGTTGATTGGCGACTTGGATTATGAACAGACTCGATCCTATCGATTGGAAATACTCGTATCGGACTCGAAACATACGGCCCAGACGGAACTGTCCATTTCGGTGACAGACGACAATGACAACTCTCCAGTTTTCGACCGACCTCATTATACTTTTACAATGACAGGTGCTTATCCATGCCACTTTGAATTTCTAACTTTCTGTTTGCGTAGCACATTTTCTAAATGCCCGCAAACTTATATCATTTCAGAAAACACTTATGGAGAGTCTTCGATGCAAGTCAACGCGAGGGACTTAGATTCCGGCTTGAACGGAAAAATCAAGTATAGTTTAGTCGATGACGTAAATGGATTTAGAATCGATCAACAAACTGGAATGATTACCGCCAACCGTTTGTTATTCGATCAAAAACTAATGAAAATGGTAAGTAACGCATTTTACATTCTCTTATGGTCAACGATAATATTTTAATGACCGTCGTATCACAGGGATTTGTCGACCTACTGGTTAAAGCTACCGACCAAGGAACCCCACATCGATCTACCGTCATTGCTGTTCGAGCTAACATAAACGACGTGATGCATTCAAGTGTTGTGAAATTTGCACAAAACGAGTACAGGTTAGCCGTTTATTCCCTTTATAAATCTGCTGACATACGCTTGACTTGCAGTTGTATATTTAATGTCGTTTTTATGTTATATTTTCACAGAGTATCTATACGGGAGAGCATCCGTCTAGGAGAACCGTTTTTAAAACTTTTACCCGGCTATTCGGTAGACGACTCGATGCAGTTCAACGTGGTCGACGGAGACGAAGATGACCACTTCGACTTGATCAGCCCGACTGGAGAACTCATAGTAAAGAAACCTTTGGATCGCGAGAGTCGGGACATATATTCACTGCGGATCAGCGATCGCATCAACACCACTTACGTTTACGTTCACGTGATAGTGGACGACTCTAACGATAATGCTCCACGGTTTGTTAGCTCCGATTATAGTGTTACCGTCCCGGAAAATACACCCGTCGGACATTCGATTGCAAAGTTAACGGCCAAAGACCTAGACTCGCCTCCGAAATCCGATATATTCTACGAAATAACGTCAGGCAATGGCAAAGATTATTTCAACGTCGACAGAAATACCGGCGAAGTATTCGTAAAAACCAATTTAGATTACGACGTCGACGTTACGGAGCACAGTTTGGTGATCAAAGCTCAGGACGGAGGTAAGTCACCTGACTACCCTCTATTCTCGCTAGCCGTTCTCAAAATCAGGCTGGAAGACGTCAACGATAACGCTCCGAAGTTCCCCGTCTCCGAGTACTTGGAGTTTGTGGGTGAAAACGAACCGGTGGGCGCTTTAGTGTTTACGGCAAAAGCCACAGACGCGGACCGCGGATACTACGGACAACTCAACTACTCTATTGCCTCGTCGGCCGCCTATTCGGGAGCCGAAGACTCGTGGAAAATGTTCAAAGTCGACTCGTCCTCTGGTCTGGTAACTACCAATGCCGTGTTCGATTACGAGGCTAGGAGCAGGTACACGTTCACTATAGTGGCGAGCGATGCGGCGGGAAAGACCACCCGGGTTCGAGTGAAAATCGAAATCGAAGGAAAGGACGAATTCGCGCCACAATTCATCGAGCGGACGTTCAAGTTTATGATAAACACGTTCGACCTGCCAGTGGAGTACATCGTCGGTCACGTGTCGGCGACAGACAGAGACAAAGGCCCTGAAGGCCGGGTAGTGTACCATTTGACTACTCAAAATTCGTATTTCAAAGTGAATCGCACCACCGGCGCCATAATCGTCAAAAAGAAAATCGACGGTAATTTCGATGCGACCCAAGACATAAGTCTCGTGGTGACGGCGAGCTCGGGTAAACAGGGTTCGTTGACTAACGTGAGCGTCGTGGAGATATCGTTCGATCCGCTGGCTCAGCCTGGTTTGAACATGGCCAGTAGTTCGAATGGACAGAACACTGGATCCTCTTCGAGTGTCGTCGACTGGATCATCGGCATTTTGTCCGTCGTCATGTTGATCGTCCTTCTCTTAGGTGGCATAATGTTCTACTTCCATTTGAAAAACAAACAACACCGAAACATAAATAAACCCGAACTCAGCGGTCATCAACGCACGGACAACACGTACGTTGACCCGGGCGCGTTCGACACGATTCCCATACGGGGAGTAAGCAACGCGCAAGTTGGCCAATTCGCACCACCCAAGTACGACGAGATACCCACGTACCGAAACCACAGCAGCACTAATTCAGGAGCGGCGACTACATCCGATCTGTCCGGATCTGAGAAGTCTGGATCCAGCGGCCGGGGTTCCGCCGAAGACGATGTGGAAGACGAGGAAATCCGCATGATCAACGAGCGGCAAAACGCGGACAACCTATCCGAAGTGACGGCCCGAAACACTCAAGAGTATTTGGCCCGTCTGGGAATCGTCGATGCTCAAGCGGTGCCCCCGCACTTACCTGAAGAAAACCGGTTGTCGTCGAGACGCAGGCCGATGGAAAACATCGACATGTACGACGAAGACGAGGCGGCCGACGGTGACATAACCAACATGATTTATGCCAAGCTTAGCGACGTGGGCAGTGAGCGAGGTGGCGGTGGCGGCGGCGGCGAAGAAGACAGCAAATCGGCAGTTTATTCTTCCGGCAAAGTACCGCCGCCTCAGCCTTCCATGGTTGGCTCGCTGAGCTCGATCGTGCACAGCGAAGAGGAGTTGACCGGCAGTTACAACTGGGACTACCTGTTGGATTGGGGTCCGCAGTACCAGCCGCTAGCACACGTGTTCAACGAAATCGCTCGGCTAAAGGACGACGCCAACTCCGTAAAGAGTTCCAATAGTGCGGCTTCTAATAGCAAAAGCAAAAAAATGGTTCCTAATCAGTCGGCTAAAAGCGGTAACGCGCCACCTCCGCCGCCGCCCCTTCTCACAAGCATGGCGCCAAGGGCGCTGTCGTCTAGACAGTCCACCTCGTCGTCTCATCACCACCAGACGCCCATGCTACTGGTGCCCCGGTCACCCATTAGCCACGAATCCAATCCCGGGTTTAGTCAGTCTGTGGCTATGTCGCCGTCGTTTTCGCCGTCTTTATCGCCGCTGGCCAACCGGTCGCCGTCGATGTCACCTCTACACTCGAATGCGTCCGCGTCTCACCCCATTCCTCGACAGAGGCATCAAACCACCGAGACCGAACTGAGAATATGAAGATGACAGCGGCAAACTAAAAGAGAAGAGGAAACGCCAACTCAGTCGCGGAAACCGACCGACAGCTCAATATCCTTTAACGTCTCTTTAACAAAATCGTTTTTCAAACCTATCGAAGAACAGTTTGTGGAACTTCATCGTCATTAAAATCTCAATTTACCATGTAATAAAGTAGATTTATTTGTATAATATAACCTAGTTTAATTTGTAACTAATGTTTTTACGAAAGACTCGAAAAGAAGGTTTTAAAATCAAATATAATTACTCTCGTTAAGTAAATTATAGACATTTGTGATAATTGTACATTTTTGTTTTAATAAATTATTTATTTAGATAATATTTTACATACGTACTGAATATTAAGAAAATAAATTCTAAGAATCTTGCCAACCAATCGGTGTACTAGTAATAATTGTTATATCGCCGACTGCTATTAAGCTGACAAATGCCATGGTTAAAAATCAAATTAAATTATATATGGATAGTTTTTAAGTATATTATGTGCAATGTCGTGTTTGCTCACTTTTCTCTGTTCAAAGATATTAATATTGTGTGAATGACTTAAAACCACTACACTAACTAATCGTGTTATTGTATATTGTAATGTGAATGATGTAATAAAGACTGTATAGTAGTTATTATTCAACAAAAACTGTTTGATTCGCCACGAGAGCCACATTTTTTCCTATGCATTTGCAACTCCATTTTGGATCGTTGTAGAGTTCAACCGTGAATATATTTTGTATAGTGTAGTTATACTTTAGCGTTGTCCATATTATTTATTTTTGCCATTATGTTAAGACTGTGAGATTTCATGACTTGTTTGTTTTTCACTTGCCGATTTTAAAATATATCATTAAAGCTAAGATGTACGCCATAGATACATAAAATTGTAACTAATTTTACCGTCCGTGTAAATTGTATACGTGTGAATTTGCAAATTACCAATTCACTCGCCGGTCTAATAATATGTTTAATGTTAACTATGTTTGTATAAATATAAACTGAATGTTTTCCTTTTATAATTTTTATATGAACATCAAAAAGATTAAATAAACAAAAGTCAATACTGATTTTATTCGTTTTATCCCTAATTCTAAATAGTACCTTAATACTCTGTTTTACCCAACTAATTTATAAAGCTATATTTATATCAAATGTTTTGTACCTTCACTACCTAGTCCTTTTTTCTATGCAGAGATATAAACAAAATACATTGGTATTCAGCGGGTACATATGCTGATAGTGTTAAGTGTGGTAAAATGATCGCTGACCATGTAGGAATTCGCAATTTCTTATGTCTTACGCACGGTGGTTTAAACCAATTTTTGCCGGAGAGAACAGCCAAAGATGCTTTTCTTTTTATAAAACATTGTTGGCTGAATTTTTGAGTTATTTTAAATGTCAAAATCGCATCATCGAAGCGATCGGTATGATGGAAGAAAAATGTATATCTTTTTATCAAACTTTCGCCATAACTCAATGATGAATAACTTTAGACTTCAAACATTTTATAACTAGAATTAATCACAACATTTGTTCACCTTAAAATTAATCAGCGAATGGCTACTAGATCAATTTTTGTTAAAAATTTCCTATCCTTTGTCCCTTAATAATTAGCTCTTTTGTAGTACTCTCAAACAATCGCGCCCAAAAAAAAAAGTAATAAATAAAAGCAGACATTTTTTTAAACAATTTTTGAGGTTGTATTTTACTTAATGTAACATAATATTTTAACCATTTTTTTTCCGTTCATACGGCTTCCACGGCAAGTATATTATGTTGTATGGGTACCTATTTATAACATTTGATATTGTAAAACAAATTCGGTAAAAAAAAAATTATTCTATAAAATATTATTTTAAACATATCACTAAATTAAAATTTAACTGATCACTCTTATAACTTATTTCTTATAAACCCAAATCCATCCGATATCTGTAACTCTCGTTCTATTCCCATCATAACTTCCATCATTGGATTTATTTTAGAATTTAAACACTAAATTTTTATTTAATATACACACCTATAAAATATCATAAAGCCATAATATTCAATAAAGGTTCATACAAATTTAAAAAAAACAAAATGTTATTTCAAATTTTTGTTTTAATTAAAAACTTAATCAAGCACCATACATTGTTAATACACTCTGTACTGCACATCAATATCATTTTCAAATACAATAACATTATCTTCTTATTGTTTAAAGAGTACAAAGGAAGTGGTTAAAATATATCATATTAAGGATTTGTTATTCTGTTTATGAAGAACTAACAAAACATACTCAAAAGTATATTATTTGTCTTTTTATGCAATTAAAATATTGCAGATCATACGAATCCTATTATAATACATAGACAAGTTTTCAATTATTATAATAATTATAAATATAATTTATTATCGTTTCTAAATTATATCAAATAAAGAGTAGCCCCTGAGGAGCAAGCATAACATTATGTTATTATTATACAATAAACAAAATTTAAAAAATAGTAATTACACATTCTAGTTAAAGCAATTTACATAGTAGTTTTTCATTTGTTATAACTCCATATCGACTTATTAAAACAATTAACAATATTTGTGCAATTCATGTCAAATTTATAAAAGTGTAAATTGTTTTATACTATATTAATATAAATATACATATTTAAGACTTAAGGAGTGATAAATCAGTTGAATCAGTCTTAGTATCACAGAAAGAATTTTCCTATTATGACGTCTCAACTAGCATTATCTCGTCTTCAGGGATTTCTCCTTTAGCAGATTTTTTTTTGGTACGATTACTTACTCCTGAACCAAAATGACTAATGCTGAAATAACAGAAAATAAAATGTATTTTCAATTTTTAATGGTAACACTTACTACTTACACAATATCTGTATCGTCATCGTCGACATCAGATGCTACTTGAAAATATGGATTAGCAAGTGTTGGTCGGAATTTATACCCTGTCATTACAAAGAATATAAATGTTGCAGATTCTTTAGAAAATTCATTCAACCATTGCAGTTGAAAAGGAACGGTCATCTGAATAAAATTTAAAATAATTGTGTTAACAATAGTTGATATGATATGTTAGTTGATGGTGTTTATTATTATTAGTATATGACACTGAGTTGACACTCAGTCGCGAGCGACCCCATTAACAGTGCGAAAATTGACTAATTAAAAGAAACCACCATTTTACTCGTCAACAACAGGCTTTATGAACGGTCCTGGAATAACTACTTTGTCAAGAAACCTTCACCTTAGAGGAGGCAGCAGTTGCCCTTTATATTTTGTATTTAAATGGTAACTTACCCTTAACATATATATTAATATCCGAGTAAAGTATATATAAGAAACGAGCATCACATAAAACTGTTGAAATAACTTAAGTTTGCGAAGATTTATTGCTGCTTTTCCATCTGTTTGAGATGCTTCTTGTAAATGACGGATGGACCTAAAACCAATTAATATAACCGAAACGTAAATAAATTCATTTATGTTTTAAGTAACCATATATGTATATATTTTTTTTTATGATTACCATAAAATAGGAAAAAGTATAGCTGCACAACACATAAAATCAACCAATAAAAATAAGTCCAACCATGCATTATGTTGAACATCACCTTCTTCAGATTCTTGAATAATTACTTCAGCTACGTTGGCAAGTACCTATAAAATATAAAATAGAAAGTTAGGTAATTTATTTGTTAATACTTAATATATTTTTATTTCAAAAAGAAAAAAAAATACTTGTAAGGGTATAACAATCATAAATATGTTTTTATCTTTATCTGACAACACATGTTTTATAAAAGTCCATCCAGTACCAATTAATACAATTGTTATAAATAGAACTGATCCTTTTAATCTATAAAATTAAATTACAAATTAAGTTTTAATTATAAACTGGAAAATAATTTAATGTGCACATACAAGTGAATTGTATAGTATACAACAGCCCATGTTGCAATATGTTGACCTTTAATTTGTATAAAGTGAAAATTCACTCCATGGAAGAACAAAGTAGCTGCTTTCAAGAACACTAACAAAGCCATCAAATAGTGAATTTTATATACAGGATAACTAAAACAAAATATTGCATTAAAAATACAAAAAAAATGTTTTCAAAGTAGAAGCATACTGACTTGCTTTTATACAATGTATAAACCCAAACAATACCAGTTATTAAGAAAATAATTGACATGCTAAAGTATAATGATGGCAATGGCATGTCACCAGCAGATAAATAATTGCCATTATTACTTTCACTGATACTGACCTGTGGGAACATTAACAGTTATCAAAAATACAAATTTGTCATTTATATATAAAAAAAAAAAAAGAAAGACAATTATTATTCATACCGTAAAGCTTCGCCTTGATTTAGAAGTAATTGCATAATTTGGACAGTTGTGATAATACAAGTTATACAAGCCTTCATTTGATTTTGAATGGATATAAACCACAAACTATTATGAATTAAAATGAATTACATTGTTTTATTCGTGTTAAATAAGAATAATTAATATAGCTTATATTATTTTTATCATTAAGAAATAAAATGACTTACACTTATATTGTATGAATCTGGTTGATTACTATTTAATATAGGCAGTGTTTTATTCATACACTTTGTATTAGTGTCTACAATAAAATATTCATCAAATAATAACAATATTAATCGAATTTCTTAATAAAAAAAAGTTTAACTAAAACATAAATACATACTTAGAAAACCATTTTGTTGTTCAACTTTAAACGCATCTATATCAGGAAATAAATAAAATGGGTCCATTGATGGCGAACAACTTAAAGATACGCTAGAATTATATAATTAAATTATACTATTAGTCATAATACGCAATACCATGTTTTACAATATCAATAATTATAAATTTCTTTCAGTTAATAAGTAACTATTATACACCAAATATGTAGTTTTATAATTGTTAATTAAAGCTGTTATCCGGTTTGCATTAGAATTTAGAAGACTCTATGCATACAGACATACAATGTTTTAAATATTTTTAACTGGTAGGCAATGCTATATTTTATACATAAAATATATACGCTAAATGCTAATATATATGTATAAAATATGAACAGGGTCATTAATGGAAACTGATTTTATACATGTTTTCCGCAGTCAATACGAGATTTTACCGTTATCCGCCTGTCAATAAAATATGACAAGGGTAATTAGTGATGGCAGGAGACTCACATAAAAGCGATCGCCTTTAATGTGCATATCTATAGCACTGCTTATCTGTGTATTTTAAAATCAATGATAAAACTTACATTTTTTTGGAAAAATCAAACTTAAAAGTTGCTAAGTCTGAATTTGCACGCATTTCAAACAAATTTGGAGAGCCAATTGGACAAAAATCTTGTTGATAGTCAATATATGGATTCCCTTCATCAAAGATGGATCTTTCAAGCAGCAAACCATGCTAAACAACATAATAAAATAAGATAAAATAACATAATAATAATTATCCATACAGAACATTATTTTTTCTTACGGAGAGTAGTGACCTTTAAGGTTACTAAATATGGTTTAACATACAGTTATTTGTGTATATTACACGTTGTCTATAATTATAATCCAGTGCTATTAGACACATTTTTTAACTATCTTTAATCATGTAGGTACATTTGTATGATAAGACATAATAATTTTATCCATTAAATTTAATTCTAATCGTTATTGCCTATAGTCTATTCAGTCTAAGATTATACCGCTCAGTTAACAAAAACTCGTCACCACTGTGCATCCCTCCGCCTCTAGACTATATAATAAACTATAATGATATAACTTTATAAATGCATAAAGATGAGTTGCCTTTTTTTCAGTGAGCTAAATATTGGTTAAGTTTTATATTGTACAAACCACTTCAGCCACATTTTCAGGTAACAAATAGAAATCCTTGATATTAACATTTAATAAACCGCCTTGGTAAAATCCAAATGTAGTTAAAGTTATATAACGACGATCATCATCCTAAAAACAAATAATAGAAAATGTGATTTTTTTAGTTGAATCGCTCAGTACAGAAGGGCACATGTCAAGGTTTTAAGCTAATGGTCGTTGATGCCAGTACTTTAAAAAAATATGTATTAAAGGATTAGTTATAATAATAATAATAATATATAATAAGTATAGTTATTATAATATTATACATTTTTACAATCATTTTAAGAAATATTATAGAACACAAGGTACATAAAGGGGTTTAAAGTCATAAACATGAGCCATTTATACAATAATTTACTGTAAATATTACAAACATGTTTTTTTTATAAATAAGAAGCTCTTGTATTACCAACAATTTTAAATTATATAATAATATTAAAAACAGTACACTTTATGCTGAGATAATGAGTCACAATTATTATATTACAGTATATATTTATTGATACTCAATTAGTTGGTGCAATTTAGTGATTTTTGTAAAATCTTCGACATTCTTCCTATTTGTATTTAGCGATTAATTCATTTAAATTAGACAAATTTGTACATAAATACACCGACACTTACCTTTATTTCTAATGTATGTATTCTCCCTTTAACTTCATTACTTAAAATACAAATTACTATTCCATACGTCAAAACTTTTAAATAGGCCATCATTTCAACATAAATATATAACTTCAAACATCAAAATGAGTTAAGTTTAAATACTGAAAGAACATCTTGTGAAAAACGAAATTACAAAACGTACTCAAAAAAAGATAAATGGAAAATGGTATTTTACTATAACTGTGATAATAAATACTCCTCTCCGCACATGACCATTTTTACAGTGTGTCCTTTTAAAAATTATGCACAATATTTACCAATAATTTAAATAGATAATATTATTATAAATTACCAAGTTATGAAACGTTAATATTAATCATTGAAATGACACTTAATACTTTGTTACTCAAATCTCAGAATTATAGACATTTATAAAGTTCGCTATATACGTAAACTCTTTGAAGGATAAGAAATGTTACCAATAACATACCCTATAGGGCAAGCTAAAAATGGTAAATCAACAAAATTACTGGATAAATAAAATATAGGATACAACCACAGAATAGATTAAATCTTTAGAAGTGATAAATAAATAAGTAACTAATATACTAAAAATATATATATATATATATATATATATATATATATATATATATATAATATGGTGTTTATTGTTCAATGACAACAATTGTTCGATAACAACATTTCAATTGTTTAATTGTTCAATGTAATAAGTAATTTACAAGATACAAATTTTATTGTATTATGTTGATCAAATAATCGAGGTGTAGTCTTAACAGCGGGTACAATTTGTCTAGTGCACCCATACATAAGAAAGTGGGAGGCGACTGATGAGTGGTATACACAGTGTATACCTTTATGACCAGACCTCTTCATATAATAGTACGTACCACAGAATAGTTTATCTATAAAATGGGGCAAATGCATAAATTACTAAAATAACAAATTATATACATGTATTACAAATTTATACATTTTAGGATAATTGTAATATTAAATTTGATTTTTGACCAACAAATTACAATTTATATAAACTTTATACAAAAATGCATACATTTCCAAAACCATACATAATAGAAAATAAGTATTTTGGTTATGCAATATTCTATTCATAAAATAACAATATTTGTATGAAATTAAACTGTATCCACATACATAAATAACTTAATTATAGTTAATCAGCTTACAAGTTAGTATATTAAAAAAAAAAAAATAGTAGTTTACATGAAAATGATTAAAACTAACATTCTTGTGAATATGTAATTTAACAACTATGTAAATACTTGACGGCATTTATTCCTTTGGTCAAGCTGAAAACCTCTTCCGCACAGTTTTTTATTCTTAAATGGAGGTGGCTGAATAATACTAAAATCTTGATTTGGAATATTCATAATATCATCAAGTTTCATCGTTGATATATCACTTGTATTGAAGTTAGAACTTGCATGAATAGACAACGGATAAGGCATTAAAAAAATTACAGTTATAACCCAATTTGTAATTATGACTATGTTTGTAATTTTTAACAACATTATCATTAACATAATATTTTAATTGATTGCAAATACTAAACACACACTTAAAATATTCGTATAGTATAATATCTCTAGTTCACAATACAATAAACGGTAATGAAAAATGAAGCGTAATGTTTTACTTGATTATAAAAATTACTCCAACGATTCATTATCTACAATTTAAATAATAAAACATGTAACCTTTAACCTTCTTCTAATCATTAGTTTTTATCATATTCCAGCTTATTATAAATAATGCTATTAGGTCCATAATATTTGCACACATTATAACAACAAATATAACATTAAACTGTTTAACTTAAAGTAACACTGATTAAATGTATTGTTTTAAATAAAAAATAAAATGTTTTGTCTAATTTCCAGTATATTTATCTTGATAGTTGTTTCATAAAAAAAGTGAATGTAAATAGTATTAATTATATATATTATTTGAGATCTAAGAGTTGAGAGCATATTAATCGCCAGATTATTACTAACAAGTAATTTAGATACATTCTGAACACTAAAGTGTATAAATAGAATTGAGGGGGGGAATGTAATACATGACCTACATTAAATTAATGTCTAAATTAATGTAATACACAAACTTCATTCAATTCCATGAGCAAAAATCATTATAAGTCCTGGCTCAGCCATCATGTCATCAGTGACCATTGTATTATCACAAGGTAACACAATTACAGCTTGTTTTCCTGGAATACGTTTACAATTATAATCGTCATAATGTCTCCTATTGTGCTGACGTGTTTCCAGTGAAGATAGACCAGAAGGCCAGTTACGTTCATGACAATTCTTAACGAGATCTTCCAAAATATGAGATGGACACCCACTTTCAATCAACGCTTGCTTAATGGTGTTCTGTAAATGGAATAAGGTTAATTGTATTTTTGAATAATTTATTTTTTACAAAAATTACTTGAAGGTATTCATCAGGTGTAGATATCATTCCACCCCAACGTGTAACTCTTGCTCTTGGTAAGGAATTTGACCAACGTTCAATTTCATCTCTCTCCAGCTCATCAGCTACTGCTCTTACACTTGGATTGCAAACGCGTAATGCTCTAACATAACCCTATAAACAATGTTAATTTGGTAATTTATTTGAAGAACAATACCAAGTAAGTGTGGATGGATAAAAATGACTTTACAGCCTGCTTGCTCTTTCAACACTAATGACTCAATAAGTATTGTGTCATAACTGGATATTGGCTAGACATTATAATATTAATATATCATAATCTACTTTTAATAGGCTTACATAAAATAAATAAGCTACAATTTGGTTTTTAAAAATTCCTCTAAATAATATTTTTAACATACAAAAACTATTTTTGATATTATATAATAATGGATCTTATAACAATTAATTGATAAATAAAAAAATACTGTAACAATATTTTTTGATCACCATTTACCATAGATAGTGTATTTTTACTTTTATAAAATACTAACTTATTACTTTTAGCAAATACTAACAAAATATTTGATGTAGAACAAAAAAACCCAAATTGACTATATATCTACATACTTTTAACATGGTATAATATTCAACACAGGGATGCACTGTTTTATATGTGATAACAATAAGTTTTAGACACGAATTTAAGGTAATATAAACCATAATTCGTGGTTATAGATAAGTGATAATATAATACTCCGTAGTCTGTCGGCAGAACGACTGACCACGGGGTAAGTAACAATAACAATTAACGACTAACGTGTTGTGATTAATGTAAACTGTGAATTGACTATAATATAGTGCGACATTCTACATTTTTTAATGATTGACGATCGGTGTAATAAAAATAAATATATTTTAACCGTTTAACTACATTAAATTATAAATTAATCAGAAACAAACATTATGTCAAAGAAAGCAATAAAACTAGGATTTGACTTTTCCTTAGCACCAGACTTGGTAACATGTATACAACAGTTAACAGATTGGGGCTATACATACGGATGCATTCCGCTAATTAATACAAAACTAAAACCCGATGTGAACAATCCAAAGGTTTTAGATAGATCAGAATTAATATCGAGGGCAGATGTCATTTTACAAGGAGAAACGTGGAACAGAGTAGTTATAAAGTTATCAAACGACATTGACGTGGATATAGCAGACAAAAGTGTAAGGGAACAAAATGCACAATTATTTAAACAAGAAGTATCATATGCGTCCTATTTAAATGTATCTGGAATTATGTTTAATCTACCATTAAGCGGTTGGATACCAAATTTGGCTCGTTTGGTTAATGTTGCATTACAAGATCATATGTTTATAAATTTATTTGTGCGAGTTCCTATGGTCTGTAAATCGGTCGATACATGGAAATTATGGTCTTCATTTAGTGCTGCTTGTGATTACCATAAATCTGTATATTTAGCTTTAGAGCTCAGTACTGATTTACCGGACGAACAAGAGTTGGATCGTTGGTTAGGTGAACCAATTAAATCAGTAATTTTAAATACCTCTTTATTTTTAACTAATGATGCTGGTTACCCTGTACTTTCACGCCCACATCAACTGTTTATTAACAGACTATTTGATCTTGATGCTTGTGTATTCATAAGCGGTGATTCTAGTCAAAACATGGGTCCCTATTTTGAATATTTGACTTATATACATGACAATGACAAATCAGAAAGACTTTACAGCTATTCATATGGATATGAAAATTTGCTACAAGTTCCTTTACAACCATTAATCAACGACTTGGATAACAATGTATATGCTGTTTTTGAACAAGATCCAATAAAATATCAACAATATGAAAAAGCTATAACTCAGGCACTGATTGATAAAGGTTCAGATAGTAATAAAGAACTCGTAATTTGTGTTGTAGGTGCCGGTCGTGGTCCTTTGGTGTTTGCTAGCTTAAAGGCGTCTGAAAATTCAAAAGTTCCCGTTAAACTTTATGCTGTTGAGAAGAATGAAAATGCATTGCATGTCTTGAATTATAATAACGATAATTATTGGCATAATTTAGTAACTATTATTGGAGCTGATATGAGAACTTGGAAATTTGATCGCAAATGTGATATTTTAGTTTCTGAGCTTTTGGGTTCTTTCGGCGACAATGAACTATCTCCAGAATGTTTAGATGGAGCACAACACATACTTAAAGAAGATGGTATTTGCATACCATCTTCATATACATCTTACATAAGTCCACTTCAATCTCAAACATTATTTAGTAATATGAAGATGTTTAAAAACGCTGGACCATTGGACAACCGACATAATAATACAGAACAATTATACGTAGTGAATATGCGTAACATGTATATAATAGCGCCAGCAAAACCAGTTTTCACTTTTAAACATCCTAGAAATGATTTAGAAACGAATAATGATAGGTATGCTTCTTTAACATTTGATATTCCACAAGATTGTGTTTTACATGGATTTGCTGGATACTTTGAAGCAATTTTATACAAAAATATTAATATCAGTATTGAACCCACAACATTTAGTAAAGGAATGTTTAGTTGGTATCCTGCCTATATACCAATCAAAAACAGTGTTACATTAAAGAAAGGTGAGCGGTTGAGAGCTCACTTTTGGAGACTCAGTGATGTTTCTAAAGTTTGGTATGAATGGAGCGTATCAGAACCTTATGCCGTTCCAGTACACAATCCAAATGCACGTTCCTATTCTATGCACTTACATTAAACATATAATAAATAAATTGTGTATTTTGTTTAATAAAAAAAAATTGTAATTAAATTTGTTAAAATATAATTTAAGTTTGTTAAAATTATTATTTCAAAATATAATAATTCACTAACTGATTAAGGACAAGTTATTGAAAAGCCTAAAAATTAAAAATAGGTAATAATAAAAAAATACTTTGTACACTTAGATTTTTGCTAAGATAATATTTAAATAAAATTTAATTAAGTTAAATATTAGATTCAGTTAGTTTTGTGTACATAATGTTTACAATTAAATACAATTAATTACTTTGAATTTCCAAGATGTTAATTTGTATTATATTAAGCTTTGGTAAATATAGTGACAATTCAAAATCTCGCTAACAGGTATGAATTCTTTTGTGATGTAATCAAAAGCCAGTCTACTATTACACGCAACAGGTAGTTATTCGACTGGATTCGAGAAACTATGTAATGTAGTTTTAAAAAAATGAACATCTATACAATTGATAACACCATAACAAAATTGTGAAAACATTGTGTATGAAAATCAACTAAAAAAAATAAAAATCACTGAAGGGTGATTATCCAGGTCTGATGATTTTTTATGGTTAGAATTGAAACAATAATTTGGTGGACATAATGTCATTGTTAAAATTCCTGGAATTGATGACAGACACAAATTAATTGTAGTAACCAACAGGGTAAACGAATGTGCCACATAAATTTGGGCATTATTTAAATAGCAATTTTAACAATTTACAAAAATGTTGATTGGAAAATATTAAATATAAATCAGATCAACATAATCAATGATATAAAAAGTCATTTACTTACCTTTAAAACTCGCATTTCATCTTTAATTCCACTGATATCATATTTATAATTGGCCATGTCTTGTTGCATATCGTTAATTTTTTGTTGTTGCTTCTGTACTAAGTCTCGTAATTCTTTAACACAGTTGTGATCCTTAGAATAACAAAAAATATTAACATATTTTACATAGTTGTCTAAACAATAACTGCCCTGAATGTCTAGTCAGAGATAGCCATCCACTCCAAGGTTTATTGGATATTTATTTACTTCAGGTTTGTACTTAATAAATACATGATATACTCAATGTATGTAAACATGATCTAGTAAATAATATTTCTAATGGCAATTTATTTTGAAAATTTAATTGTTTTAACATGTCTAAAAATCAGTCTAACATCATTGATACTTTTATCAATAATATTTTGAGACTGATTTGCCTACCTCTAAATCTAAGTATTGTAAGTTTTTTAAATTAACCATTTTGTGTACAACTCAATTATTATATTTACCTTATGTTCATCTTTTGGTATAATTAAACCGCATCCTTGTTCACAAGGAAATGGTCTTTTAGGATTATATTCACATTCTGATAAATGTGACTCCAATGTATCCAATTTGACTACATTCTGGCATCCATAATTCGAATTTTCACAAATAATATAAAGTCTAAACAAAATACACACATTTTTATGAATAAAGCAATAAAACATTATGTTGAAAATTTAATACGCAGTATTAATACTTTTAGGAGCGACCTAAGAATACATAGATGCTACTCAAAGAGTAAATTAGAAATAGAAAAAAAAAATGTTAATTTGGAAACAATATATATAACGTATCACTTTTAACATAGTTCAAATTATAATAAAGTGAAGCACATAATTTTCCCTGGGTTTTGTAATGTTGGTTAATTAGATAACAACCTATAAAATATAGAAAACACATTCACAGTAAAAATTTACATAAACGTTAAGTGTCAACACTCCCCTTGGCAAAACTTTTAAAAACTTCATTGCTTATCAAAGCCTTAACAAATAAATTTATCTATACAACTTATATGTATCAAGTCACAACAATGTGTATATATATATACAGATACAGTTACATTTTTTAAATAATAAGTATCTATATAATGTGATCATTTTCAATTATATTTAAAATTATATGTAATCAATGGAAGTATTATAACTCTACAAATGAAATACCTTTAAAAATATAAAATAGGTCTACTTTATAATAATTAACAACTGACCTGTTTAATAAGTTTTTTAAAATTCGTGGTACTGGTCTTAATTGAAGAACGTTAACTGAAAGTCTGTCTACAGGACATGTTGACTGCCTAAGGAGCCATTCAAGAATACAACCTTTACAAAATGCGTGTTCACAAGCTGGAGCCTATATTATAAAATTAAATACTTCATTATAACTTACAAAGACTTAATTTTCTTTACACTACATTATAGTAATTTGATGTGAGATCTCACAAATTAAATAAAGATATAAATTAGAAATATTGTTGCTTACTTGAACTGGGTCTTGTAACACTCCAGTGCATATTGGACAAAGGAGTTCTTCATCCACTTCACCGACAAACCGATTCATTTCAAAACCCATTATAGCTGTTAATAGAATAAAATATATTAATAAATATAAAATGTATTTTTAAATATTTTAACTTGAAGAGCAACAAGAAAATGGAAATGCGCGACAACTGAAAACATTCAAAGTAAGTTTTAGGGATAAATTAAAAATCTGTCGTAACTCGTAGTTTAAACTGTTATCACTTATCAGTTATCATGCATCATAGTTTATGGTCATTATCAATATTTGTTATTCTCTCATGAACGATAAAGTAATAATATTATAAAAGGTCTGTGATATAAACACAATTGACTGTTGAAATTCTGTATTTTGATATAACGAGATTAATAGTATCATGACAATAATATATTTTATACTTAAAAGTTAATTTAGGTATAACTAATATGAAAAAAAAATATTTATGTGAAATATTTTTATGGTTATAACTATAAACATAAACTTTATGCTTATTTAAGGATAATGGATACTTCTATGGATAAATCCAGTCAAAATATTTCGGATCACAATAGTGAACAATTTGATAAAAACACTGTCAACGACTTTAATTTGTTAGTAATCGTATTGGATAATTTATTTTTTATGCAATTAAAAACTCACCCTCTTAATTGATTATTTTAGGTGTAAATCTCATGTTGCGTTAAAAAAAAAATCAAAAGGCCGATCATTAAGAAGAAGAGAACTTTCAAATGACGAACCTGATGAAGATGATAATATATTGTAAAATTTTATAATTTCTTTTTTTTTTAATGTTAAAATAATAAAATACCAATATTTAATAGTAACATACATGTTATTTTTTTAGAGCTAAACTTGATGAAATGAAAACTATGCAAAAACTAAGAGATCGACCTAATGGTGTTAATATTATAAGTCTTGCTTTGGGAGAAAAACTTTCTCAAGAAGATGAACAATTAATGGTAATTATTTTTTATTTGGTTGATACATTTTTATTTAAACGAATGAGTTCTGTGATTATTATTAAATTGTAATAAAAATAAAGTTCTTTAATGTTAAAAAATTCATTTTTTAGTATTCATAAATAAATAAAATTAGCTGTAGTTGGTAATTGCCAATAATGACAACTTCTAAAATTAATAATCTGTACCAATATTATTGATACATTGATAGTCACAAACTATTTTTTCAATATTTTTGATCATGAAAGGACTGCTTAATAAACCATTCTGTGATTAAAATCATGTTCCTAATGTTTCAAAAAAAATTTAGGCCGATCCATTCAAAGTCAAAACTGGTGGTTTAATTAATATGACAGCTTTAAAAACGGGACAAGTCACTCAAGTAGAAGATGCCTATGATGTTGGGATAGGTACTCAGTTTTCAGCAGAAACAAATAAACGAGATGAAGACGATGAAATGTACAGTATTATTATTAATTACTAGCATAGGGGCTTTTAGGGTAATTTTAATTAACGTAATCAAGTTTTAATAATTTCATATTCTTTATAATTTTATACATATATATTAGGGTGGTCCTTAAATTTGATATGGTGTTGGATGATCGTCTTTCGGCTCCAAATATTGGAAAAAATTTTCTTAATTTTTTTAGATTTTAATTTCATTTTCTAGGACTCCCTGTTTACACATCAAATGTATACACTCAGCGCGGGCCAGCGGGCAGTACAAAAGAACAGTATACATTTGATGGGCAAACAGGAAGACTAAGGGAATGAATAAAAAATATGGAAAAATTAGGGAAATATTTTTTCTATATTTGAAGCCAAATGACAGCCATCCAACGCCATGTCAAATTACATATATGTAAAGATAATAATTTTACAATAAAACAGTAAAGTAAAAATTAGTTCTTAAGAATTATAGACTATAGTATTTATAAATTGTAATAATATTTATCAATAATGATGAAGGAATATTGAAGTATAACAATAAAAAAATTTTAATTATTAAGTTTAGAATAAATCAATTTTACATTTAGGATGAAGTACATAGATGAACAAGTTGCATTAAGGACTGGTCGCATTAAAGAGAAAGATGAAGAGGATAATATCAGTCCAAATAAATCAAATTATTGTCCTCCAGAATTAGCAGCCTTGCAAGCGGTTCCATTACATTTACGAAGTTCAACTACACATCGATCTGAAGAGATGTTATCTAATCAGATGCTTAGTGGTATACCTGAAGTCGATCTAGGCATTGAGTAAGATTTTTTTAATCTAGCTGAATTCAAGATTAAACATATTTTTAAAAAAATGTTTACATTTTGCTTCTAGTGTTATCAGGAACTCTCTTAAGTTTAAAAAAATATATTTAAGGAGTTATTGTTATTTTTTTCTAATAACTTAAACGTATACTTAATTAAAAAATCCCCAATTAAATGCCTTTTTTGCCCTATAAAGATTTTTAGTATAATCTTCGAAAATGGAAATTTCAAAAGCAATAAGTATTTTTATTTTAAGTAGATAAACATTTAAAAAAATTATTATTATAAATAAAAAAATTGATAATTACACACTAAAATTTCCAGCGCAAAAATAAAAAACATTGAGGCCACAGAAGAGGCTAAAATGAAACTTATTCGAGATCGACGCAACAAAAATGACGGTCCATCACACTTTGTACCGACTAATATGGCTGTAAATTTCGTTCAGCATAACAGATGTAAATAATAATAACTTTTTATTTGTATATAAAAATAATAATATAGAATAATAACACTATGATTTGCCTATTATTTCAGTTAATATAGATCCCGTTGTTGGACCTGCAGGAAAAAAGAACGACAAATCATTGTTGCCTGCTAAACCACAAGATAAATCACATGAGAATAATGGTGACAAAAGAAAAAAGAAAGATAATGCTACAGATGATTTTCATTACGAACGGTTTAAAAAACAGTTCCGAAGATATTGATACTTTGATATTATAATTTATAATAACAATTGTATTTTTTTACCGTATTGACATACCTAATTTTGATATTTTAGTTCAATTGAACACTTTACTACTTGTTAGTACAATTTATGTGGGTCATGTAATACAATTTGTATTATTTTATACACTTCATCAAATATATTTACACAGATAAAATATTGTGTTAAATGTAAATTTGTCAATTGAGTAAATAAAAAAATAGGTAATAAAAGTATTGAAAAGGTTGATATTTTGGTTTTTATTTTTACAAAATACATGCAGCTAAAACTGTTTTCTAACACTAGTTTTGTTTATCATAATTCATTAAAATTATGCTTTTTTGTTCAATTTATTTATTCACCTTTTGTGAGTGTGTTTGTAGAGGAATTGCCATTTCATAATTATGTTTGTATAATTAGCCAGTAGGTAATAATCTAGTGCAGACTTCAATTATCGAATATTCGAATAAAGTATTGAGAACAGCAAAAACAACCAATTTTCTCATCACAAATTATTGGACGATTGCCGCATATACTACATAAACATAAGTATAATAGACAATATTGATTCGAGTATGGCCTTCTTAATGACTAATTACTAATATCTATTCTCCTGCTAATCTATGTATTTTATAAATACCTAGCTAAGAAAGATATTGGTCCATTTTAAATGTTTATTCCTTGCTTAAAATGTATTAGTCATCAAAAACAATATTCGACGACCAACTTAATATTATCTAACGATGTACACGCATTTCCGTTTATCGTATGTATTGTTCTTGTAATTACTTTTATAAATAGAATAACCGATAATCATGTTATCGTGGCTTGTAGTCCTGTATCCCTTTTGTTTTTTTTATTTTATTGAGGGGGTTCCATGCGGTCTGTTTTAAGCATACTTGTGTAGGCAATATTTAAGAATAAAGTGGTTTTAATCAATTTCGACCATATTAATTAATTTTCCGATTAATTTGTATAAGCTTCAAGGTATTAATTTTAATTTATATAATTGTTTCTATGAGTATAAGTAATTTTGGCTTTTTTTAGAGCAAAACGCTAGACAAAATTTCGACTACTTGGGATGGTCCAATTTCAAACCTGTCAAGACTCAAGTAAATGGTAACACTTTCTCTCAATTCAATATTCATACTCTCAAATAGGTACATAATATAATAATGTAAACACTAAGAGCAGTCAATCTCTTTGATAATTAATAATGGCATCTAGCTATATCAAAAACAATACTAAAAATGTGTCTAGCAATAGTTTAAAAAAATGTTACCAATATCAAATAAAAGATAAACGGACAACAATTATTAACAAATTATTTATACCAACTATTGGTCCCCGTGAAATAAATCAAAAGGGTATCTCTAATAACTAATAATAATAAGGGTATAACTAATGAATAAAATAGAAAAAATTGTTGTTTCATGGTCTAAATATAAAATAGTGATTAGTAAGTTTAAAAGTGAAAAGTAACTGTTTAATCAAGTTTCTTGTCATACGTTTTTGGCTTTCGAAGCCATAAATTCCTTTTACATGGTTATTTAGTCCTACAGTTTTCATTTTCATATTAGTTAAAATGTATACTAAATTGACATTGAAATTTGAATAAATAAATATTAATGTTCAATGGTTGGATAAATTATATTGTTATTTAAGAGCCGGATTGGCACATTGAAATTTGGATATAATATAATATAGCTGGTACATATATAAATGAAATTTAAATGAAGTACTAAATCGCGATTAATTAGTATGTCTACCGGCAACACAAAATATGTGCCGCTCACTTTCTATTTATTATTTTTTTTTAAATAAAGTTGTTTATAATTTATACAAAAATGATTGAAATTGTTATCAGTTTCATAAACGTGTTATCAGATTATCAGGAAAAAAAACAATACAATTAATGTTAGATCATCTATAGAAATTGTCAAAATAAATAGGCGAGATGCCTAAATGTTACCAAGTACTTAATTATCCGTAATTGAAATGTATAATTGTCATAAATAGTAAATAATGTAGTAATTAGCATCTTTACGTGCTATTTTTTTTAAAGAAGGCGATACGTCGTTACCATTACAATCACTAATGAAACAATTGACTAAAATATGGATAGCCAATCCGAGTTTTATTTTTAATACATATCGTTTTTCATCAATCTATATAGGTACAGTAAGTTTGTTGATAAATTCAAATTACCATTATGACGTGTGAATTAATTTAATTGTAGAATAGGCCAATGAAATGCGTTTCAATAAACTAGAGATGATTACATTGGCACAGCAACCATCAAATAAATTTGATAAAGAAGGTTTGTTATTTGTGCGTGAACGACAAGAAGGGTTTTTTAGAAGAACAGAAAGTGAGTAAAGGACATTCAGCTTATTCATATGTTATGCTATGAGTTATTTACGAATAGTTTTATCAAACTATGGTTTGTGCTGTAGGAACTGAAAATTAATTGGCGTTTTACAAAAATAGTAAAACTAACCTTCATAAGCTTAGCATGATTTTTTCATAACATTTTGTATGTCTAATCTTTTATTAGTCCCATATTGCATGTAATATTTAAAATTTTTTAGAATATGGATTTTAGATTGGGATAAAATACAAATTTTAACAATCAGCAGTGTAATATATGTAATTAATCTAATTAATCGACCTTAAATAAATATTAAAAATATACCCAATTGTTTTTTAACTAATTTTGTTGAATTTTAACTACTGGTTAGTAAATAATGAAATATACCTAGTTAAAACTTATCATTTCAAAATAGGTCATTAAAATAGTCATTTCAAAATAGGCTTAAGAAAAAAAAATTTTTTTTTTACTTAAAGCTTAAATTATACAAAACGAAATATTAGAAAACATATTTCTTTTAAGTTTACATCAAAAGCCTATGTATTGTAAACTGCGGTTTTAACACCTGTTTCTTTATGAAGTACTAAAATTTTGAAAAAATGACGTGTAATATTTAAAAAAAATTACCTAACAATAATAATTATTTAGTTCTTGTATTTTTTTTTGTCAGTCAGAAGTAAGATTTAGGGAGGATAACTTTTAAAATTTAAATGTTAATGAATACATTTAATTAGGTTTTTAAATTAGGAATAACTTGTTCAACATTTTGGGTAGTTGATATCCAGCTTTAAGTCAGTACTTATAAAGTTATTAGAGTTAAAAATTTAGGACAAGAGAAGGAGTGTAAGATTATTTTTATCTACACGTATTACTCAACTGCACTCTACCTCCCATCCTAAATTTTAAACTCTATTAACTTTAAAAGTAATGATTCAAAACTGATTATTGACTATTTTTATTTTTTAGCAAATTATTTTTAATTAAAAAAAAACAAATATAATGTTTACATTACCTTTTAAGTTTTCAAAAGTTTCCCTCTAAATCTAGCTTCTGACTAAAACAAAAAATACAAAAACTTTTAATTACTATTATTTAATCTAAATTTATGTATATAATTTTCACAAGACATTTTTTTTTTAAATTTTAGTATTAACAAGTTTTACATGAAATTTTTAACACCCTGTATAATAAAAAATTGTTTTCAAATTGTTCTCAAAAGAAACTTATGTAGTTGATGCAAGATTCAACACATAAACTGCTATGTATTCCAAACTATTAACTTAATTTTTAGACTATTAGATTTGATGATTAATTTCAGAAAGAGATTCAAAGAGAAGCAAAAAACGTGAACGACTAAGCGATCTAAACTGTTATGGCGGATCACAAAAAGGTATATAGATCTAAAAAAAAGTAAATTAATTGATATTGAGATAATCAATAATTTCATGTGTAATTTTTATGAAGTGGGTTACATTTTCTTAGTAGTTGTCAATTATGTCACTGTGAATTATCAGTTGTTCTTAGGGACCAGTATAACAGTTAAGATTGTATCATTAAGATTTACCATAATAAATCTTTAAAAGGGAGCAGTTAGAAAACTGTACAGTTTTATCATACTCATAATTAATCATAGCATGCCACTTAATATGTTATCGCATGATATATATATAAATATTAATATATATATTTAATTTACTGATGTCCTATTAGTCAAATCTAACATTTTATTTATTTATAAAACCATAATAATTCTAGAGGTATTTTTAATGCATGATAAAAAAACATTTATTTGTTTATATATTATATTATTTAAGTAAAAAAACATTTGTTTAAACAATATACAAAAACATTGATCCAAACACAAATTATTGATCAGTATTAATGAGTGGTAAGTGTCACAGTAGATAATGAGATAATGTCTACCCGCTTAGAAAGTGGGAAAATAATCTAGTTTTTTCAAATTAAAACGACAAATATTTTTATAGAAATTTCAGTAAGAAATATATATTTTAATTCAAAACTATTTTATCTTAGTCTTAGAATAGTGCAGTTGATGCCCGGGTGGTGTGCACTCGTTGAACTGGTATGCCTACAAAGTAAACATTTTATTATTGTAGAAATATATATATATATATATATATGAGCCGATTTAGTTAAAGTCTTATTCTGCTCGGTGAAAATAAGGAAGGCTGAGAAGAAGAATGGTGGCAGTAGGTGGCTACGATCTACTGGTTCCTTTGAATAGGTACCACATAGTGCCAGTTTTTTTTTTTTTTCATCTTGACGTAGCTCACACCTAGCAAATGGTATTAACAAATAAAACAAAACCTAAATTTCACTCTTCAAATAAATATGCAAAAAGAAGGTTTACTTGAAAAATTTGATTGAAAACACACTAACATATTATCAAAGTTAAACATTTTTGTTAATTTAATTTCACTAATATTATTATTGTTGTTATTTTATAGTTACTATTTTTTTTTTCAAATTTATTATAATATAACAAATATAAATTATATGCTAGACTACCTGGTATGCCTTATTTATCTAGTTTCCATACAATACATATCTCGCACCCTAGCATGTGAGTGTAGCCAGCTGGGCAGCATGTTTGAGTAAAAAAAAGAGATTAAAAACATTAGTTCTTCATTATATATTTATATATTTTTTTTTAAAATTAAAACAAACAAAAAATTATTTTATAACATTCTTCTTATATTTCACTTATTTATAATGTTGTACAAACTATATTACAGGTTGATCAATCACTAAATTTTCATATATAATATTATTAACTTAAAATAATAATTAATAAATTACAATTTTTCTTTTTGGTATTTTTTTGTAAGTTCAAAATTATTAGCAAGATATATGTGTGAATAATTAAGTTTGATGGTGAGAGCCAGGTGATAACGTACATTCATAGATAGATTCCTCTAAATATTAATTACTTAAAGAAAGATTCAAAACTTATTATTTATTGGTGTATTTTTCAAAACCCCCAGACCTCAATTTTCTGGTGCAACATAAGAACTTGATTATGCAAAATGTATTATACTTGTTTGATGATAGGTTTAAAAGCAAAAAATAGAAACTGATAAAATTAAAATAGAATAACATTTTAGGGGAATGACATTTTTATTCATATGAAAAGATTTTATTGAAAAAAAATATTTTTTTAAGGATTTTTTCTACAAAGAATTAAAGAAAAAAATTAACAGCCAATAAAATAATGAATCCTATTTAAATAATAATAAATAAAATAATTTTCTTTACTGGTCCTTTTAATAAATAAATAGAGAATAATTGTTTTTTTTAATATTGTATAAACAAAAATAATGTGTTGTTTAAAATTGACATAATGGTTTAAACATACCAGTTAGTCATTAATTTTATTTATTTTTCATATTAAAGCAAATTTTGAACGCTGGTGTCGCTTAAGGGGTAACCTACTGTTTTATCTGAAATCTCACGATCAACTCTCAGATTTACTGGGTATTATTATTTTACAAAACTATACTGTACAGTTAGACGAATCTCCACCGGATGGACCTTTTAGTTTTCAAATAGGTAAGTCCATTAAATAATGTGTTGATTTGTTTGTATGAAAGATTATGTCAATAATATTATTATTTGATTATAAAATATTAGTATTTGAAAACGGAGTTTGCCAACAAATTGCTGCTCATACAGAAATAGAAAGAGATTCTTGGCTAGAAGCTATAAAACAAGCAGATTACGATATCATGCGGGCAAGACTATTAAAGCTTAGAAGGCAATTGGAAGAAAAGCAAAAACCAAATTTAGATATTAACATGTGGAGACTTCGTAAAAATCAACCCAAATTAGGTAAAGTTTATTGTATTATTGGATATTTTTTTACAAAATATTTTAAACTGTATATTTTACTGATAGATCTGTCAAGAGTTCCATTATGTGAAATATGCTTTTCCTGTGATAATCTTATGTGCGATGGTCATGGACGTTCCCCAAATCCGGCTATTGTTGTGTCTATATACATTCCCAGTGAAAATGTCTGGATAAATTATGCTAATACCGAAAGCATTAGTGATAGTAGTAATCCAACATTTTTAAGAACTGTTTGGCTTCAGTGCAGTGATGGTCTAACTGAAGATTGCATTCTTAGAATATCGGTTTATGATGTACGAGAGTCCGTTTCTGGTACTGCAATAAAAATGGGTCATTGTGAAACAAAACTATCTTCACTAATGGAAACAACAAACTCTGGTAATAATGGACAACGAGTACGTCTTCCATTAACATCTTTTAGTAATCAGTCAGATTCAGATAAAATTATTGGTTTTATTACCATGACTATATGTCGCCCGGACAAACAAGTTGAACACAACATGAGTACAGAATCAACACCTTGTAAATCAATTATGTATACTAATCCTAATCTTCCAGTAAGCCCATTTAGATAATTAAAATTATTGTAAATTATTAATGGAAATTTATTTAATTAGATGATAAACCATCGACGAACACAATCGCTTCCTCCAAGACTTGGATCTAGATTACGTATTCCATTACAAAATTACTTATATTTATTATTTGATAATATATCGTTTGTTACTTATCGTTTTCATTCCGGTTTACGTGGTGATATTTCTTTGTATGAAATTATGGCAGAAAGCAAATTTTGTTTTTACCTGCCTCAACAACTTTTGTAAGTATTTTGTGTATGCCTTTTTAATTACATTTAAACATTAATTACATCTAAACATTATATGATTTAATGTTTGAAAACAGAAATATATGGATACTTGAAGAAAAAGAGCTTTTACAAGAAGTGTCGGGAATGGGCGAACTTGCTGAACCTTGGCATTCTAAACAAGTAGAATTACTTGATCGTCATTTACAACTTTTACATTTGTATTCGCAAGCCAAGCAAAATTTGGAAAATCAAAAAGGTACTTACAGTTTTTAAATATGTAATTAATTATTATTTTATTTTTATTTATATAATATTTTAGTAAACTCTTTTTTATTTAACCAATTTTTTTTTTTTAAACAATTTTAGGAGTTAATTTTAAGCCAAGTTCCCGTAAAAACGATCGTTCATTAGAATTTGCTCCTACAAATTTACACTTGCAACGGATTTGGGTACAGAATGATACATTAAAAAAGAATGGATTTTATGATATTATTACAGTTGGCGCGTTTACTGCGCATTCACATAAATCTAAAACTGGAGGATTGATCAAGTAAAAAAATTAATAAATGTTGAAACTTATATTTAAAATTGTTTACTTACTTAGTTCATTTTTATAGACTATTGCAACAGCTAAAAGAAGCTCCTCTTAAAACTAATGGTAATGCTATTATCAGTAGTAAAATTACAATGGCTTTTGATGCAATTCAAGCAATTAAGTTGCTTCGACGAGAAGTAGTCGATGCAATGAAAACTTTATTAAGTTTAGCTAAAGATAAACAAACCACAGGGATGATGCCGATTTGCAATGATATGATGTCCAAAGTACTAAATATTCTTAAATTGTCAAAGATATACCCTGTTCCACAAGAGAGCATATTTGGGCTAAAACCAAAACGCGTTACTTCTAGTTGCGCAGGCAAAAGTAACGCATTTTGACTTCTGCTCATGTATGCTCCCTCGTGGCCCAGAGTATAGTTATGTATGAACATTATTTTTTTTTTTTCGTAGACTCAAATTTTGTTAAGCCTTTGGGATCCAAAGCTTGTGGAAGAAGCATTAAACTTTATTGAAGAACATAAAGTCACCCCTGTAGCAAGTGATGATGGCTATTCAATTAAGCACACTTCTGATTATCATGTGTCTCCATTTAAACGTATAGCTAGTCAAATTAATTTTGATTTGCAATCACCAGATACTGAAGAATTATATATGCCAGAAAGTCCAAAGGGTTTAAAAAATTTTATGAAATTTAATGCAAAAGGTATAAAAGAAGAACAAGATTTAAGTGATGATCAAGATAAACAGCAATTCATAATATTTCCAGAATGTGAAAGTGACATTGATAAAGACTATAATGAGATAGAGACAACCGGTAAAGCTTGTAACTGTAATATTGAAGTTAATTATTTGTAATATACTTAGTATACTATTTTATTTAGACACAAAAAATAACTCTATAATAAGTGAAAATGGAAATGGAATGAAAACGGGTCAATTTTTAGATACTTACTCTATGTGCAATTCGCCATCTGCCAACTACTACAAACCGACTGAAGAACCAGAACCTTGGGAGCTTACTCAATTGAACATCGAGGCTAGTATTATGTGTCTTGTGAGTAAAGTTAAATTTTTATGTGGTCGTTGTAATAGCCCTGCAGTAAGATTACGATCCCAAAGATGTCACAGTTTTCGGTCAAACGTTGCATTTTCAAAGCAAGTATGTTCTTAAAGGTGTTGTATATGCTTCTAATAATAAGTAGTTAATTTTGAAAAATATTATTTAGGGATTAGAAATTGGTAACCAACCTGCAAGTTTGGATTCGGATTTCAACAAACGAGCAATCTCAACAGAAATAAATTCAGAAATGTTAACTACAGATAATATTATAAAGTATGTCAGTATGTAGTCATACATAGTGTATTTTCTTTTATACCAATGCTGCTTCAAATTTTAACTTTTGTATGTTTAGTGCAAAACCTAGAAACAAGTTTACGGAAGGACTTGACTTCAACTTAATGACTGATTGGGCAACTGAATTAAAACCTAGTATGCGTAAATTACGACAGGCGATGGATGGTTTATTGAAAACTGCTAGGCTTACGCATAGTGTTTTCAGAGTTCAAGAAGATAAAAGATCTGCTGAAAGATCTTGTAATGTTCGATATAGAAGACATGTTTGTTTTGCTCAAGCGGTAATTTAAATTCTTAACATATTACATGTTTTGTAATTTACAAATTGTAAGTGTGAACTATTTGTAACTTAATGATTTAGTTAACTGCGCTTGTAAGTGGTCTAATGGCAAGGCTGTGGTGTCAAAAACCTGATGCAGAGTTTTTATTTATGTTAACATCAATTGGTTGTCTTGCTTCTTTTGAATGCCTTTTAAGTTATTATGGTAATGAAATTGATATGTGGGGTGACATGGCTATTGCTGTTGAAGATTTAGCAACAGTGAATTTCACACTTTTGCCACTATCACAAGCTGTCAGGTATTTTATATTTATTATTTTATAATACACATTGTTGGTATCTTGAATTTTGATTTAAAAAATTAACATATAATTTATTTAACAGAGATAATCCGAAAGATGAAATCATGCCACGTATCATAGGTTCAAGAAATTCATTATGTGTGCTGTTACCTGTTCCTGATTTAGTTCATTCTTTAATTTCTTCTAAAATAATTGCTCCATTTCGAGTGACGCCTGTTTTCTTCAACATTGGCATTAATGAAATGGCTACTCTTGCTGAAAATTTAGGAAATACAAAACCGCAAGATAGCAGCAATATGGATAATTTTGAAAGATTAAACGAGTTTTGTTCAAGGTACCGTAAACTTAATATGGCCAAGGATAGGGAATGTGAAAGACAAGGGGCTTCCCTTACAGAAATGATGACCAATTTAAAAGATTCATTCTATAGTAATAGAAGTAAAAATGTCGAAGCATTACAGTTAGCAGCAAAGGTGTGCCGTAGGCTAAAAGGTATTTTGGTAACCAAATTTAAAATCATATTAATTAATAAATGTACCGTAAAACCACCTATCCAGCCAATTTAACTGTTTTTGTTATTTTTAATTTTTAGGTTTACGATTTACTAGTTGCAAAAGTGCCAAAGATCGTACTGGTATGTCAGTGACGCTCGAACAATGTTCCATACTTAACTTAGAATATGGATTAGCAGAAAACGAAATTCAGAGAGCTTTGGATTGTATGAGAAGGTAACTAATCTACCTAACTATATGACGACAAATAAAGTGTTAAGTGTAGTAACGGATGCTAATTTATTTTTATATCTTACAGCGAGGGTTGTAGAAGAGAAAATACGTACAAGAACACTGGTGTTAGAAAATATGCTTTTAACAGATTACAACATTTTACATTACCTGAGCAATACAGACCGCCGGCAGGTACTTACGGATCAAGTCAAACTTAGAGTTACCACCTACTGAGGTTAGATATGTTTGCAGTTTATACTGACAAATGTTTTTAAATCATAATATATGGTAATTAAAATGATTTATGTTTACCATATCTATGTTCCTATGCAAAGACTGGGGACTAATGTACTTAGAATCCCTTAAATTTTTAGTTAATTTGTGAATACATAAAACATAAATTAATAAGCTCCTTTTTATCATTCATTCTTCAAGTCAAGTTTTAATATATTATTCTTATTTAAAAAATGTTATATTGTTGTTATTTATCAATAATAATAAGTATAAACAAAACCATAATTTAACTATACAATAAACTAAACAATTATTATACTTTTTTATTATTTTGTTTTTATTGAAAATTAAATAATTTAATGCAAATTGTTATTACTCCAGAATTGAATACATTAATTTAGTTTTAAGTATAATTTACTAGAGGTGGGCCGATACTCTATATCAGCCGATATTAGTGGTTTTGTTTATTTTGGAAACCAATATTTCGACCAATACCAAAATTATTATAATCAATGGTAGGTATTATGTAAAGTTGGTTCTATCGGGTATGGTTTTGTTTTAATATCGGTTCATATTTTATACAAAAAATGTTGATTTTTTTTAGTTATCGGGTACCAAACCAGTTTTATATTGGCAACATGTATCGAAATATCTGGTATTGGTGAAAAGTGGTATCGGCCCACCCCTAATAATTATTGCTATAATAGTATAGCTTTAAAATTTTAAATGTTTCTTAAAAAAAAAAAATGTATTTTCGTTATTATTTGTAACAGGTTTTAGACTCCATTTCTTAAATCTAGTATACAAAAAATCTTTATTTTGATGTTTTTAAATAATATAATTATAGTAATATTATGTATTATACCTCCATTTTGTAATTTAGGTTTTATGCTTTACCATTGAATTAAAATTATATTATATTATTGAATGTATTGAATAATAAACCATGCTATTGTTAAAAATTACAGCAACAAACATGCATTCAAGCAGGTTGAATGTAGAAGGTGCACTTGCATACGTAGTATTTACATTTAACAATCTTCAATGCAAATTAGTTATTGTTATATTTAACATTAGGTTGGCTTGTCTGTATATTATAAAATAAGCGACTATATGAAAAAAGTTAATTAACAAACATCGTAGCTAATTTCATTAGGTAATTATAAGGTTAACTATTAAAATTGTTTCAATATTAAATGTAATTAAATTCTAAGAATATATCTATTTATATTCCGGTCACTCTAAGAAGAAACCCTGACAGCAGTCTAAAACTCGTTTGCCGCCACTCAAGTTGTATCTGTATGCGGAGCCGAACAATGACAATGTTGTGGGGTGGAAGCCATTGATGCGATCTTCTTAAAGTGACTGGAGTATAATAATCTTACTATACCTATATATATATATATATATATATATATATATCTTTGTTAAACTTATCTTGATGCTCAAATTTAAAATATCAATTAAATGCACAATTTTTTATAGGATTTAAGTATAATGTATTTATAATACATAATATTAAAAACATAAAAATAAATTATGCAAAATAATTCATTTAATGTGTTTATATTGTAATGTTAGTTTATTTCTACAGTATTATGTAAAAACGAAGTAAAATAAATTTATATTTATTTAAACAATAATTTATGTATTTTTTAAGTAACAAGTTTACATGTGCAATTTTTAAAGTCATTGTTATTTTGTACTTAATTATTGTTTTATAACTAGTAATTCTAATATTTAATACTTATATTTTTTATGAAAAAATAATAGTTCAATAAATTCTTAAACATTTTTTAATTAAATTTATGTTATTATATAATATTAAATTTAACATTGTTTTGGTAATTTTATGTGGTCAGAAAATATATTAATTATTGTACGATTAACTTGTAGAATTATTTTGTACTTTGAGTTTGGCCAATTACCCTTTCTTATTGAAAATTATGATAGAAAATATGTGTAAAGAATGAATAAACTTTTAAACAACACATTAATGATACTTATTATATTTAAACAAATATCCAATACAAAGATATTTTTTTATATTATTTAGTGCAATTATTTAAAAGTATAAATTCATTAACTTCTTTATAATTAGTTGATCTATACAAAAGGTCAAACTTTATGTGTTTTACCATTAATAGCAAAGTAAAAGTTCAAATGTCTAGTGTGTTAACATAAAATACTTAAATTTGTACTAATTAGGAACAACTATAATAATATATTATTTTTGACTTAAACTTAACATTACTTGTTAACTTTTAATTATGTGAATACAAAATATAAAAAATATAGTGCATTTTTAGTGCTGTAATAACAAAATATTTTTGAAAAACAAATACAATTTAAATTAAGAAAAATAAGGACGGCATCTTTGGTATAAATCTTAAATTTACTTACACTTAAATAAAAATAAAAATTGTGTTACAAAGTTGGGAGTGTTTATTTAAAGTAATACGATTCAAATGGAATCTTATAGTATTTTTTCATTAAATAACATTGTACTATAAATTATTTTTAGTGGTGTTTTTTTCAGAATAATGTCCAGATGTTTTTTTTGATAATGAATATCCCGATGATGATTTCTTTAGCCTAGTTATATAAATAAATTATTATAACATATGGACTATTTTATAATAGTAATATAGATTTAAAAAATAAAACTACTTACTGTCTAAGTGTAGGAGTTGTTTTATGTGATATTACTGGGGTAGATTTGCGACGCAGCTTGATAGTTTTTAGACGTTCACGATCTCCTCGAATAATAGCCATACGTTCATGCACAGATCCCAAAATTAAATCATTTAGATCATAGCAAGCAGTAGTTAGCTAAACAAATATAATTTTGTGTTTTTAAAAGTAATTTATATTATTTAGTTCAATACATTAATTATTAAATGGTACACTTCACAATACTCTCAGTATTAACCTAGCACTGTATCATTAAAATATTTTTGTAAACATTTTGTTTAATACCTGATTGATGATTCTTCGATGAAGATCAAGATCTGATTCTGTTGGCTGTTGTTTTTTTAACTCTGCGTGCATTAATAGAGCAGTTTTTAATGAATCTAGAATAGTCTTTTTCAACATTTGAGCTTTTTCAGTTTTTAAAAGTCTTCTAGTTAGATAACCACGAACACCTGCATTAATGACAGTGGCTGCTGAATTTTCCACATCAGTAGGAGCCTTAGACCATCTTGCATTTGAGCCACTTCGTATTCTATGATAAAACTTTATATTTTGTTGCAAACTTGGTGATCGCAGAGGCGTTTTAAGCCTAGGCGATGAACAAGCAATGCTGCTTTTATTTATAGAATAATTAGAATTAATAGATGAAGTATCTGAATATACACTTTTGTCATTAGTAAGTGTTGTTTCAGATTGGATTGACAAGGAATTTTTATCTGATTTCTGAAATGTTTCAGAATACTCAGATCCATCAATAGAAATTCCAGATGAACTCTGTGAAATCAAATAATATCTAACAGCAATTTGTTCTTGCTCTTCTCTTTGTTTTTTTATTAAGTTTGATAATTCTTGTTGATGTCTATTTTCAATATCTAACTTTGCTTTTCTTAATCGTTCTGTTTCTATTTTCAGTTCATCAGGTGTTTTATAGTGAATGCTACCATTTATAGATTCATCATCACTTTGTTTACAACAACAATGTCTAGTTGTCGAGTTTAAACTGCTGTCATTTTCATAATTAATTCCGTTATACACAGTTATGACGCTACCTACTAAGCTTTCATCATTACTCAAGTTTGTTCCATGAGACGATGAAATGCTTTCTTTATTGTGTTGTTTTTGATCAGTATTAGGATTATGGTATATTGATTTATCAGTGTGCTTTTTTAATTCTTCGAAGTTTTTAAGTAATTCTTCATTGTTGATTGGTTCAGGAATAGAACAAAGAGAGGAACTTTTAGTCAACTTATGCTCATCAATTCTATTTTTATTACAGATACTAGGTGGTTCAGATTTAGTTTCGACAGAAAAATATTTTTCATCCAAACACTTTGGTTTGATTAATTGTTGTTGTATTTGACTATTAAGGAAGGCTACCATAACTGGACTCGGAGTTAACAATGTATACGAATTACTCCTTAAGCGAGGTGTATTATCTGTATTATCAGTTATTTCATCTTCACTGGGAGTAAAATCATTTACAGTTATGCTGGAACTGTTTTCAGTATTTTCCTGTCCCGAACTATTTTCTACTAAACTAACGCCTTCAGTTGTTAAATATTGATTTTGCTGAGGAAACAAAATATTACTAATGCCAACTTTTTTAATATTAGAATTTGAAATAGGCGTTTCTGGATTGCCGATTTCATTGTTTTTGAATATAATACTATGTGTTACATCTGTTTTTACGTCTTGCTTCTCATCGATTATTGGTTCTTTATTAATGCTGATAGGCGATTCAGGATTATCAATTTTTTGCATCTCTGTACTTGCTGTCATTACCCCACTGTCCATACTTACTCTTTTACCTTTTAGTTTCTGTTCTAACGCCAAAGCTTTTTCTTTGTAATCTCGCATTTCTTGTCTTTTTTTAGTAGATATCTAAATCAAAATATTGTTTCACAATTACTAGAAAAAATATTATTAAACATAAAAATGATAAAACTATTATAAGTATAAAGCTGTATGAAATGCTACATCTCTTTTTATTAATATTTTGGAAGAAAGCATGATTATAATTCGTACTTGTTGAATTCAATACAGAAATTACAAATTATACATACACAAAAAATAAATCCCTAAGCCTAATATTCAAAATTGTTTGAATAACATCTAATAGTTTTTTTTTCAACCTCATAGGTTGGTTTATAACTTGCTGTAAGAAGAGAAATAGCCAGTAACCAAGATTGCAACCACGGCCATGGCTAACTTTTACGCATTGCCATGTTAACCCACTTGGCTACGACACACCTAATAATGGGTGACTTCATTATTTTAATTTTAATTTATAATGAAATATGAATAGTACACAAGGAAGAATGGCAGGTCAAAATTTAAAAATGTTTTTATTTAAAAGACGTTTAAAGATAAATTAATATTATATATATTAATAAATCTTAATTGTAACGATATCAGATCCTAATAAATTACTAATTTTCGGAAGGTAAAAATAATATTATCAGCCTCGACAATTATTTTTTAAAAATATTAACGTTTATAAATTCCTTACCAAAGGTGGGATAATTGGGTTTCCACATATTTTGATACAAGATACGAAATGTTTTACGTTTGTCGCCATTATGTAAAATTCAACAATAAATATAAACAAATAATAATAAAAAAAAGCAGATGAAAAATTTCAACAACGTATAACCGATTTGTAAAATAAAATTTGATTTAACATGATAATTTGTTTTGGTATTCTAATTGTACAATTTTTCGTGAAATATTTTCACTCTCAACTCTCAAGAGCCGTTATCATATTTTTAGAGGTAAGCTAAATATTATTTTCGTTACAGATTTTCACTACCAACATAACTTAATGGAGGTAGTTTCCAAAAAATTACTAACTTACAGCACTGATACCGATAATATTGTGAGCTTGGCTAAATAAATATAGGTGTACTAGCAACGTCTTGTGATACCCACAAAATTTGCTTAACGCTATTTTCGGCCGGTAGTACATAGATAATAAATAAGTATTTATTATCTATGATTTCGTACATGAGAACCATAGACCTTATACTAAAAGACGGAACATCTGGATGGAATGCGAGCAGGTGTTCAAAGCACGGCTATCGTATTTGGATTTTGGATATATTATATACGGTATACCTATATAAATACAAGTGTACTATATAGATATATTACCAAACTGAGAACACGAATGCGCATAATCACATGACCTATTGACGTCATCCAGTCTGCTGACAGCGCAGTCACGTCGGCTCGCTGGAACTACATGCATCTCCGTCTGCTCAGTCTATATAGTAGTTTAGTTTGTAGAGGATAATAATATCCATTTTGATTTTCGTGTAATTGATAACATAAATTGTTAGCATACACGATGTAGAAAAGAGATCTTTTCTACATCGTGCTATATAGTATCACTGATATCGATATGTGATGATAGCGATTAGCGAGTAACCCGGTAAAAAACTTTAGGGCGAATGCTAAGATCCTATTATGGATTAATTATTATTATAATTTATGTTAAAGTAATGACCGAAAGAAAACATGGTCTCATCATAAGTCATTACTCATATTTCTACTTTAGTGGAGTATATAGACTATAGTATTTTGGTATAAGTAATGAACTATGATATTTGTTGTACTATAACTTGATTTTTATGTCATAATTTTAGTCATTCGTTGTCAAAGACTGAATATAATTAAGCACAAGCCGCAAATAACCAAGTTACTCGTAAGCAATTCTTGTCGGATAAATAACAACTATCTATAGTATTATTGTTTGTAGAAGAAACAAAATGAACGAAGACAATTCAGGTACTCAACCAAAGTCGGATGATTTTGACTCTACTAGTTTTATGTTTGGTAACATCGACAGCAGTGGACGACTTGAGAATGACGACATTCTGGATAGTGACACTAGAAAACATTTAGCATCCCTATCTAAACTAGGTTTTAGCACTGTTGTGTCTGAAATAATTAGTTCCTTGGAACTTGGCACAGAAAACAACTATGAAGACATAAATGGTATTGAAGAGAAGTCCCCAACGGCTCAAGATTTTTTTGATATAGATGAATTATTTGAAGAAGAGATACCAGATATGAAATTAAAAACATCTGAGAGTGATAGTAATTATGAAAAATACAAAAAAATATCTGATGAAGAAATTAATCAATCTACAAATCATAAACGGCTAGAAACCCCTTTGGCTGCTATGTTACCATCTAAATATGAAAATGTAGATGTTACTACCATATTTCCTGACTTTAGAGTTGGCAAGGTAAACCCACAGAATTTTTTAATCGTTAAAATACTTAATGTTCATTTTACTACTTACAGGTGTTAAGATTTTCAAGATTATTTAAACCTAATAAATCTAGTCGTTTACCAAACTTGTGGCGTAATGTCAAAACTAAACGTAGGAAAATAAGACTAAGCGAAGAAAGTTCGTCTGATGTTGATTCTAAAAGACAACCCTTAAAACTTGAATTTGGTCCATTGCCTCAACTCGAATCCATTGCTAGTGATGATGAGGTAATTTATTAAAAATATGATTTTGTTCTTATTTTATAAAAATGTAATTAATAATATATACACATATATCTACTTTTTTAGGAAAAATTTTTACAACCTATTGAAAATCTTTCAAAACAAACAGATCAAAGTAAACAAGAACAAGATGACAGTTTTAATAACCAAACAGACTGGAGAAATGGACCTGCTAAATTGTGGTATGATATGTTGGGAGTTCCTGAGAATGGTGAAGGTTTTGACTACGGATTTAAACTTAAAGACAAAGTAACTGCTTAATTCTTTGCTAACATACCTACTAATTTTTAAATTATTTTTAATTAAATGAATTATTATTTAATGGTTTTTAGACCAAAGAAGAAGAAAAAAAACCTGAAGAGAATCCATACCCTGATGATGCGTATTTAATGGTTAGCCAATTGCATTGGGAGGATGATATAATTTGGAATGGAGAAGATATCAAACACAAAGTCCTTCAAAAATTAAATAGCAAAACTAATGCTGCGGGGTGGTTACCAAGTAGTACTAATCGTACTGCCCAAGCTTTTAGTCAACCAGGAAAAGGAATGCTTCCACTTGCTGGTGGTTCAGTTAGATTAGCTACATCTAATATAAATGTATCTCAGTCACAAAACAAGATGGCTCTAAAACCAATTATGTAAGGTTTATTTTGAAAAATTGAATTATATTTCATTGTTTAAAATGTAATCTTTATGTATAGTGATGTTATGAATTCAAATTGAACCGAGTATCCATTTAAAAAAATGATCATACCAAACCGATTTTCAAAAATTAAAAAATTTGTTTACTATGAAATTAAAAAAAACAACTATGATTTTTTTGTACATACTTCTTATATGGTACTTCTTTTAATTTTAATAAATTAAATTTTCTTTCAACTTATTTTAATTGAGCCAATCATATTACATAATTAGATAAAATAATATAGTTTAGGAACTATGATATTCAGGTATTATTGGATTCCCAGTACAGTGGTAGATGTAGTTAACGACTAACAAAAATGTCAAAACAAACTATTTTTGTGCAAATTAAAATCCGACATGGGATGCTTTGTTACATTTAATTCAAGAGCAAACTAGAATAAAAAAATATGTCTAAATTATCGAATTTGTATTTTTTTTTTTTAACTTTAAAGTTTATAATTTGGTTTGAATTTTTATAATATTGAGTTTGCGTGTAAAACACTAATTTTTCTAAATATAATTGTTTTAGGAACTCAAAGCAACAACCAGTGAACGATACTACTGATGACACATGGTATTCTATCTTCCCAGTTGAAAATGAAGAGCTTGTGTATGGCACTTGGGAAGATGACATAATTTGGGACGCACAAAATATGGACAAAATACCTCGTCCTAAAATATTAACTTTAGATCCTAATGATGAAAATATTATCCTTGGTATACCCGATGATGTCGACCCAGCTAAGCAAAGATTGGATAATGCTACACCAGTTAAAGTCAAAATTCCACACCCACATGTCAAAAAATCAAAATTACTGCTAGGCAAAGCTGGTGTCATTAACGTATTGGAAGAAGATACACCAATGCCACCACCTAAGTCACCAGATAGAGATCCCTTTAATATTTCAAACGATTGGTATTGCTATATTTTAAATTTGTTATCAAAACATTTATTTTGTTTTATTAAAACCATTTTGAAACTAGCATCTCTGTCATTACCTCCCAGCCAAACCAGCTAAGGACCAGATAGGGGTAGAGGGAGTAACAGGCCACGAGTAGTAGTAGACAATACCAGCATTTATCTTCATACTAATTAGTTGATATTTTGCCATCTACGCGCAAATCTCGTAATTAAATAATTAATTGAATTTTTTGGGCCTATTTTATTTTTATGTGTCACGTCACGCTGCCTGCTGTTTCTCCTGACACCATTAAAACTTTAATTTATAGAATATACCTTTGTTTTAATTATTTTAGTTAGTAGTCAGTATCTTTTTCAACACATAGCCATTGTAATAAATAACAATACTGTCAATAATAATAAAATAATAACAATCGGCAACACAATTTTATCCACAATTTTGAATTTCAGTTTATTAAAATTATTAAGAAATCCAAAAAAAATATAATTAATATAATAATAATAATAATATGGTGTTAATTTTTTAGTTATTATCAGCCACGCTCATCAGAAACATCACTACGCCTCAAAGTTGGTGGTGGAAATATTATTCAACATTCTACTCCTGTGGTTGAGCTGAAAGCACCATTTATACAAACTCATATGGGACCAATGCGATTACGAAACTTCCATCGTCCTCCAATGAAACGATATTCACATGGTGATGTTGCTCAGCCCAAATTTCATTCCATACATCCTCTTTTAAAAAATATTAAAAAGAAAGCCAAGGCTAGTACTAAAAACAATGTTAACATATTATTTCCTTACTAATGTCATTTCAATTAAATTAACAACATTTATAATTGTAGCTCAGGGAACAAGAACGAATTGCTTCTGGTGGTGGAGATGTATTTTTCATGAGAACACCCGATGATTTGACTGGTCGAGATGGATCAATTATTCTTGTTGAATATTGTGAGGAGCACCCACCTCTTCTGAATCAAGTAAGAATTCAAAAAAGCAATCTAGAGTTTTGTTTCATTTATATTTGTTGTATAGGTGGGCATGTGTTCAAAAATTAAGAATTATTATAAACGTAAAATCGGTAAAGATCCTGGACCACCAAGTTTACGTTTTGGAGAAGTTGCCTATGCTCATACATCTCCATTTTTGGGAGTGTTATCACCTGGAAAAACTCTACAAGTTATTGAAAACAATTTATACCGTGTTCCAGTATATGAGCATAAGCCTATAGATACAGATTTTTTGCTTATCAGAACAAGGTAAACTTTAAATTAATTAAAACAAACTTAATATAAGTATTTAACTCCATATCAAAACTAAAAATAAACACTATTTTTTATAGACATGCATATTACATTCGAGAAATAGATGCTTTATTCACCTCTGGACAATTGTGTCCGTTGTATGAAGTTCCTGGTCCAAATTCTAAACGTGCTAATAATTTCGTCAGAGATTTTTTACAAGTAAAAATAATTATTTCAAATTTAGCAAAATGAAAAATGGTTTATTTATATTTTGGTTAGGTTTTCATTTATCGTTTATTTTGGAAAAGCCATGATTATCCACGACGTATAAGAATGGATGATATAAAAAAAGCATTTCCGTCTCATTCAGAAAGCAGTATTCGTAAGCGTCTTAAGCTATGTGCAGATTTCAAAAGAACTGGTAACAATTATAAGTAGTAGCTTACATTATTAAAAAAAAAATCTAAAATTGCTTTCTATATGTTAAGGTTCTGATTCTAACTGGTGGGTAATAAAACCAGATTTCCGTCTGCCGTCTGAGGAAGAAATTCGTTCCATGGTGTCTCCTGAGCAGTGTTGTGCCTACTTTAGTATGATTGCAGCAGAACAAAGACTAAAGGTATGTTCTTGAAGAATAGTTATTTTCAGTATAATCAATAATATATTATGTATGTACTTAAAATTTATTATTTAAATGTTGGTTATAGGATGCTGGGTATGGTGAGAAATTTATACTCACGAGTTTAGATGACGATGATGAAGAAATGCAGCTTAAAATGGATGATGAAATTAAAGTGGCTCCATGGAATACTACTCGGGCTTATATTCAAGCCATGAAAGGAAAATGCTTACTGCAACTTACTGGCCCAGCTGATCCTACTGGTTGTGGGGAAGGATTTTCATACGTTAGAGTGCCTAATAAACCAACAGTAAGTACAAAATTAAACTCAAATTAAACTTTTATCAAACTTTACCTTATTTATAATTTTAGTTAAATAAAGAAGAACAAGAATCTCAACCAAAGCGTATGGTTACGGGCACTGATGCTGATTTGAGAAGGTTATCGTTGAATAACGCAAAGGCTTTGCTTAGAAAATTTGCTGTGCCTGAAGAAGAAATTAAAAAGTTGTCACGATGGGAAGTTATTGATGTGGTTCGTACATTGTCTACAGAAAAAGCTAAGGCAGGCGAAGAAGGAATGACAAAGTTTTCTAGAGGAAATCGATTTTCCATTGCTGAACATCAAGAAAGGTTGGAATTTAGATTATTATTATTTATTAATATTAAATCAAAAGGTTACTTTATTCTTCTGAATAAAATAGTTATTAGAAAAGTGCAACATTATCAAGCTCAATAATATAACTTTCTTTTTTTTTTTAAACCATTATAAAAATTAAAATTTTGAAGTTAAGTCCAATTATTATTTTTATAAAAATATATTATACTTAAAAACTGGACCTTTAATTTCCAACATATATTTAAAACAAAAAAATATATAGATATAAAGAAGAGTGTCAACGAATATTTGATTTGCAAAATCGAGTGCTGTCATCACACGAAGTATTATCTACTGACGAAGGCGAAAGTTTGGATGAGGAAGACTGCTCTGATATAGAAGAAATGGGGAAAAATATTGAAAATATGTTATCAAATAAAAAAACTAGCACACAAGTATTATACAATTGTTTTATAATAATTATTCAATACATTATCTTTTTTTTTTTATCTTAGTTATCATTAGAAAAAGAAGAACAGGAACGACATGAACTGCGTAAGATGATTATGGGAGAACACAGTGATGAAATGAGAAAAAGGGAAAAAAAGAAATTGGACGATGAAGATAGTATGCAGTTTTCCACTACTGGGCAACCAGGTATGACAAATACTATAAATTAAAATTTTCAATAGATTAAATAATTACATGATTTATTGTTTTAGGTCGAATACTTAGAATTTATAGAACATTTCAAGGAGCTGATGGCAAAGAATTTACAAGGACAGAAGTAGTACGTAAGCCAGCTGTAATTGATGCATACGTTAAAATTAGATCGACAAGAGATGAAAGTTTCATTAAACAGTATGCTTTAATGGACGAGGCACAGAAAGAAGAAATGAAACGGGAAAAACGTAGAATACAAGAACAATTGAGACGTATTAAAAGAAATCAGGAACGGGAAAGATTTTCTAATAATTCTAGACCACAGTCTGGTAAATAATCTTTTTTTTTTATTATGTAACATAATAAGATTATAATAATATTAAAATCATATATTTTTTTAAGGATTTGGATTCACAATGACCAATAAAAATGGATCTCTCAGTGATTTAACAATGCCTACATCTGGCACCGTTACCATACCGAAACCACGAATGGAAGCCACTCCGCCTAAACCTCGTAAACCAAAACCTAGTAAAATGAAACCAGACTTGAAAGTCAGATGTGGGGCTTGTGGCAATGTTGGCCATATGAGAACAAACAAAGCTTGTCCCCAATACAATTTAAATCCTAACGCCTCTGTTAATGTAGCCCTTACTGAAGAACAAGAAGAAGAAATTGAAAAACAGATGAATATAGAAGATGAAGATTTGGTCAATGTAGACGGCACCAAAGTCACATTATCTAGTAAACTGTTAAAAGTAAGCTATCATTATTATTTAAAACATATGAAGTTAGTAAAATTATAATGTATGGATTATTTTTTAAAGCATGCAGAAGAAGTAAAGAGAAGGTCTTTGGTTTTAAAAGTACCAAAAGATGCGCTGTCGCGAAAGAAGCGCAAAAGCGAACTTCACTGTGACTACCTAAAGAAACCAGAAAGATCTGCTAACAGACGTCGTACTGATCCTTTGGTAGTTCTTTCTACAATTTTTGAATCAATTTTGAATGAAATGCGTGGTATGCCTGACGTGACTCCATTTCTTTATCCCGTCAACGCTAAAGTAAAAACTAATTTTTTTTTAATTTAATAACTACGTCGTTATACTACATAGTTAACATAAAAATAACGTTTATCAGTTGGTACCAGATTATTACAATATTGTTCAAAGACCCATGGATTTACAAACAATACGAGATGGACTTCGTTTAAAAAAATATCAAAATCGAGAAGAATTTCTTTCTGATGTAAATCAAATTGTAGAAAATTCTACACTGTATAATGGTATAGTTTTATTTGTTGACAAATTGTAATGTAACTATCGGTCAAATGTGAACATAATTTTTTAGGAGCTAAAAGTTCATTGACAGTCGCTGCACGACGTATGTTGGGTGTGTGTGTAGACCGTTTACACGAAAAAGAAGATAGACTTATGCTCCTTGAGAAGGCGATAAATCCTTTGTTAGATGATAACGACCAAGTTGCCCTAACTTATATATTAGACAATGCTGTTGGTAAAATAAAATTGATGAGTGAATCATGGCCATTTATGAAACCCGTTAATCGAAAATTGATTAAAGATTACTACAATGTAATTAAAGAACCAATTGATTTAGAAACTATTGCATCTCGAGTTTCCAGTAAGTTTTATTTTATAAAACCGATTATATATAATTAACGTGTATTAATTATAATTTTTATTTGTCTTCAAGGTCATAAATATCACAACCGAAAAGAATTTTTAGATGATATTAATTTAATTTTGGAAAACAGTATTGCTTATAATGGCGAAAATTCTGATTACACTCAGCACGCTCGAACTTTAATAAAAGCAGCAAACAATTTTATAGAAGGGGTACTTAATTTGTTTAACAAAAACATAACTAACATTTGTTTAAATTTAAATTTAACATAACTTTTAGTTTGATGAATACCTAACTCAATTGGAAAAAAATATCAGTTTGGTTCAAGCTCGAGCATTGGAACAAGTCGAAATTGATTCTGTTGCTGATGACGATTACGCCGATATGCAAGATGTTGAAGATGTATGTTAAATATGAAAAACTAGGGGGTCTTCAACAGCTTTTTTTTTTAGTATAGATACTATTGAATTGTTAAATAATACATTATTGAGAGAAAATATACATATTCAATATCACAATATTTTGATATATATTGAGATTATATCAATTTACTATTTATTTTAAAAAAGTGACAATATCCTTGAAGACCTTTATTAAGACAATCTTACAATTCATATTTTTTTTATATTATTATAATTCATTTTAAGTTAACACGATTCAAAGTATTTTGTTGAAACATTTGAAGAGTAATATTTTTTTTTTATTCTTTAGAGCTTAAACTCGCCTCAAGAGCATAAGGTCAACATTGAAGACATTGAGTTCCAAATGGAACCAGAAAGTAGTTTTAAACAAAACCACCATATTTTAGAAGACGGTATAACAATTTCACTAGGATGTCTTTATTGTGATACATATTAGACACTTATAATTAATTTGTTTAGACTTAAATTGTTCGAGTGAAGAAGACGATTTCATGGAAGTTGTTGGAGATAACCCACCGGATGACGATAGCCAACAAGTAGCTGAAGCCATGGTTTTGCTCGGTAACACAAGTTACAATTCAGCTACTGAAAATTTATCCAACCAAATCCAAGGTGAATTGTGTGAAACATGTTTATCTAACATCGTATAATTTCTGTTTTTTTAATAGGTGACGAAAGTATGGATGTCGACCCAAATTACGATCCTTCAGATTTTTTGCCTACCGGTAATATGGCATTTGGCGGCAATATCGCGGACGATAGCGTAGCTGGACAAAGTAATCAAAACAGCAGTGTTTTAGCCAAAATTCATGACGATTTGGCTATCAGTGATTCAGACGAGGACAAGAATGAAAACACAAATGTTCATGATGATAGTGATATGAAAACAGAAGGTGATTTAGGAGAATTGTGGTTTTAAAATAGTAATGTTATCAACTGTTTTACGTCTCTTTATAACACGAGTAAGTTTTCTTTATATCCATTAAGATAATATGTATGGTATTTATTATTTATTATTTGTCATTGGTTAATTATTATCTATAAACAATATAACTAAAATTAACATTATTCATTGTATACAACCTTAAACTTTTATAATTTATTATTTATTAAAAAAAATTCCTATTGTACTTCTTAATTGAAAGAAAGTTGTGAGCTTTATTTTATAAATAAAAAATTAGCTATGGAAAAAATAAGAACCTGTTAGAGACATCAAATTTGCATAGTTATAAATGGCAAATTAAAAATTTTCATGCGATTATTAGTAGAGAAAATATTCAAACGATAATAGTCATAGGCTTTTTTTTTTATAAGATATAGAAGATTGTCTTACTGTCAAACCAACATGAGTTTAATTTAAAAAAAAACCTGAAAGTATAAAATTTTCACTAAATCTAGTCAATTAAAGCAAACAAATTCTAATGTTAGATATTTATTGTTTTATGATAGGAAACTAAATTTTCATTATTATTATTATTTCACATTTAGGATTAAAATGATATTCTTTAAAATCTCTAAAAATATATCAAATTATAAATTAAATTATTATTAATTTGTCTTACTTAAAAAAATGTAATAAAAAAATCATACTTTTTTTTCTATATACTATGAAATGTATAGCCTATTTATGTATTTACATACTATGTATTTTTTTTTCTAATTTGTATTATCATATTATTGTAATAAAATGTGTTTTTTTTTAACTAAATATCCTTTTTTGCACTCTTGTTTTACAATTTATTTTTTCTATGACAAAATTCAAATACAACAATTAAGTATTTAAAACGGTACTGCTTGTTTTACTGTCTTCAACCCTTTCTTTATTATGAAACAATTTATTCTTCAACTAATCAGTCGGACATCAAATTTAATAAAATATTTTATTTGTTGTAAATTGTGCTACAAGTTTTGATAGAACTTATAGTTTTTTAGTAATTATAGATCAAAATTGAGCAAAAATGAAATAACATAATAGTTTAAATAATTGCTCATTTTTTATTGGTTACGTTATTAATAATGTTACGTTAATAATATTAATAACGTTGTTTGTTACTTCACAGATAATGGATAACCTGTTTATTTATCATTTATAGATAAACTATTGTTTAGGCTAATTTCTATTTTAGTTAAAACTAAGTTTTTGTGGTTAAGGCTTTTTTTTAAATATTTCTTTATTTTATTTCTTTAAAACTAATAACTATATAACCACAAGTGTTACTTAAAAAATGTCTAAACTGAATAACTATTGTATTCCAATTTTAGGATAGGGAGTGGAGAGAGGAAGATGTTTTATGATCTTTGCATTTCATTTTTAATAATACTATAAAGTATAAACCAATCAACATTTTTATCTTTAATCTTCATGATATTTTTGTACAAAATTAGTTAAATCAAATATATATACTTTAACTGTTAACATATAAAAAAATGCATTTACATAATATCTGTAAATCTATAAATGTTGTTAGTGGTTGGTGTTATATAACGTCAACAGGTTATACTTGGCCGGATTCCAATGTCATTTAAAATAGAAAGTTTGTACTTTTAAAAAAATGTATACATTATAGTAAATTTATAGTTTCATTGGTTTCATTCATTCAATCATGTCCAAGCGTATAATTCTTAATGACAAAAAAATGAGGGAAAAAAACAATCAAACAGTATAAAAATATAGCTATTGCTTATAACAGGATTCATTTAAAATATATATTTTTAAAACGTGAATCGAAAAAATATTAATAAAATGCATGTTTTCGAAAAAATCCAACTTTTTGAATGTACAATGCGTGCATTTACATGTATACAATTTGCAAAAAATAATATTTATAAAGGTATATTCGCATATAAAATTAATTTATTATATGTTGTGCGTCGTGAGTGTATAATATTATATGACGTAATAATGATACTGAACGTAAAAATATATGTAACGGAAAACCCAAGTAAAGGGTCAACAAACACACACGCAGAAATATGCTAATCGCGAGGCATATATTAACGGACATTAACATTATAGTGAACTTTTCGTCGACAACGGCAGCGGTGACGACGACAGTGGTGGTCGAAGCGGCATGCGATGATCGCGCGCCCGCCGATCAACAATTGTACTTGCACTCGGAGGACTGGGCGAAATACGTCAAGCTTTTAAAGTACAACGAGTTGATGGCTACTAGGATTTTGTCCCATTTTCCGAGGGACGCTCGCTTTGGGTACGTCGGGCTGGCCTGGACGGCAGAAGCCACTCCCCGGTATATGTCCGTGGCCACTAGGACAGGCCCGCGCACCTCGTACGGCAGACACCGGATGCCGGCCAACGATTCTGTCTGGTACCGGTTGGCCAACTCGATCATCCTGACTGCGTACTTTTTCAGTTTTTTCGTGCCCAACGTCCACGGCGTCTTGTCGTCACACAGTATTCTCATCTCTTCCACTTCGTCGTCCATGTACTCGGTGGGTACGTAACACCGACCCAGCGTTTCGCTGTCAGTCACTATGTCCCGGGATACGTTGACGATCTGCAATACCTACACACAACACACAAAATCGGTTAGAAAACAAACAAGGGTGCAGCAAAACGATTACGAACGGTCGTTATCGCCGACTCTTCTTACGTGTACCGTTCTTATGTGTACCGACATCAGAAAAAAGTGCATTTTGTAAAATACAAAATAGGCCTTATTCCAATACTTAAGTAGGCTAGAATCAAAACTCACGAGATACATCCAAAAATGATATTTTTCAGAAAACTAAAAATACTAGGAGAGGGTTTTCCTAAACAACATTATTTTAAAGTAGTTTGAACCGAAAAACTCAAATATGTAATCAAAATACACAAGTTTAGTCGATGAACATTTTTTTTTTTTTTTTAGATTGAAGTTTGAAATATGTGAGTTTTGATAATAATTTACATGGAACGTGTGTTTTAACACCAAAAGGTAAAAGATCAGATAAAACAATACAAATTGTTTATAAAATTAAAAAATGTTTTATTCTTTAAAATCACATTAGTTTTCTTAAAATTTAATAAATATAAATATTTAAAAATTATTCGGCTTAAAAATAGTTCAGTATCAAAACTCTTATGTTCCAGTGGAACTTGTAGCGGTTTCGATTCTAACCACATGTTGAAAGATACATATACAAATGTTCTCATGTTTTCAAAATATCTGATACATTCGGATTTAGCGTCAAAAATCCTATAAGGCAACTAATTTTTTTGGATCATATTAGTTTTGATTCTAGCCTACTCATACACATTTGCTAACATTTTCAAACCGAACGTCGGGGATAGCGAATTTATGTGCCGCGACCTATTTGTGTGGGATAAGGCGCAGAAGATAAACGAATGTCCAAATCCTAGAACCCTATGGTTCTGTTGTCTTTTTTAACTTAAAATTGGTTTAACAAAATGTATAATTTGTATAATTTCTATCACCCCCGTCGATATGGTAAAATATCTAACAAAGTTATTACACTTCTAAAATATCCTGCTTACCTGTCCCATTTGTTTGGCTTTTTCGATCACGTAATCGTGCCTCTTATCGTCAACCAAGTGGACCCCGGTCCTGTACATCATCACGTACACGCACAATGCGCCTACGCTGCCAGCCACGTAACTCGAGTACAGCAACAGGTCTTTCTCGCTTTGTACGTTTTTGCCGTCAATGTCCCACTTGTAGCCCTCGATCAGTTCGTAGAACGGTTTTCGTGGCAAGTAAAACGAAATCCTGGATATTGACCGGAAACAAGACATTTCCTGATCAGTCAGCTCGGACTCGTACTCGGACCAACAAACCCGGGGCAAGTGAGGTTTCGTTTGCACGTCGTAGTCAGATTTTCTGTCGACGAACAATTGATCCACAAACTGTTTGGTCAACTCCAGTTTTCGCTTCTTCTTGGTCACGTTCAATTCGTTGTCGATCATGTCGTCGGTGACGCGGCAAAAAGCGTACAAAATCATCAAGTCCAGACGGATTCCTAAAAAAACCAAAACAAAATACGATTATACTTGATACATTAGTAATTGTTTTAATCGAAAAAACGGGAACGCTTTACTAAAATGTAATGTCACAAAAACAATATTCTGTGTATAGCTGTTATTCTAACCTGGTGGAAACACAAAGCTGGCCACGTTAAACGACTTGGACGCCTTTTTGAGAACGTCCAAGCATTGTCTAATATCACTGGCCACCAGCGCCGGCATGTTGCATTCGGCCGTCGCAAACGCTCGCATCTGCTGAGAGAAGTAGCTGCTGTTCATGCCGAAACGACAGGGAAACTCGACGGTGTAAGTGTCAGACATCCCGTAAGCCTTGTCGAAAGCAAACCCGCCCAAAACTATGATCACGTTGGTGATGAGGAAAAACAGACATTCCTCGAACGGCAGATCCTCAGCGAGAAATATCTTCAAGGAAGTTTTCTCGTTGATGTGCCAAACGTTGTCCTTCAACGCTATTTGGTCGACCCAGCATAGATACAGCGTGGGCACTACGACGGCGACCAACGAAGTGGCCAGTTTCTTTACGAAGTAGTTACCGGCCCCGTACCATAGAAAAATGATCACCGGACTAGACCACCATAGTATACACCCTAAATAAAACGTTTCTTGTCCGGGTATGGCCATCCGGAAACCCTTAACTGTGACTAGTGACATTAAAAGTATTGGTATCCACCGTATCAGTCTATGGCTTGTTTGATTATAGTTAAAATTGAAGCACGCAGGCGACCACCTGGTACAGACTAGAGCCCAAAGTGACGTCATCACGGTTTGAATGACAAAGAACATGTATTCTTCGACTGGCACATAACCTATAACTGCAATTATCTTATCAGCAGAGTACATCCAGGCGTCATTGAAGATAATGTAGTTGTCCCAAGGCGTTGTGTAAACAAATGCCATTGTGCAGACAAATATGATCTTGAACAGCTCTAAACGGCTTACGAACGGCCATGTTATCAAAGTTAATACTCCAGTCACCGAGAGAGTATATGTAAGATGTACATCTATGTAGGTCAACATTTGTGGAAATTAGTGAATCTAAAAGAAAAAATTTTAAAAAATTATTTATCACCTGTATCCAACATCAAAACCATATATAAACTATAGTATCTAAGTTTAAAAATGAAAGAATTAAATATGTATTAGGATTTGGGTTGACAAAAGTCGACAAATGGGTCTACTCGTTAGACTGGTATTTATTCTAACAGTATTTTGAACTTAATTAGTTGACACTTGACGCATTAGTACGAACAAAATGTTTCAAGGAATTTGTAATTCCTAATTGTATATACATACTATTTAGGCCTAGTAATCGAAAAAATAACTGTTACATTTGTTTTAAGAAAAATGTGTAGCGTTAATTTTGACATTCATCATCTAGATATTATAGTAATTATTGATACATACGACTGTCGTGACATAGAAAACTTACAATAATAAGTTATCGCATAAACCCGACTTTTACACAAATTACTTATCTTAAACATAAAGATGAACTATAATTTAGCTAGAAGTCATGCGTTTGAAATGTTGTATTAAACCGTTATGTTACACCATATTATGAAAATGCAAACTACACACGTGTGGCGTGTTATGTAATTTCCTGAATACAACTATTGTGCATGTATACATGTCTAAAGTCGATACTTAAAGTAAAGATTTACGTGACTCAATACCTGTATACTCAAGGACATGTTATATTGAAGAGGGCGTGGGTCCCATGGGTATTGACCTAAAATGTACAATTTTAAAGGCGCTTCAAATAATAATTTAACCATTTAATCTAAATTTAAGCCTTAATTTCTATTATAAAAAGAGCACACTGTGTATAAAGATATTTGCTTTATGTGTGAATTGTGAAACTATGTTTAATAAAAAGTTTTTTGTAAATAAAAACGAACAAGTTGAGATTTAAAGGCTACGCTGGTTCAATACTTCCTTCCGCATCATTGACAATTGACAATTGCAGAAAAAAATATACTATTATATTATAATAAAAATAATATTAAAAATATAAATATATGTATTCCTGACAATACCCTACTACCCAGTGTTACATACACCTAATGTCAAAATAGCACATCTAACAAAAATCAACACCGTGACTAAAAGTGGTGTACATAAAATCAAACGGGAAAATTTAAGATATAACAATAAACTATCATATGACAATATTGTATTACTGTACATGACAATTAGTGACCCGTAAATATGTGTTTATTATAAATGCTGAGGCGTTAAAAACAATAACTTTTCAGGGGTATTTTGTTTCAAGTGAAATCATGACTTTACGGCGGTGTCATTTCAATTTTAGCTACAACTTCTAAAGCAGGACAAAACAACCATGTAATAAGGAATGTTTACAGTTTACTATGTATAGGTACATAAACGTTTTAAGCCAATTTGGTCCGACCCATTATGATGTAGGCATTGTAGGGTATTGTGCTCATTTTTCATAACACATATAAAGTTCAGTTAGTGAAATTAATGTTTGACCGATTGGTCGAAGATAGAGAAAATAAATAGCACATGTAGAATAAACAGAAAATTATAAAAATACTTGGTAGGTATGTTTCAAAAATTCTGTAACACACTGACTAGGTACACATCCAAAACTTATTAAACAAAACATAAACATGTTTCATCAAATTACAGTGTACAAGTTTAAACAACAAAAGATAAATGAATACGTTTTGTCCTATTTAATAATTTGTTATATATGTGTGGGCAAGTAATAACTGAGTTTTCACGCATGTTCCAACTTGGTCTATAAACTGTCATAATATTATGAAAGTTTCATAAAAAATTTGCACAAAATATAGTAATTAATAACGTAATATATATTGATAATAATGTAACTTACACTATGCGAGTGCTCAACAAGAAAAATATTTAAAAAAACAACACGCCTCGAAAATGTATTCAAAACAGTCAACTTTAATTTAGATAAATGAAGCTTTGCAATATTATACAAACCCGTTTTCTCTCAGATAATATAAATAAATTTTGAACATTGTAAATAGTAGTTATATGTGAATGTAATAAAAAGTAGGTTAATGACATTGCACTGGTGAAGCCTTAATAGCATTAAAAACAGCACAGTAGGGTCGAGAAATACGTGGGAACGGAACATAAAAGGGTCGGGAGTTCCGAGGACGAATGTCTTTATGAACTGTGATAACTTAAAAGTGATTTTAATATATAAACGTGTGGGTATACGTATTTTCTAGTTTTTCCTTATTTTAAAGAATTTCCAAGTTCAATAATTTTATGTTTGTTTTTTTCAAGTTGGTAAATAATATTATTCCCAAGAATTTATTAATCAGAACCATAGTATTTGTATCTTTTTCTACATGGCAATAAAGGAAAAAACAGTTTTTATTACAATTTAGTTTCAGTGGCGTAACTAGAGGCTAAAGCGTCCAGGAGCAAGCCATTTTTTTAGCACCCTATATTACATGTTAACGTGTATAGTAAACCGTACAAAAACGCCCTAAAATTAAATGCGACCAGGCAGCTGTCCCTCTTGCACCGACGGTAGCTACGCCACTGTGTAGTTTATTAGTTTATTTATCGCCCAATACTGTTTAGTGTGGCGTCATACCTAATATAACACCACAGCAATTATTTTCATTTTTTTTTATATGATGTTTTAGTTCAATTCAAACAACAAAGTTGGGTTCTTTACGACGGTACGCCCCCAAAATTTAATTTTCATTGCCGAGTTATTTGTAAAATATTATTTTTTTGCGTTATTGAAGTGGTGAATATTTAAAAATTCTAGATGTTGAGTCCTAAATTAATATTTAACTTATTTTTTAAATTAAATACCACATAATCATGGTTGAAAGATATCATCAGAAATAAAATGACAGCGTAACGAAATATCAATTTTACTGTATATTTAACCGTGTACTTATATACTTGATTTTTATTGACTGCCCGTAAATAAAATAATTTCTTCAAAAATATGGTGATATAAAACGTTTTTTTGTTTTCACATGAAAGTAGGCAACCATTCTGATTTAAATTATTCTGTATAAACACAGACTATATGAAAATATATAGCTTATTTGGCATGTAAAAAAAAACCATATAATCACATGATTCAAAACGAAATCGGTGTGATTGCAGATTCAAGCATAAATTTCCTAATAATATCACAGATTAGATAAAAGAAAATATCTAATCTGCGATAATATAGTCATTAGGGTGGTTCTTATTTGCGTGATTTCCGAATTTCAATTAGTTATGTCATCCTCCTATTCGATTAAAAAAAAATGTTAAGTCTACTTCGAACTTTCTATTCCGATCTTAATCATTCGCTGTAACGAGGAGAAGTTTTCCGTTTAAAGTACCTGCAATTTTACCTATTTTAATATAATTATTGTACTGCAAGGGCAGAAAATTGTCAAGAAAAATTAATTTAACATGAAATTGTCACAAAAATTGTTTCTTTTTTTTTTATTCAAATAGGGGGGTTAAATAATTAAAATTCAGAAAACGTGCAAATAAGAAATACCCTAATAGTCATATATCATTTTTAATTCCTATGATTGATTTTTGAGTTTTTACAATAATATTAATGAGTCTATTAATTAATTATTCTGATTAATAAAATATCTGCACAATAATTTATACTAACTCATGCAGCTACACTAATTTCTTGGGAGTCCCTTAATAGTATTTTTTAAAATTTCCTTTGTTTTCGGCCTAGTGGGTGAGCTATCATAGGTTCCCACGGTCAGATGTTCTCAGCCATACAGTATAATTTTTCAAATGGTATAACTTGGTTATAACCTTTTTATATAGTCTGTGCCCTGTGGTTATTATAAGTGCGAATTCATGTTCTATTTTTCTTTTGCCAATTATAATATTAGGTTTTGTGTCTATTTGACATTCAGGTAAGGTAAGGAAGTTCATGAGTATTTTAACTTAGAAATAATGCCCCTACCAGGCCCCAGGCACTGATAAAAACTCATACGTGAAAACTAATAAATCAGGTTCACGTATACGATACTTTGATGCGCAATTTATTATACATTCCTATTATACCATAATATGAACTAAAGATCATATTGAGTGTTTTGAGTACCAAATACTGAATACATATTACATTAGTGTTCTGGCAGTCCACTTCTTAATTAAATTTACCAAAGTGCAATTTAGACTGTTTAACAAATCTATAAAGGAACATATTTTAATTTACACAAATAAATATTACTATTCAATAAATAGTCCTCTCTTACGTTTAACGTCTGTTATTCCCGCGGATCGAGGCTTAGACGGTTTAGATTTGGCATTTTTGAGCTTATAGCTTGGCTGCCGACCTAACGCTACCAAACAAGTTAACCTCAGAAGGTGCAGGTGGCCATTATTTCCCCCAGACAGTTGCTCGCTCGGAAGAACAAACCCCGCCAGTGGCCGAGATTCGAATCGGCGACTATGCGTTGATACACTATCAGCTATCTCACTCCACCACACACCTGCAGGCTGCACATCATTCAATATATAGTAATTATATAATATGATGTTACGTAATACTTAGTTTTACACGAGGTTATGAGGTTATAGGGTTATATATTTTATATATAGCTATTTATGGTAATAAAACAAATTAAATCATTTTTTGTATTTATGTACTATACTTATCTAGAATCAGAGACAATATGTTAGTTTAAACGCAACTTTATATAAAAATCCAATTAGAACACTATGTAATTGTAGTGGTGAGAATCAAAAGGATTTAAGTAGTTTTTGTAAAATTGTGCAGGAGTCACACCAAAAGTTATAGTACAGAATATAAAAACTATTTTAGAATTACAGCGAATGTATTTTATTTCATTTTGCTTCCTTCACTGCAATAAAATTGTATCACTGAAAAAAAACTCTACGCATCATCACACAGCATCTTTTACCAATTGTTCAGTCAGTTTTTTTATTTACTTTTGTTACGTAATTCGTTACGAAAACTGGTTATGTTTAAATAAAACATTTTTTTTTAGTTCCAAAGCGGAGCCGAGAAGGCATTGTTTTTACAATGATGTGTTTTTTTTGTGTCTAGACCCGCGATATAAATAATTATAATTATATATGATTAATATTATTTTATTTTTATAGTACTACCGATAAATATTGAAAACCAAAAAAAAAAAAATACAATAAACCGTTTCCTCTAGAAGGGTTACACTTTTTCACGCAGTTAATGAGATTTGGTCTATAAATTGGACCAAGAGTAGATTACAACGGTACTATAATGTATAAAATTTTCTCAAAAATCTGTAGTTAAACTTTTTTTTATTAAGGAAAAATCCAAAATAGGGGGAAATAATATTTTGGCCGAAATCAATTTCCAAGTTGCCATGTATGAGTGAATCAACAGTCAACAGGTAATACAAATATTTTCATTATATTGTTAATTACGATTTATGGGTAACTATGACAATACATTTTTATAGACAGACGATCAACTCTAATAATAATAATCGATTTTATAAATGCATTTAATGTACATATTTCAATAGTATTTAAGCATAATAAACATTTTTATCTTTATCTCTAAGAAACCAGCCTGATACAATATTGATCGATAATCATCTAGACTTTTCACTGTGCTAAATCCTGATTATTATAATAATTTTAATTATAATAGGTCGTAGAGTAGGTATTTTATGAAGGGACTGTACGATCTCGCGCTCTCTATCGTTATTATTTTGTACAAATAAAACTTAAGGTCAGTACAAAAAAATCACATTACTAACGCATAGTGACCTTGGAGCTCGAAATCGACATCTAAGTAGAATTGTACCGCCATTTTATTTTACTATTTCTGCATCAATTATTAACGTAAAAATAATACGTTTACAGATTCGAAGCGACTTTTTTTTAATCTGATTTGATCACTCAGTTTTAATAATTTCTAAAAACCTATGACATCTGAGCCTCACTTTGCTGGCTATTTATTATTATTTAAGTATTATTTTAAGTTTACAAAATATGAATTTTCAAATAACTTATATAATTAAATACTTTTAAACATTATTTTGTTTTTATAACACTGAAAATAGTATATAGAATATGGTATTGTTAATAATATATTAACAATAATAATATATATTGTAATAATATATTAACCTTCTAGACCCTAACACGCATGAAATACCACTCATGACCCTGAAACGTAATAACGTCGAAATGATTAGTAATTTGCGTAGACATGAAAAGTAACAAAAGAAAAGGGATTTAATTATATCACCTAAATCGACTTTTAAGTTGATAGCCTTTATACAACCCAATTAATACTTAAAATATACGTATTAAGATAGAACAATACAGATCATTATGACCCATTATGTAACATTTTGATAATTTGAATAACTATTAAGCTTATAGCATGCTAAAGGTAATCGTACTTTGTTATCATTAAACTCAACGACCAAGTAAATATACCTACCTAAAGTATTAAGAAATACAGTAAAAATATCTACTAAAAGGAATAGTTCAATCAATTGATTGTAAGCATTATAAATGTTAGTGGTCAATTTACATTACGAGTCAAACAGTCGTCTTTTTTATTTTAGAACGAACCATTAATAAATTATTGTTGTATTTTTATAATTTTTTACTTTTAATAATAAATATTTTTTAAATTATTTTTAACAATATTAAGTAAGTATTGTTTTATGCTATCTACTTTGAATTAAATAAATACAATAAACACTGTTTATGACTAATACACGGAAAAATACATAGTTGGTTCAACTAAAATTAATAGTTGGTCTAACTAAACTTTTATTTAAACAACTATGTATTTTTTTCTGTGTATTAAGGTACGTACTATTGAATGGCTTCTTGTCAGTGGCGTATCCGTAGGGCAAAGGGTTGTGGGTTCCAATTACTCTCGAAATGAAGTTTTTATTTAAATAATCATGTATTTTATTTTTTACATTTAAATAAATTTAGCAACTTAATAATAGATTTTCGAAAGAGAGGATGTTAAAAATGTAATTTTTTAAAACGCGAAAATGTTTCTAGATAAAACTTGTCCTCTCCACTTTGTTTTTAGTAATTAAAACAAAAAAAAAAACAATTCGAATACATCAATAGTAATAACAACAATATAACCATGTCCAGTTAACGACCGACGTAGTCGAGAATTTATTTGCTTTTAAATTATGATCAATTTTTTTATATTAAAATAAAAAAACTCGAAATAAAATAATGTGCGTTTTAAATATTATAACTAGAGGCAATAAGTTTTTAATTATTACAAGTCATAAATTGCAATTAATTAAAAAAAACATATTGTTTATTTATTTAAAAAAATATAAAAATTATATATTATTATACACACATTATATAGTTTTTTCTACCTATTAAGTTAAATTTACTACGACATTGTAGAAGATTATAGGAAGATCGGGCAACTATTAGTGCCTAAGTATTGTACTAAACCAATAAAGCAATAAATAGACAACAAGGAATAAATAATTATCCATTAACAAACATTAAATATTAATAATATGTAAAATTGGCTGGTTCGTATTTCGTAATGCGTAGCCTTAAGGTATAGATAATATTTTTTTACTTTTTAAAAATCAAGTAAAAAACAAAACATGTCGGAAAACGAGTTCAAATAGGTAAAGAAAGGATTACTAATAAAAGTGTAGGTAAGATTATTAATTTTTATCGACTACAATGTAAAATTTATTAGATAACCGTAGAAAATAAATATTTACTGTTATATTATAGAAATTATACCATTAGTCTAATAATATCATAGGCCGTAATCATCGTAAAAATTAAAAAAAATACCATTACGGATACTGATTTATGGAAAACTGCAAAGCAATAGGTTTTTTTTTTTTTACTCAATGTTTCGCCATTTAATGTGCAATTAATTTATAATCAAATGTGTCGTATTTTATGTTAATATAGTCTAATGTAACCCAATGGCCTTTGCTGCCGAGGGTAACAATGAAAAAAAAATGTTTAATATCAGTTGAAAAAATTAGAGAAAACTTGTTGATTTTTTCTATAAAAAAAATGTATTTACATTTGCCACATTTATTTATAAATACCCCACTCGGCGCTTTACCTCATAGGGTTTCGAGTACTCAAGCGTTTTTTATTTTAATCTACCCTCTTTTTGTTTTACTGATAACGAGTGTAGAAATTAATGTAATACAATAATTCATAACAGACGGAAAATTGTATGTACTTACGGTACTACTTTCGGGTTGAGCCTTGACGAAAATTAATAATAACAGAGTGGTTACATGTATATGATTTGCCGTATCACCGTGCGCATGTCGACGTGAAAAAAAAATTGTAAGTAAATTAAAAAACGCGGGCGATTGAGATGGTGCACGGAAACCGCCGACGACAAACGGCTCAAACCCCTTCCAATTGCACACTGAAAATCAAAAGACAAAAACTACACGACACCACAGTACTCGGGTCTCGGCCCGACAGCAGGCGCCACACATTGATGCTATATAACAGTTGGTCGGCACGCAATTTACTATTATTACAGTAAACACAAATGTGACAAGGACGACGTCGCGCGCTATAACAATAATTATTCATAATAAAATATTGCCATCGGGTAGGCCCGATACTATAACTATAAGGAATACTTTTCGAATATTATTTCTATTGTAGTCCTGTCCGTTAATGTAAGTGGTCTCGAATAATGAGTTCCGTTGCGATTTTGGGAATCCCTTCATTTTTCATAATATTGTAGAAAACCTACGTCGCAGTTGCATCGATACTCAACCATCGCATCGAAACCACCACGACGCGGTGTATACAACTTTGTCGTGCCGTGTATTTGAAACGTTGTAGTTGTCGTTACTCGTTTGATCGTCAGTGAATTGCTGTTGCGAACAGTCGCGCAGTGCAGGTGCGCGGACGTGATCATCATACTACTATCGTGGATACGATTCGGGAACAATACCACCGACGAACGGCAGACTAGGCGGTGAAGTACACGGTGCAAATCACACCCCGGTAATAATATTATTACCAAGAGTAACCACTCTGGTCAATTTTCAACATCCGAATAACACATTTCGATAAGGTAATAACTGTTACACCACATGTCGAAATCTAAAAATATATTATGTTTGAATACCATTTATATACATACGTTCTTTATAAGTGTGTTCGTACTTCGTCAATCGTCTGGTATGAATGTTGAATAATGTATACTGTAGTGTGAACACTATCTTAACTCGAAACAGCGCTGAATTCGAAAATGTCAACACAATATTATTATTGCCATACTATTTAACGACTCTAAGACTTTTAAAGGTGAAAAGGTACATAATATATTATCAATAAAAACAAAATTATTTTACCACCTTGATTTACATTTTTTTTTTTTTATAAATAATATAAATATATATACATTATATTTATAGAGATATTTAAAACTTCCGTGTTATTCGAATACCGTTTGGCCGTCAGACGATCATGATTCATGATGTGCACTGTGCAGCCGGTATGGATAATGGCGATATCTAGTGACTACTATCTTTGCTTGATACTCGGGATTTGGAGTGGGCCGTGACATCCGGCGCGGGATAAGTTACTGTAATTTACAGTGTGACCATATTAGCGGTCTGATCCCTCGTTTTATGATATTATAATAATGATATTACGCAATATAGCAAAACAACTCCTTTTGGATTTTTTTTATATCATTTGTAAATACTAAATAGCTTTCAGCTGACTCCTCTTTAATCGTAGTTGTTTTAATTCGTGGACTTCTAGTCTTAATGATTAATTTGGTCGCGCTCACATTATACATTATACAAGGTTAAGAAAAATAATTATATGGAATGGTTTGTTGTAATCGTGACGTGATATGTGGGAACTGGATTGACGATTGTGACTGAGGGCATTTATTTAAAAATATACATTTAGCGGTGCTATACACAAAAACGACGACACTTATATAATAGTATTTCCATCGTAAACAGACGGCCGAACTAATGGTGAACTATGACGAGGCTACCTTTGTTAACGGCGGAAATCCGCATAAAGTCATCGCCGTTGTTGTATATAGTTGCACCGCTAAGCTGTATATTTAAAAAACAAGACTGGAGGCAACACACAGGTATCTTTTCCTCTTCCCCCAAATTCCTCCCATTTAAATCCCTTTCTCCACTATTTGTTTTCGCACTAACCTTGTTGTGACTTAAGACAAATTAATCCGTGGGAATAGACGTACAAAATTCCGTCCAGAACTATAAAGCTAAAAAAAAGTGTAGTACGTATAACAATATAATTAAATAGATGTTTATTATGAAGGGCGAATTAAAAAGGAATTTCTTTAAATCCAAAATTAGTTTGAATATTAAATTGTGATATAAATAAAAAATCGTCAAGTATATTTCATTATTATTTTTGACCAAAATGAGTCGTTTACATAATAAACGCCTATACTTTATAACATTATTATAATATAATAGATTACTACTAATAGCTTAATTCACATAATACCCAAGAGATAAGAGTCTATAATAATATGCTTCATTTTTATTATATAACCCACTTATGTGTGCAGATAGTAGTTTTTATTTAGAAAGTTTTAAGACTATTATTAAACATAATTAATTTCAATTGAACAATCTTATAAATTTAAATAAATAAAAGTTTGGCATCGAAGCTACTTTTCTCATAAAGTATGTGTAATGTTTTTTTATACTTAAATTAGAAACGTATAGCATTTTGGTTGAGTTGAAATTTTAGTCGATTACTATTGTAAACAAGTTTTGTTTCAAACATATATTAAGTATATATTTTTTTTTATTAGGTATTGAAATAGGTGCAATTTACTATGATGTAGATGTACATCATGAAGTTGTAAAATTAAGAAAGACAAAAGTTTGTTTTATCTTCTAAAAATATGTAATTTTATTAGATGTAACTTGGTTGTTTCGCGTGAACTACAGGTAATCTATCTGATGCTAGACTCATTTTCTAGAAAAATATCAATTTTTTGTAGATTATTTTTTTACATATACTTGTAGATACATATTTTACTATATTTTTCAATACTCGAAACACTTTTATGTTCATCCCTTATACGTAAAATAATTATGGATTTCGTTTTTTCAAACCGGAACATGTTTTTAACTCCATACATATGCAGACAACAAATTAAAAAAATGTTAGCGTTTGGATTTTTAGTTTTTATCAATCAGTTTGTTTGCTATGAGTAAAGATTTTCATTATTTTCTTAACTGTTTTTTCTTTTATTTTTATCAATAGCCATCATTGTGTTCGAAAAGCAGGTACACAGAAAAAAAACATAGTTGGTCCAACTAAAATTATGGTTAATATGTAAGTACATATATTATATGGAATAACTAAATAAATAGTTAGGTCAACTACATTTTAGCTTAAACTTTTGGCCCTATGAAGTATCTGGAATTCGTACGTAAATGGGTAGTAATTAATAGATTTTTTTATGCAAGAAACCAGCTTATTGGTTCAAAAGTTATCATGGAACCAGATATAAAATAAAGTTGAAAAAACCACAGTAAACTAACAATTTTTTTGTTTGGCATTGAAGCTAAGAAAATAATATAGCTTACAGTGTTGGTACCTTGTAAATATCTCAAAATGTGTAAATAGCGAAGTAATCTTGTGATCTCTTGTCTCGTATTGTATATTTTAAGCAATTAAGCTTGGTATCTTCGATTTTCGAATTTTTTTTTATTTATTACTCAAAATACTTGTTTTCATGATTTTATCCGCACGAAAAAATCCAAGATGCAGTTATTCCAAGTTTAATAGACTATAGAGTAAGGTAACAGTACATTTTATCTTATTAAGGTAAACAGTAATTTACCTTAATCGACAGTCTAATAAATTTACCTAGGAAAATTATCTATTCATAAAAACAGATATTGCCAAAAGGTAATATATAAAAGAAAATATTATTTTATTAGAAAATTATAGGTAATATAATATAATAGGATTATAGGCAGTCATGGTATTATTGTTGTTATTATTATACTACGCTTTATATTATTAATATATTTGTAGCTTTCTACTGAAATATATGACACTTTCAAGTTCCATTAAAGATTATAAGGGTGTATTGAGTGTTCATTATATTACGTGAATTGACTGAGTATAATATTTTTGTTTCTATAACAAATAAATATATATATTATTTTGTTAAAAGTTTTTGAAATGGTGATAAAAGTAATCATCATTGGAGCGGGAGTTGGTGGCACGGCCTCTGCAGCCCGACTTAGTAAAAAAGGATTTCAAGTGAACGTCTACGAAAAAAACTCCTACAACGGCGGTAGATGTTCATTGATCAAACATAATGGTCATCGGTTTGACCAAGGGCCGTCTCTGTACTTGATGCCTAAAATATTTGAAAAAACTTTTAACGATTTGGAAGAAGATGTTTATAATCATATAGAACTATTAAAATGTCCATCCAACTATAATGTCTCTTTTCCTGACGGAAACCACTTCGAACTAACAACTGATATGTCAAAAATGATAAAATGTTTGGAAAAATACGAAGGTGCTGGAGAAGATACTATGTTGCGATTTTTAAATTATTATAAAGAAATACATGTGCATTATCATAGAAGCATCAAATTATCGTTGGAAAATAATTTTCAACACTGGTATAACTTATTCCACCCCAAACACATTCCAGACATATTGAAACTTCATTTATTAGATGTATCTAATACAGTTTATAAAAGGGCATGTAAATATTTTAAAAGTGACTACATGAGAAGAGCATTTACGTTTCAAACAATGTATTTGGGGTAAGTTTATAAAGAATTTTTAGAATAGAACAAACACCGATTTTTCCTCTTAAATCTAAAGAAATCTCAGGGTTCATTATTCAAAAATCTGTTTCTTTCAGGAAATGTAATGAAATTGGATTTTTAGACCCAAAGTACAAAAATACATTTTGTAAATCTCAGTTTTAAGTTTTTATTTTCTATCCGGTTCTATGTATTTTTTTTACAAAATGTTTCATAACTAATTTTTGTGTTGGAATTACCATTTTTTTTTACATTAAAAAGGGTGTTTTAATTTAAATGTTGATTGGTCAATAACTCTTTATGAAGAAATATTACATTGGTCCTTTGAAGCATAAGTACATATTTTTTTTTATACCTATTTCGATGTACTAATTTATATTTTATGATAAACTATAGAATGTCACCTTACGACGGGTTAGCCCCTTATAGCCTATTGCAGTATACAGAATTGGCCGAGGGAATTTGGTATCCAAAAGGAGGTTTTCACAAAGTCATTGAAAGCTTGGAGAGCATAGCTGTCAAACACGGGGCCAAGTTCAACTACAACAGCGACGTCCAGGAAATTATCGTCAACGATCAAGGTGAAGCAAAGGGAATAAAGCTAAGCAATGGTGAAGTAATTGAGAGTGACATTGTAATTTGCAACGCTGACTTGATCTATGCGTACAACAATTTGCTGCCAAAAACAAAGTACGCTAAAAAACTTGGAAGGGAAGAACTTACTTCTTCTTCAATATCCTTTTACTGGTGTATGAATACAATTGTCTCCCAATTTCAAGTACACAACATATTTTTGGCTGAAGATTATAAACAAAGTTTTGATCAAATATTCAAGGACCACACTTTGCCCGACGAGCCTTCTTTTTACATAAACGTACCCAGTAGAATCGACCCAACTGCAGCACCGGAAGGTAAAGATACGGTCGTGGTTTTGGTTCCGGTTGGACATTTATCCGACAAGATTATTGACTTTGATGAACTGGTAAATCGAGCTCGAAGCCATATTATTGAAACGATTGAGAAAAGATTCAAGATATCTAATTTCAGTAGTATGATCGAACATGAGATAGTTAACGATCCCAGAACGTGGAAAAAAGAGTTTAACTTGTGGAAAGGATCCATATTAGGACTATCCCACAAAATGTTTCAAGTATTATGGTTCCGGCCTAGTTTACAGTGCAAAATATTCAAAAATTTATACTTTGTTGGTGCTTCCACACAACCCGGAACTGGTGTACCAATTGTTCTATGTGGAGCTAGACTGTTGGAAAAACAATTAACCGATCGATTTTTTCCAAATAAACAAATAACTAAAAAGGAACCATTGTTTAATATCACTACATTGTTAATAGTCTTTTTGACAGTACTATATTGGTTTATTACCTATGTTTTTAAATAGAATATATATTTAATGAGATAACCATTTGGTATAATGTACTTAGAGAAACAATATAAAATGTCCCTCAAAATATCATAAGTAATTAAAATATCGTTTAAAAAAATTACAAATGTGAAAATTGAACTTTATTAAATTATTTGTGGTATGTATTATACATTATTGTTTGTAACCATAATTTATAATTTTATTGACTGAAAGGTTGACGATTTAATCTTTATAATAATAAAATAACGACCACCTTTGCTACTTAACTCTTTATAACTCTCAAGATAAATATTGTCGTTGACCATTTTTTTATAATTATAATTTATGAGTAATAAGTTGATTAATATATATATTTTTTCTGTATTGTGTCATTTTAAACTGAAATTTTCACAGTTTTATTATCTATAAGAATTATTTTTATTTCTGTATTGCAGCTAACTGTTAAATTACACTACCTATCTAACTTTTTTACGTATAATTATTGTTGATTTTCAATATTATATGTACACCAGTGGTTGATCCATGTTTTGATAAAATAAATTAAACATTTTTTTGTGTTTAATTTCAATCTAGTTTCTAAGATATTAGTAATGTAATGGTGTGTAGTTTTCTAATACGCAAGTATAAAATTAATAATTTGATAATTTTTTTTATCGATCAAGGTGCTGAATGCTAACTAAAGCAGTTTATACGTTAGTTTCAGAAATTATTTATAGGTACACAAGCACAAAAAAAAAACATCTAAAAATAGTATCTTATTTTTTGAAGAAATGGGGTTATATATAGCACCACTGACACTTTTACACTTTAAATTTTCAATATGTCGGCGGTAGTCAATACTCAAATAGGGCCATTTACCAACTATCTTGTTTATCTCTACGTAGTATAAGTAAAACAAATTCGTTTACCGCTTCTGTGCACGTTTTGATTCCGGTTTTCGCCAATAAATAGTGTTTCACGAGAAAGGTTTAAATGTATAATTTGTGGGTACTTTGTTGAAATTATATTTATTAATCCGTGTGCGAGGAAAGCTAGTTATATAAATTATAATATTTAAATTTTATCACACAATAATATATTTTATAATTATCATAGTAAACAAGCGTAAACAACAAAAAATGTTAATAAAATGATTTATGTAACGAACAAATATTGGTTAGTTTTTCATAAAGATTTAAGTATGTTGGCGAATTTGTTTTGCCTATTAGGGTTTGGTAATACCGAATTGCGGACTTAAAGTTCGGGGGGGGGGAAAGGTCCGAGGACAAAAAGTCCGATTTAAAAAGAGTCGGGCAAAAGGCCCAAATATATATATGAATCACAAAAATTGTTCTGGTTTAAACTGTGCTGGATTCTTACTATTTCCAGATTAGCATAGAAACGTTAGATTATGATCAAATTCCATTCAGATTTAATAATTACTTTGACCAATTAGCTAACTTCTTCTGTACTGATTTATACTGTGTTTGGTTTGGACTATGCTAGGTTAAACTGTGCTGGATTTTTGTTTTATTATTTGTGTATTATTAATATTTATTTTAGACTATAATTATTTATTTATTTTGATTACTATTTTTATATAATTTATTATATTTAATCGGACATTTTTTCCATGGACTTTATTACCGTTTACCGGTAACACCACATAGTAGATTAAATTTAAATCAGACAAAGTACTACTAATGTAAACAAAAACGCGACGGCAATTTCTCGATATTCACTATAAACTGTATCACTATTAACCAATACTATTTTCCGAACACACAATTAAAAATACTAATGTATAGATGTTGGCCATAACAATAAACAATATAAAATGAGAACTTGCAGACGTACCTATTTATATATGTGATAAGTACCATCCTTGTGTTATCATTTGTTATTTTTATCATTAATTTAATTATACTAATTTAGTGTTGGCGGCCTGGTATCACCATGGACCAGCTATACTACTACTATCTTATACTCAAAAGCGTAACTATTGAGCTAAAGAATCACTTTTAACGAAATGCTATGAATATATTAATATATACTAATCCAGTAGATAGCCGACTTCAATTTTTGCATAGAAGCTTAGCAGCCATATGCAGTGTTGTAAATATTTCATTGTGATATAATAATACTAAGTAAACCTTATATCTCATTTATCATTACCATAATAAAATATTGGAAACATAATGTAAAAATTGACTACACTGCATTGACCTCCGCTTTAATCTTTAATTAAAGCTTAATTTTTGAGAACACGTCTAAATGCATAGTCGCCCTCCCAGGACTGTCAACGGGTGCACATGTACAGAAAAAAAAGGTTAATATACAAGGTGATCAATCTGATGTAAGACACTCTTTATTTTTTCCTTTGGGAACGTTTTGCCTGTAAAACTGTCGACTCGGATATGTTGTTCCAACTAATTTATTGAAGGAGCTATTCCACCCTTCACTAAAATTATATCATTTGAATTGAGTCTTAATATTGTATAATCAAAACCACCTTTTACAAGTTTTGGTCTTAACTTGGTGGAAGCAGTTGTGGTCATCGCCACAGTTCTCGTCTTAGTGAAATTTATATTGAAAATTAAGTTTGAACGATTTTTTTTTTATTATTTTGCTTAATATCGATGGGAAATATTATTTATTTTAAAACGAACAAAATAAAATATATAATCAATATTCGGACCGTACAAAGTTTATAAAACGTGTTTCAAGTACCTATATTAAAAACAAATATTTGGCCAGAAAAACTGTTTAATTTGTAAAAATTAAACAATTTATCAAACATAAAAACTATCCTTTTAACTATAAGTTTGAATGGAAACGTATACAATACAAATTAAAATAATAATGTACTTAAAGAAGTTGTGATATTAACTGTTTTGCCATTAATGTTAATACATATTTGAAACACATACATTGCAGTTATTTTAACCACTATTGTTTATAAAATATATTGAATGCTTTTAAAATATAAAGAGTACAATCCTATAAATATTTTACTCCATTTGGATAATGCTGCTCTTTTTGGGTATATTGCATTCGATTGTATTTTAGAAGTCAGTCCTTGATATATGTCAGTGGCTGCCAAAACTGCACCTCTTGTCTCTTTTGGTAAACACCTGATGCCAACCACCGATTCTGTTTGAAATTTGTTGGCCAGTTGAATCATTCGGGTGGAATATTTTTTCAATTTTTGGTTACCCAGCGTTCTAGGGTTTTTTTTGTGGCATAATATTTTGATTTCTTCTATCTCGTCGTCCATGTAATCGGTAGGCACGTAACACCGACCCAGCGTTTCACTGTCTGTAATTATATCACGGGCGATGTTGACGATTTGTAATACCTATAAAAAGTTCAGAACAAATTTATAAACAAACAATTATACAACACTATATTACCCAGTATTATTTAAATGTATTAAATATTTTTCTCACTTGTCCCATTTGATGAGCTTTCCCAATAACGTATTCGTGTTTCTCTTTGAATTCGCATCCGCGATCGTCACTCCTGTACATCATCACGTAAACGCACAGCATGCCTACACTTCCAGCTACATAACTGGAATACAACAGCAGATCAGTTTCATCTTTAACGAATCGACCGTCGATATCCCATTTATATCCTGCAAGCAAGTCGTAGAAAGGTTTACGTGGCAAGTAAAACGTTATTCTGGATATCGCCCTAAAACAAGCCAGTTCGTCGTCGGACAATTCTGACTCGAATAATGGCCAGCTGATCTGAGGCATATGAGGTTTTGTTTTAACGTCATAGTCTGATTTCCGGTCGGCGAACAGTTCGTCTACAAATTGTGTGGTCAACTCCAATTTCCGTTTTTTTTTGTCGACGTCTGGCTCGTCGTCAATCATATCGTCGGTGACTCGACAAAAGGCGTACAAAATCATCAAATCTAGTCTAATACCTGTATAGTAATGATAAGATGAAACTTAATTTAGGTTTTTAGTTTTTTTTAATTCACTTTTTACCTGACTGGAAGAGAAAACTGGCGACGTTAAATGATTTGGAAGCGATTGCTAAAACGTCCATACTCTTTTTTATGTCCTTAACCACAATTTCCGGTTTCGAACATTCATCAGTGAGGAACGCAAACAACATTTGACCGATGTAGTGCTTGTTCATACCAAATTGATATGGGTAATCGGAAGTATACGTCTCACTCAGGCCTCGAGCTTTGTCATAGGCACATACGCCCAAAACGATCATTACGTTAACTATAAAAAAGAAAAATGCTTCTTCAATGGGTAAATCCTCGAAAGGAAATATTTCCAAACTAGTTTGCTCGTTAATATGCCAAACGTTTTGCTTTAGCGCCAACTGATCGATCCAACATAAGTACACCGTAGGTACTATTATTGCTACTGATGCTGAAACTTTTTTTTTTGTAAAATAATTTCCTGCACCGTACCATACAAATGCAGTTACGGGGCACACCCACCAAAGTATGGTGCCTAAGTAAAACGATTTTTCACCAGGAATAGCGATAGTCCATCCTATAAGTGTCGTGATCGATAATAGTAAAATTGGTATCCATCGAATCAATTGAAAACTTGGTTTGTTGTAGTTGAAATTTAAACATGGTGTGGACCATCGCATACACATCAGGGCCCAAAGCGATGTTAATGTTGTTTGAAGGATGAAAAACATATATTCTTCAATAGGAACATATCCGAGTACACCTAAAACTTTATTTTTTTGATAAATCCAAGCTCCGTTAGCAATTAAGTAGTTGTCCCATGGTGTTGTATAAACAAGAGCTAACAAGGAGAGAAAAGTAATTTTAAAAATTTCGGATCGATTTATGAAAGGCCAAGTGATTAATGTTAAAACTCCGATTGCAGGAAGTGTGTATACTAAATGGACGTCAAGATAAGACAACATTTTGATGGTACGCTAAAACCTGAAAATTAAAAACATTTTAGTATTACAATAGTAAGTAGATGTCATAATTAAAACAATAAAAGGCGACAAAACCGTTTTTTCTATATTGTGATTATTGAATAACAGGGTGTCACGTGACTATATTAATCCCCCCTAAAGAAACAGGTTGTATCTTACTTTTACAACGTTCAGATTTTTCTGACAACTTCTTAGGAAAAAAATACGAATAGAAAAAATAATGAGAAAATAAAAATACAAATTTTAAAATTTTATTAAAACAGAAAAGTTAGATAAATTTAGATACACTTTTAATTAAAAATCTGATATCAGGGTGATTCTTATGATAAAAGACGATTTTTCTTGGAAAATATAAATATTAAAATAAAAAGTTTTTTCTGTACTTGTACGTACATGTTTTTCTATATTTTCCAATACTTTTAACTTTTTTATCATCATCCTATATGCGTAAAACAAGTATAGACCTCGTTTTTGAAATATTAACATGTTTTTAATTTCATTATATAGTACACAAATATTTTTAAAAAATGTAAGCGTTTGCATTTTTTATTTTCATCAATATGTTCGTTTGCTATGACTACAAATATGTTACACATCTTCCTGTAATTGTCATTTGCTTCGGTTTTCTAAAATACAGAAGTCCATATGATCTCTGTTTTTGTTTTAACTTTAAAATAAAGTTCCAACCAATTATAACCGCGGTTCGTACCGGTTCATTTTAATTAAAAAATATAAAAATTAATTATAAATAAGTTTTAAACTATTGGTTATGAAAAAATGAAATAAACATGTACTATGTAGTGATCATGATAAGATTTTCATGTTTAAACTCTCGATGCATGGAGGTATCACTGACACTTATTGTTAACTTTATAGGCAGCACATATTTGTGGTTTTTATCTTTATCGTCATTCGAGTTGAACACTGCCTAATTCAGTTTTCGCCTAAATTGAATTAGGTATTTCACCTATTGATTATTAATAATAATAAACGCCATGCCGTGGTGATCGGGGCACTGAAAATGGCAGGAAACAAGAAAAACCAAGATCGCTTGATTTAAATATATGCTAAAAAGTTATATTATGCTTATTACAGTATAGATTAAATTTAAATATTAAATTATGGGTGTAATGTAAAAGCAAATATAACAAAACACCATAAAAAAGAACAGGAAACAAATCCTATTTATGTATATTTCTATTCCTGTTTAGTGTTTACTATCACCAAATTACACATGAAAACTATAACATTGCTTGACATCAGCATAAATTTAGAATTAGCAAAAAAATACTGATAGAGGTGACATTTAGATATTTATAGATTGTATTTACCTATTATTATTATTATTAAGACGTATTCAAGTTCTTATATAATCTATCAACTTTTATGATGAAAACCATTAGAATACCTAACGTAGGATCACCCGTACAGCGTAAACCGTAATAATCAAAATTAATATTATACTGGAAAAACCCAAAATAACCGAAAAGTGTATTCTCTTAAAGTAGAGGTTTTAGTTTCCGATGTGTGATTTATATTGTAATTTGTAATGGTTCTATTCGGTTGCCGTCCCAACTCCCAAAACCGGTTGGTGAAAATTGAAAATTGAAACGCTAACATTTTTCAAATTTGTTGTCAAAAAGTTCACACTTTTTTTACGTATAAAGGACGAAGATAAAAATGTTCATAGTATTAGAAAATATAGTAAAATGTGTAGGTACCTAAAAGTATAAGAAAAAAATAATTTTCAAAATATTCATATTTTCCGAGAAAATGATTTTCTTATATCAGATGATCATTCTGTACATCTCAATTAGTTAAATCATCATTTACCATAATCTACCTAATAATACTATTTATAATAATATTTAGTATTATGAGATATTACTTATTAGTACTATGAGATAATACTAATATTAGGGCCCAGTTTAAAAATGCAACTACTGAAAATTGCGAAAAAAAACCTTTTTCTTTCACCATTATTTTATTTCTTACACGTTCTTTTACGTATGTCATTTATAATTTGACTTCTAACTAATATCAAAGTACAAATCTTTTTAGTTTAAATTTTTAAGGTTTGAAGGTCTGGAAAAACGATCTATTAACTATTATTTGTAAGTAACTAATCAAACAAAAGAAGTTAAAAATTTAAAAAAAAACATTTCAACCAAGTCAAAGTACATTATTTCACTTACCTGATACCTAATGTCGCGACACACATATGATTGTCTTGTTCTATAATGTGAATCTACTTCGTAAACTAAGTATAACTATTGTTAAATAAAATTAATAAGCAGATAAGCTGGTTTTGTACTGTGCGGTGTATATTAAAAAGTAAAACACTTTAAATATTTTAAATATATTACAATTTATATGAATTATGGTGGGGAAATATTTAGCTCATAATTTGTATGGTGTTAACAAAATTTATCGTTACGAACTTTATCATTATGTTGTTTAACCTTAAGCTATATTAATTATTTTTAGGAAATCTGTTTTAAATATCAATAAGATTAACTTAGGTTAATTGACTTCTTTCGGTAAAAGGTACTATTTTATCTAAATCAATTAAACCATATTTTCTATTCTTTGTGTGGTTTTTTATGTTATTATATAGTTATATAACAGTTTTAATATTTCATAGACATTACCACTATTAAACTGATTATGAAAGGACTTTAAACTAATTTATCTATCGCTTAGGAGATTTTAACATAAGCTATAAAATGTTAAAAATAAATAGAAACAAAAGTTTATGAAAAGTAAATAAAAATTGCAAACGGTACAGTAAAAAGTTAAAAAATAATATTGTTTGCTTAAAACTTAAAAGTAAGTATGATATTCAATTTCTGTTTGATCATTATTTAAAGCGTAAAAAAATACGCGTTTAAAGAATAATCATAAAAAGTTAATGCTCACAAAGTTATTGCACTTTTAAAAATGTTAAGTAAATTAAGTTTTTTGTTTATAACTTCAAATATAAATCTGATTTCACTATCGATTTCAGCGTAAAATATGTATAGTCCAAAAAATATTTTAAAATGTGACTAGGAACTAAACATTTATGCCAAATTTTTAAAACCATAAAAATGCATTGCACTTTTTATAAGCTGTATATTGGTACTTAAATACTCGGTGGATGATTTTTAAATGGGTTAAGTTACAAGTTACAACACCTAATAAAAAAAAAAAAAATTGTCCAAGTATATTTTTTCTGTAGTACTCACATAGAATGAACTTTTAGGCCAATTAATTGTTGATTTTCAGCAGTTAAGTCGTTAATATTGAGAATGATCCGTTTACAATTCCTTAAGATTTTGTTATGGCAATTTTCCTTTTTTTGTCTACTAATACTACAAATTATATGTGAAACACAAAATATGAGTAGGCTTGAATCAAAACGCACATAATCCAAAAACTAAGTTGCCAACACTTCCTTATAGGATTTTTGATGCTGAATCCGAATGTTTTATTGGGTTTTTCAAAGTCCATCAAAACCGGTCTAGATTAACCTTCAACATTTTGGTTAGTATGAAAACAGGTATGAATTTAATTGATTTTTTGCGTTTTCTGAAAACTGTGATTTTTAGATCATGTCGTCAGTTTTGATTCTAGCCTACTCATACAGTGTTCCACAAAGACTTCACAAATGAAATAACTTGTTCTAGTGAATATTTTAATGTTTTTTTTTTAATTAATTCATAATCATTTGCGTCATGAACACTACGGTTTTTATTTTTCTAAACAAAAAAGTTTTTTTTACCTTTTTTATTATATTGATTTTTTTTTTGTAATTCAAGATAGTCATTTTATTAAGAATAATTAGCTGAGATTTTTGACTGGTCGATACCAGTTTTGGATTATTACTTTTTAAGTTTTACATTTAAGACGAGAGGTGAAATGTGGAAGAGCGAATAGTTTTTTTTATCTGCGCACATTACTCAACTACACTCCACCTCCCATCCTAAACTTAAATAACTTTAAAAAAACTATCCATAACTGGTTGTCGACCAATCAAATTTTTTTTAAATCTTAAATTAAAAAAAATAAAGTTAACCAAAAAAATTATTTAAAAAAGTAAAACAGTTCAGAGCAATACAAGCAGTGGTGTTGTCATAAATGGGTTTCATAATACTACAATTTATTAAACTCTTTTACCTTTATTTTGTTTTAGATTTCAAAAATGGTAAAAATTTGTATTGTGGGAGCTGGCGTCGGTGGAACCGCCACTGCAGCCAGACTTAGTAAAAAAGGATTCCAAGTTGATGTATATGAAAAAAACTCATACAACGGCGGAAGATGTTCATTGATCAAACATAACGGCCATCGATTTGATCAAGGTCCGTCTCTGTACTTGATGCCTAAGATATTTGAAGAAACGTTTCACGATCTGGGAGAAGACATTTACAATCATATTGAACTATTAAAATGTCCATCCAATTATAAGGTCTACTTTCATGATGGGGAAACTTTTGAATTAACAACTGATATATCGAAATTGCAAAGATCGCTAGAAAAATTTGAAGGAGACGGGGAAGACACATTTTTGCGATTATTAAGTTTTTTTAAAGAAACACATGTGCATTATCAAAGAAGCGTTAAAGTAGCGTTAAAGACGGATTTTCAGAATTGGTATGATTTTTTCCATCCAAAGCACATTCCAGACGTGTTGAAACTTCATTTGTTAGACACGGTTTACAATAGAGCATGTAAATATTTCAAAAGCGACTACATGAGAAGAGCATTCACGTTCCAAACAATGTATTTAGGGTGAGTATTTTTTCGTAATAACTTATATCTACATATAATAAAATTGTTTAATTAAATAATTGTATGTTATAACACACAGAATGTCGCCTTACGATGGGTTAGCTCCGTACAACCTATTGCAGTATACAGAATTGGCTGAGGGAATTTGGTATCCAAAAGGAGGTTTTCACAAAGTCATTGAAAGCTTGGAGAGCATAGCTGTCAAACACGGGGCCAAGTTCAACTACAACAGCGACGTCCAGGAAATTATCGTCAACGATCAAGGTGAAGCAAAGGGAATAAAGCTAAGCAACGGTGGAGTAATCAACAGTGACATTGTGATTTGCAACGCCGACTTGGTCTATGCGTACAACAATTTGCTGCCAAAAACCAAGTATGCTACAAAACTCGGCAAACAAGAACTCACTTCTTCTTCAATATCCTTTTACTGGTCTATGAATACAATTGTCTCCCAATTGAAAATTCACAACATATTTTTGTCCGACAAGTATAAGCCTAGTTTCGATCAAATATTCAAGGACCACACTTTGCCTGACGAGCCTTCTTTTTATATAAACGTACCCAGTAGAATCGACCCAACTGCAGCACCGGAAGGTAAAGATACGGTCGTGGTTTTGGTTCCGGTTGGACATTTATCCGACAAGATTATTGACTTTGATGAACTGGTAAATCGAGCTCGAAGCCATATTATTGAAACTATTGAGAAAAGACTCAAGATATCTAATTTCAGTAATATGATCGAACATGAGATGGTAAACGATCCCAGAACGTGGAAAAAAGAGTTTAACTTGTGGAAAGGATCCATATTAGGACTATCTCACAAATTGTTTCAAGTATTATGGTTCCGGCCAAGTATTCAGTGCAAAATATTCAAAAACTTATACTTTGTTGGTGCTTCCGCACAACCTGGAACTGGTGTACCAATTGTTCTATGCGGAGCCCGACTATTGGAGAAACAGATATGCAAAAGATTTTTTGGAGAAAAAAATGTCGCAAATAACAACAAATTATTCATATCATTACTTACGTTTGCATTACTGTTTATTTCCATTTTATATTATCTACTATAAAAAACTTAGTCGTTTCTGTTCAAATTATTATAATATATTATGTATTAAAAAATAATTTGTAAGTGGAAAACAAATTTTAATAATTATTGTTGTTTGATTAATTATGGATTTGTACGTACAAATTTTTCAATTTTGTATTAATTAATAATTATTTTTCTACAACTAGGCCTAATCTTTTTATGTATTAATGCTCAGTATTATTACATTTATTTATGTTTAATAAAATATTTGATTATCCGCTGTAGGTATTATGTAATGGATAGACATTTTTTTTAGCATTTATCAAATACACTATATGTATACACTTATTGCCCTCAACCTAAAGGTCAGCCATCAGTCAATCGATGCTTGATAACCTTTTCCACATTGTTAATGTTTAAAATACATAGAGTACCTACATAGTGTTATCCTCAGAAAAGGTAAGATATATACATTATATTTTAAACTTTTCTGTCTAAGTTGGCATTCTCATTTTAAATAACTTTTAGTTCAAAAATATTATAAAACCGGTAAAAAAAAATACAATAAATAATTTAAACATTGTTTTTTTTTCTAAACACTGAAATATTTGTATTACTTTTTAATATAAAAATTGTAGATTTGTAATTTTAACACTATAGCTATTGACACTGGTGGTCATTGGGATAATAATTAATGACATTTGCGTTAACAACTATGCTTAATAATAATGGGATTTTTTAATCGGTCATAGATTATCAAATTGATAATATTGTTCCACAACTACAACAGCATTAAAAAATTATAGCTAAATTTCTAAAAACTATTATTATAAATAACATTGTATACGATTTTGTAACAATAACCAAAAAACATTATTTTATTTGGAACTAATCTGGCCATAGTTTATTATAGAAAATTTAGTTTTTATATAGTAAATCACTAAAGTAATAAAGTACATAAATTATTGTCTCAGTATGTCATGTATTCAAAAACAAATTAATAATTGAGAGGATGGATATTTTTCTTACTGGATTTCAAAACTGATAAGGTTATAATATGTACAATTTGTTAAAAATTAAAAATTATAATGTGTACAATATAATAGAATTCACTTAAATAGTAAATATTAAATTTAGATTAACTATTTGGGATATTCATCACAGTAGTTATGATTAATATTAATTATAATAATGGTTGAAAGAAAAATTGAATTACCTATTTTTTTCTTATATCAAATAAATATACAATAGTCAGTCTTGCATACAATCATTGAGTACATATTGACAATATAATATACTCAATGATACAATACATACAAATGTATAATGTGTAATAAATGTTTAACTTATAACAATAGCTTTTTAATAAAATAAAAAATTAGTGTTATCTTATAGGAAATGGACCATTTTTATCCAGAACAACCCCGACATCCACAGTGAACACATTCTACAATACGACCCTAAAAAAAAAATTAATAAATTAAAAGTATGTACAAGTAAGTATACATCAATACAATATTAGATACAATACAATGTTATACAATATTAGATCAAAAGAATAAAATAATATTTAAAACCCTTAACCATAAAAAAAAAAATTATATACCCTCCGTATACGACAGATTGACCTCAGTCTGTGGTTAGTGCTGAAGATGACAACATTGTTGCCGAAATACGTTGTACACACGGAGAGTATATAATTTTTCTATGGTTAAGGATTTTAAATATTATTTTATTACATACAACCATAAGTTGCTCAAGTTTTTTCTAGATCAAAAGAAGTTTAAAAAAAACATTTGAGGTCAGGTTGATGACTGCGCGGTTTGACTCAGAGTGCCCCATATAATATGTATATGTATATACTAGTGGTGGGACTATTCGAATAAAAAAAATACGAATATTCGAATATTTTATCATTTTCTTTGCAGGATTAATTAGATTAAAAAAAAAATAATTAAGAGACAACTTAGGTGTTCTTGATCTATTTTTAATAATTTTTTAACAAAATAAATATAATTATAACGCATTATTCTTTTGACAAAATAAATATTGTTACTTATTACAACAAATAAGATTTTAACAATTTATATAGATATAAAATTTGAATATTTGAATTATTGATTACTATTCAAATTATTTTCATACGAATAGTACTATTCAATTATTCGAATAATAGAAAAATTTGATTCGAAGTATCAGCTCTAGTATATACATAAGTATAGTACTCTAGTACTCTAGTATAGTACAATATGGGGGGGCCAACATTTTTTATCGTCTATCTCGTGACCATATGTTCCTTTAGATAAAAAAATACCTCGCACAGCACAATACACCTAGTTCACAGCGTGGTAGACGCTATTTCTACATCTCTAGAAAAAAACAATCCTGCCCTTGTGCTTTTTTGGATGTCTCACAAGCATTCGATTTTGTATGGCACGAAGGATTATTGTTTAAACTGAAAAAAATTCTCACTCCTCCCTTATTCCTTTTAATTAAATCATACCTTACAGACCACCACTTTCAAGTCCAGTATAACTCCTCTACATCAGATATTGCAAAAATTAAGACCGGTGTTCCTCATGGAGGAATCCTATCTCCCTTACTTTTTAATATTTACTCTTATGACCAGCCCATCCTTCAAACAAACTATCGTTGCTGATTATGCTGATGACAGTCATTATGTCTATTACCGAGGACCCATTAACTGCTTCATCTAACCTACAAATCTCAGGTCTGAGTGGTATAATAAATGGCGAATTAAAATAAATCAATTCACACTCAAACAATGTTACATTAACCCATTTACGGCCAAGGATGTATTTATATAATGGTGCGCGTACGCACCATTGGCTAGAAATGGGTTAAATAACATCCCAATTCCTACCTCAGATACAGTCAAGTACCTGGGAGTCAACTTGGATAAGCGACTGACCTGGAGTTATCATATTCAAACTAAAAGATTGACTCTCAGTGCTCAAATGCGTATACTTAGACCTTTTCTAATTAAAAACAACTTAACCAATTTCAAAACCAAAATTTTAAGCTACAAAACTCTTCTTAAACCTATTTGGACTTATGGACTACAACTCTGGGGTACAGCAAAAAAATCAAATTTAAATAAAAATTTTGGAACCCAACGTTTCAAAATGTAGCACTTTGACGAATATCCAATGCCCCGCCATATATCTCCAAGCTAACCCTTCATAATGATTTTGCTATAAAAACTATTATGGAAGAAGCACACATTTATTATTCACGCTTTCATAACCGACTACTAAATCATCCCAATCCTCTAATAAAAGATTTATCCATCCACACGCTCCCAAAAAATTCCTCACCACAGAATAAAAAGAAAGTGGTGTTCCGATCTTTTAATCACACATTAAGATAAAAAATAAATAAAGATAGAAAAAAAAATGAGAAAATAATTAAAGTAATCAAATTATAAGTGTTGCTAATGGGTGGTTAGGTTAAAAATTGATATGGAAATATTTTAATCTTATTTCTCATTTAATTATAATAAAATTGCTTGTATGACAAATTATTTTTAATATAAACCATAGTTGCTCTGGCGCAAGATTTTAATCCTGTTCTCACCAAACAAAAAGTATAAAATAGTACTTCCACCAGGTTGAAGAAATGCATAGAAAATAAATACTACAAGCAACAAAATCAACTATAAAAATATAATTTCAAATTGACGAAGATAAAAATAATTGTTTAATAAAATGTAGAATTTAATAAGAAATTTTTTTTTTTTTTCAAAATGTAATACTTGTTTTTTGTTTCATTTCCTAAAATAATTTTTTTTTGATCTGATTAATTTTTCAACGCAACATACATTAGCCATTGAAATAATGTAAAACTTTAAAAATTTTAATACACATCCTTACTTCTTCTAGTTTTGATTTTGGTACTCTGCATATACAGCTAGTACCAAAATTAGTATCTCTAGTTTGAATGCAACGTAGACAACATAAATTTTCATAACCTTGTTTTTTCCATTTGGCTATTAAATTTTGATCAGCAATTTTTTCTTGAAGACAAAAATCGTAGAGCTCTAAATTTAAATAAATAAGAAACAAAATTTAATATCAATGCATTACTAATTTTTATAACATATTACGAGGTAACAGGATAAAACAAATTTAAACTTTTGAAACTGTCTCTTGTGGTATGTGTGTAAGTAAAGGTATTATTTTTTAGAATAGGTTTTTTTGTATAAAATCTAACAAATAATTCATAAAAAAAAATGTTACCAAGAGATTCTTAGTTAAATGTTGTGAAATAAATTATAACCATTTAATGAAATTGGTAATTAGTAATTGTATGGTTTCATTAAATGTACAGTATAACTCTCATATGTTCATTTACAAACCTCTTGAAATAGCTTTACGACGATAAAAAAGATCATATATATATCTCGATTTCTGGTTATGAATTTTAAAAATTGGCCACAGTGCTTCAACTTTCCGTTTTCCTTCATGTGATTCGGTTTCAGCTAAATATTAACAATAATTTAAAAAAAATTAATAGGCATTACAAACCATTTTGATTATATTTACTTGAAAAATAAATTATAATAATATATAGAGTAGGCGAGATAGGAAATAATTATGAAAGATGAGGTAAAAGGCGGGACTTTTTGGAGGGTCCCCTAACTAACATGCTAAAAATCCCATCTACCACCCCTCTGCTAAATTTTTGAGGGGGATTAAACATTTCCAAAACCGGATTTTTCAAAATTCTTGAAAAATATTTTACTTAAGACAAAAATTTTCCAACAAAAGTTTTTCCTAGTACATATATGCTTCATATACATTGTTATTAAGTGCAAAAGTTAGGTTAGAAAGGCAGCTTGAAATTTACTATTTGAAAATTTAATAACATTTACACTGTTTGTTTACATTCTCAAGCGAAAACATATTTCTAGACTCTATTTAATGTTTTAGTAGTAATGTTGTATTTTTATAATATTTTTATGTACGCTATATATATATAAAACCCAAAAAACACAAGTATTTAATATAATAATAATTTATACTATGTGTATACTCTATTCAGAATAAGAACAGGCTTCGGCGGACGACTTGTGCGCATGGGCGTGGCTTCACTACGAGCAATGGACCTCAAACACTGCCGCCGGTGGGGCTACAGACGAAATGTAAAATGGGCGATGCCTGACCACCGCCTGACGAAAACTGGTCGGCCGCCGAAGCCTGTTCTTATTCTGAATAGAGTATAGTGTATGTTAGTAAATTTTCCATTTCGGGCTGCTTTTCTGACTTAACTTTTGAACTTACATAAAAATGTATAAGAAGCAAACTTATGGGAAACCTTACGTGAACCTCTGTGGCACTCATGCCATACTATTGCAACAGTTGATGACGTTTTTTATTCCTTTTAGGTGAGCTATTTTTTCTTCTATGGACGTGAGTTGTCAAAACTGAGCGTTTCCTCAAATTTTTTTTGTTCCATCGTTTTCAGCAATAAAATACAAATTGATTGAAAAAAAAACATTGAAATTCGGGCATGGAAGAGGTAAAGTCGGTTGGTTCCTAATGTTTTAACTGATAAATAATACAATTTGTAATTTTTTATTGAGTGATTTCCAAATCAACGAAATACAAAATAGTTTGGAGTAATATTTTACAATGCTGAGTTCCATTAATAAGTCAATATCCGTATAAAATAATGAAACTGAATATATTTTCCATACAACGGTTAGATTACCTTCTCTCATTTTTTGTTCCAATTCTTCTAAAGTAGGTTCGATAAGCTCCCAACCTTCGGGCGGTTGTTTTCGACTCCGTCGTATTTTTGGCATGATTAATTACAATAAGCATGAACACACTTATTTAAATAATAAAAACAATAAACACAGTTTTACAAAAAAAATTTAAACCTTAAGTATGTTGTGAAGAGGACAATCGACAAACTTAGTATGGAAATTGGAAAACGTGCCGTGAAGTATAAAAACAAATAATAACCGTAAAAATCATGATTACAATATCTTATCTATGTTATTATTTTTACTGATTATGATAGTCGGAATCGTCAATGTGACCAACGATTATTGTGGTCAGCTGTCCGAAAAAACAACAATAATATTTTGCTCGAGCTAAAAAATGATTTAATAGGAAAAACCGGTATAATTTGTAATATACATTTTTTTTTTTAGAATATATCCTAAAAATCCGGTTTGGCAATGATAATTGCTGTTGTAATCGCGTGCCGCCGTGAGCTCGGTCACGTTGTCGTCACACACAGGACGTTCAAAACAATTTGATCGCGGCGTGACGTATCCGTTGCCGATTGGTCGAGCATATTCCGCGGAATTTCTCTCTTCCCACCGTCCGCTCAACGGTTTTCCGGACACGTCATGCGGACCCGCCCGTCGTAGTCACTCGCTTCCCCACCATAGTCCATAATCGGTCAAAACTGCAACGGGCGGCCAGTTTGTTATTCCCGCCAGTCTCCTAGTCCCGACCAACCCCACCCGGTCCGTCGCTCCGCACGTTGTCCGCGCGCGCCTCATTGCTCAAGGCACAGCCGAGCATGTTTTCCAAGACCGTCTAGACGGATTCACCGCATTTATAACGAAAAAAACAATATTAATTCTAAAAATAGCGAAATCCTCTTTTTAAGTGATAACGAAGTGACAATTGTTCGCAACGGTTATAATAAAACTTGTGTATAATCCGACATTCGCGTTTTCATTTTCGCCGCCCACAGTTAACCCCACGTTTTTCGTTGGTTAGGTTGCAGTGTCCAAAGCCACCCCGTAGTACGGTACACTACCCTCGTGTGATTTTCCACGTGAATATTGTGTGTGAACCGATCAGTGAAAATTATATAATCTCTATTCTCTGCTGCGCGTTTAATATACGAATGTGGACCTGTGCGAACGTTGTGGAAATCGTATTTTGTAACCGTATGCTATCGTAATCTTTCAATTTATTTACTACTTTGACGTTTTGAACGTGAGTATAATGTACTTCAATAAACATACTTAGGTACTAAGACCCGTATTAGAATAAGTACCCATATGTTGAATTATCTTAACCATTTATAATTCTTTATGTTATTGTACCTAACAGTTAATGTTATATTTATAACCACCACACGGTGGAAAGTATAGGCCATGTCTAACAGATGTTGGCGACTGTATTCGGTATTCTAACATATCATGTACGTTTAAACAATCTACTTCGTTTATCAAATATCTTATTGATTTTGCTGTGTAGGTTCTTATTGATAAGTAATAAGATACAAATTCTCATTGATATTAATGTCATTTATTTTTTGCTTTAAACAAGTACCAAGGTTTTTATAGCTTTTTTTTACCAATATTTTCTCTGTAGTAAAAAATATTATTACATAATAAATGAAGAAATAGATGCTTATCGATAAAGATATAAGCTATTTTTATCATATTTTAAAATTGATTTTCAATGAAGAGAAATACATTACACGAACCATCTCAAATCTAATCTATACTAGTAACTAGTATCTTTTCTTTATTGTTACTTCTAAGAACATACTAAAACTATAATTGCATCTTATAACATAAATTGTTAAAATTATAAGTACATAATATTATGAAAGAAAATGTTTTCTAACTTGAGAGAACATGATATATATATGGTGACACATTTTAAACTTGCAATAAAAAAAGTTGATTTCTTACAAATTTTGTATGTAATCACGTTATATAACATAACTGCTACCTGTCGAGTTCACAATCCTAAGCATTATTTGGGAGCTCAAAATTATAAACTAGGTTGAATTGATTGTTGTCACTAGTCAAATTTACCTTTTAACCAGTAATTACTTCATATGCAGTTATTACTTATTTGCTGGTGTATTTAGTATTTATTATGTAGAAAATATCAACTTTTTATGATATAAGAGTTGTTTTATTATCAGTGTGTCTTAATAATATTTTTTTATTATTGTATACAAACAACACAATAGTGACATTACTCATCTTTATTGTTAGTTTAAATTATAACACTCTACATGTCTTATATGATAAATAGTTTTAAGAGCAATACTCTTAGTAAAAAATTTAATTCCTCTACTGATAATTGGCCCATTATTTTTCAACAAGTGAAAACATTTAAAAAAGTTTATTTTCTTTTAATATTGTTGTTGGTACCTGTATTATACTTTTAAGCTAGGTTGCCTAAAGAATTAATACAATTAATGGTTCATTAAAATTTATTGGACCAATCACGGGCTACTATATTATGTTTATGGAACCCTTAAATATCTATTAGTTCATGAAATATTTAGTGGACGTTTATGCAAAAATGGCACTAGTATAGTTGATTTTTTTTATCAATGATGAGTTAAAGTTTGTATAAATATTAAACATCTTGTAATTTTTTTTCTTATGCTTAGTCACTTGATCAGTTTTTTTATTTTTGCAGTTCTTAAAATTACATTAGTATGTCAATTATTTTATTAAACAAATAATACTCATTTTAGTACCCATTAGGACCTTTAGTAGTTATCTGCTCATATTATAACCTTGCATGAAGTATAAATAACTAGATATTTTCATACATTTGTGGCCTTGTATTACTGCTTGTATGGCACTGTGTAATTATTTCATGCAGGTATTCTATGATATCGTTAAAATGGTACTTCTCATCCATTTAAATTGTAAATTTATATTGATATGGTATACTATGTGAATGTTAAACCCAACCAAATTCAGTATTATACATGTTCTTATTTAATTTTATTCTCATTCAAGTTAAAAACTCAAACTGTATTTATCAGTTGAGAATAATTTGTTTTAGAATATCCTTGATTCAACAATCACTGTCTAGCTAGTATGTTCATCATAAAATGTACTAACCAATTTTTCAGCTTTTTTTTTTATCTATCCTAAAATAAGATTTAGAACAAAGTGTTTTACTTTTTGTAAGGAACGAAGCAATATTGCTTTACCATTTTTGGATGCATTTAGAACATTATGACAAGCCCTGCCCAGTCTTTTTTTTTTTTTTTTTGACAGCCCTGCCTGAGTGCTATTACGTGTTTATACATGGAAGAATATTGTAACAAAAACAGTAAAAAAATTGGCTAATCACTGAATATATTCTTATGGTCATATTGAAATTATTATAAATTGTAATATTTTGTTTAATAGGTTTTACATGTCATTAAGCAATATGATATTGCTTATAAAATATTTTAACTATTGTTGATAATCCAGTTTTTATATATTTTCTTGGCAATAATTTGACGCCTTTATCTAATGTTATAATATTTTATTGCAGATAATTAAACTTTAATAATATTTTAATTAAATATTTTTTTTTCTTGGCTGTGAGATCAATATATTTTTATTCTTAAAAACTGCTTATTTTTCTACTATGTTCATACCAATGACTACAAAAATATGATACTTACTCTTACTAAGAACTTTATCAGTAAACACACCTTGTTTTTAAATAGACATTATAAAAATAAACTGTATAGTGCTAATGATTATTCTTAATACTTGTTTGTAATAACTAAATATTACATTACATTTTATTAATTAATAAAAATAATTATATTTCACTAATCCATACTTTTTTTGCAGATCACTTACAAACATAAATAATTATGAATCTTCAACATCGATGGCTGGTTCAAAATAAACTACAACTGAAAAATAACTTTAAATTGACAAAAAAAAGTTTTGTATTTTTTTAAAAATATTAACGTTTTATTTTGCATAACTACTTGAGTAATTAAATTAAATTACAAAATGGTTGATACACGTACATTGACTGAATCAGCTGAAAAAGAGAAGCAAGAAATGGAACAATTAACAAAGCTTATGACGATGAAGTCTGCTCAAATAATTGTTCAATCAAGAATGGGTGAAAAGCTACATACAAATTGTTCCAATCAAAATAGTTCGGTAAGTAATTATTGTGGGTAATATTATTTTATCAATTTAGGCAAAATAAAATAAGTACATCTGTTTATGAGCACTGAGTAGCATTTAAGCAATTAACTAGTTTTTTTTATATAATATTGTGAATATATTTGTTTTGTTACAAAACTGACGAGGTATTTTTATATTAATTATTTAATTTCTTTTTTATTCCAGATTTTGGTTTAGAATTTTTTAAACTATGTTCTTTACAGATAAACCATTGAATTAAAATAACAAGTTTTAAAGATTATAAGTTGTTAATCATTGTTTTATGTAATACCACAGAAGTTCTATTAAAACAACTGGTACTTGATTTCAATACAAGATTTTAAGCAAACATTTCATCAAATTGGAAATGTGTATACAATTCTTTTTAAAAGCTTCTCCAAAATTTTCCTTATCTTATAAATTTAATATTTTAAAAATAAGTAACATTGATTAAGTGTTAATTAGATAAATTACATAATTTTGATACCTAACAACAGTGTATTCGTGTTTAAATCTTGTTTTCGTTATAACTTGTCAAACTAGATGTCCAAGACCTTGAAACAAGTTATGTGGTAGGATGTAATTCTAAAATATTTCTACTAATTTGTTTGTATTTTTTTTTTTTTTTTTTTAAGTAAAAAATCTTTTTTGCCTTTATTGTTCTAAAGATTTTTGGAACTAATGTTCCATCTTTGGTAACTAATTTATGCACACTATTAAATTCTCTAATCAGATTTTGGATAGTAAATATGTTTACACTAATATAATGTTTATGTATTGTTTTTATTTTGTATCTTAAAAGTCTCAAAACAAAATTAAATAAGTTAATTGTTAGATTAAATAGTAAGTATTACAATACAATTATCTAGATTGCTTTTTATTAGATATTAGAATAAATTACTTTTTCTAGAATCCATTGACTTTGTCTGTTTATTAGTATAAAACATTTACTCTTTGTACTTTGTACCACTTATGATAATTCGTAATTAGTATGGTATATTGTATTGTTAAAAATAGTTTTTTAAATTCTGCTAAAGTTAAATAATAACATCTGCTTTGTAAACAATTTCAACATTTCAAATCCTTATTCAATACCAGTTTATTAACTAAAATTATATTTAAAATATTTATTCTTTTTTATTTAATACATTAACAACAAATTAGCCTTATACCAAACATTTATACATCTAATGTTTTCATTTTTCATTATGCTCAATGTTAACTTTTTTACCAAACTATGTAAGTTATTTAATTGTTGCCCTCAGAGTTCCATTTTTACAAGCTTTTCTTTAACTCGCTAACACATACGTATGTACATACAAACGTTTTTATGGTTATTTTTAAAATCTTGCAAAATTAATTGAACCCACTTCCTGATGTCGTAGAGGGCTGAAACTTGGCACAGACACTCATTAGATTTTTACAATTTTTCATGCGTATATAAACCATTAAACAAAAGGTTACGAAAATCCAATGTTGTTCAAATGAAAACTTTGACTGCTCACCGGTCTAGTAAATATTGTACTACAGTAATACAATTTTGTTAACACTTTTTCATCGTATAGAAGAAAACACTAGGAGCATAACTTTTTGACCAAACCCAAAATAACTGACACCCTCTAATAATGAGACTAGACACATTGAACACTACTTCACCTGATTATTATAATCAACTCCACAATAGCATTTACTAGAGAGCTGGAGTTTTCTTTAAATTGGTTGTACAATATACACACATCAATTGTACTGCACATTTTAAAAACTGTTTAATATATGTAAATTAAAAATTACAAATCACCATGTAGCTTAACATTATATATGTATTTAGTTAAAAAGAATTCTTCTTGTATTTTTCAGATGAATGTTGCTATTAAAGAACTTCCTGATGTGATTTCTGAAACAAAATTAGTACTAAGTAATGGCCTCTGTGATTCTGTACCATTATGTGTAGAGATATTTTTAAAGACAGTCGATGGAGATACAATGACGTTAGAAACATGGAGCATTGGACTGTTATCAGAAAGTGCATTTGATCCTTTTTGTTCTCGACATTTAGTTTATACTTTATATAACCGTTTGGGAGTGTTACTGAAATCATTAGTATCAGTTACTCGAGTAATACCAGCCTACCGATACTCCAGGCAACAATCTCATGACTCGTATCAAATTCATCATCGAATTTATGCCGGAGAACCTCAAGTACATACACTTGGTAAGTTAACTTTATTGTCTTAAATTTATAATTTGTATGCACCATATTGTATATCTAAATATTCTAGAGGGTATCACCTTACCTGAGTCGTTTTTCACCGCAATACCTTTTAGATTATAAAAATAAAGCCAAAAATATAGTATAATTTAAATTAAAAAATTGCCCATAGTTGCGACTTCACTAAGAAATTCTGAAGGAAATTCAATATTTATCAATTCATTTATGACATACTTGATGAGACATTCAGTTTTTATTATTTAACTTAATGCATACAATAATTTCATTGCATAATTTTGTTTAAAGCTATTACTCAAATGTCAATATACTGGTACAAAAGGAATTAGAAAAGAAATTTAAATCCCTCAAACTTTCCCTATTCTGGAGGATGCTTTCTCCCTCTTTTTCCATGTTGTATACACAAATGTCTAGTATTTCATAAAAAAAAAAAAAATAATAAAAATAAAAATGTAATAAAGAATAAAAAAAAAGTGGAAAAGTCATTCCTTAGACAAAATTCTGAAGAATTCAATTCTCTTTCAGAATCCTTATTTTTACGTATACTGATACATTAGAACAAAAAACATTTAAATTACCATGTGTGTTAAACTAAATGAACAGAGTTAGAAAGTACCGCCTCCCAGTCCTCCCAGAATTTTATCGCTTCCCGTAGAAATAGTCATAACATAAATGTAATTCAACTTACATTGATTATAAAGTTTTTAAGTATTAATGCACGTATTTGAATACATTCAGATATTTGCTCTTATTTTAGACCCATTTATAGATCTAGCCATTTACTTAGCTATATCAAAGATAGCCAAAGTATATTTGTATTTATTTTTATTAACAGCTAGTGTCCTTAATTTTGATTTAATAGCTGTTAACTTATAATTGCATAAGATACGTTTCTTTCAAACAATGTTCCTTGTTGGCACACCAAACATATAATATTCTTAAAGATTTTTAAATTTGTTAATGTTCGTAAGCAGCGTCAATATCACAAAAACATTAGTAATGTAGATCTCTTATTAAAACTTGAAAACGAAATCAGTGAATAAAATTATTATTCTTGGTTATTAGGGTTATTAAGTGTAATAAGTGAAGTGTAATTAGACCGTAAGTAACATTAAAATAAGGTAGTATTGACTTTAAAAGTTATAGTTTATAGTTAGCTTTATCGATTCGGTCATTGTTTTCAGAAAAATTAGTTTTGGTTTAACAAACACTTTATAATTTGTCATAAGTCGTCATTTGAAAAATTAATAAAAGTATTAGAAACCCCAGAAGACTTTAAAGAAAAGTGGCAAACTACCAAATGAAGTAGTAGTAGATATTCTACAAAAATAATTTATACATTAAAAACAATTCAGACCTAAGACCTAAAACTATGCCTGAAAAATAAAAATAAAAAAGTTTTTAAGGGAAGGTCAACTTCTGATATTTTTTTGGTTTGTGACTGTTTATTGACTATGTCTAAAGAATTTTGGAACTAATTCGACTGTTTTTAAAAACGTTATTAAAAGTTGTAAACTTTAGTTGAAAAATAGAAAATTGTTGGTGTTTTTTCGATTTCAAAGTTTAGCCTAATTTCTGATCTATAGAATTATTACATATAGGAATCGATTTAGAGTTCTGAAAATATCGTGTATCCAGACACAATAAAAACAGAAGATTATATTGTGTTACAATAAAATTATCGTCCTGTATTTATATATTATTCGCCAGAAAAACTGCCACATGTGGAGCCCACTGTTTTCAAATAATACAATGATTATTACTGATGTTTTTTAGTATTGTTTTTTATTTGATTTACGCGAGTGTTATCGTTTAATCATCCTATTAGTCCATTTTTATTATTTATAATAAAAAAACCTGAGTCATCTGTTGTTGTGCAGTCCAATGATAAATAAAATCTAAAAAAGCTGTTGCTTTCCCATTATATGTACTGCAATTGTATTGTACTATGCTTATGAAATATGACGTATTTCATCTATTTGTTAATGTTTTGCGACACATATGCGGTTTACTAGTTGGTTTTTACATTTAAATAATCGCAAATACTTTAAACCGGAACTTTTAGTAACGTCTCTTTTCCTTAACATCTAAAATATTTTTAGATAATTAGAATAATTATTTAATTGTTTAAAAAACAAACCGGTCCTAGCTGTTATTTTAATTTGATTTGAAACAAAAATACAAAAGAAAAATAATATTCTTTTCATCTAATTTCCTTTAACAAAATATGGGTAAGGTCGAGGCGGTCGTAATTTTGTAGAAATTGTGATAAACGGTAAAAATTATTCTTATGTTTTAATGAATTATGACTGATGACAATATTTTTGATTTCATAAATCGTGTTGTTAATTCTTTAATAAAAGAAAAAATATACTTATAAGAGGCATCCCTTCGGTCTAATTTGCAGACCTTTAAATCTAAAAATTATCCCTAAAAAGAAGAAACTATTAAAATGAGTTACTGCCAATTTAAGCTTTAATAGTACATATAAACCCCGCGTAATGTGGGTTTTTCGTACTTGTTTGACTGTTGATCTATATTAAGGTGACATCTAAAAACATTGGAATTACATTTTTAAGAATATTTTTTTTTAGACGTTCCGTATTTTGAAGTTGATAAGTGTTTCGTACCTAATCGATATAGTTGAAGAGGTATAAACTTTTTTTCAAACGTTAAAGGATAAACTTTTTTTTCAAATGTTTTTCTATAAAAAGTACTCGAGAGAACGATTTGTGATAGACATAAAAACAAGTAGAAAGACACATTATTGTAAAAACCCGCGACATAAAAAACGACAAAATGTCCCGTCTATATCATGACAAATTCACACATGACATTATGTTTGAATTATACTAGGTGTTGTATGCTACGTGTTTTTAGTGTAATGTGCAATGACGACATTTTCTACTACAAGAAAAAGTTCGTTGACACGCATGAATAGTATTATGTACACCTGGTCCGGTTAGTGAGAAAATTATCTGGTATCAGAATTGACCATATTCATATGTTTTTGTCCGAGCTTACCGCGCAATGAAGTTCAGTTTAACTGCAGTACAATATTTAATGTTTTATGTACGGCACGACAATGTTATAACTAAGGAAAACTTTTGTAAGTTACAATAATGACTCAATAACTACTGTTTTCATTTATTTTATTATGAATTATACATAAAATAATAATATTCGTTTGCCGATACAATTGTATACGGTTTCTTTTATTTTTTATGGAATTTTGTGGTAATTTTATTTAATGGTCATTAAACGTTCAACTACTTATTGATTTTCATGATAAACAGGAACATGTATTGAACCGAGTGTCCAAGTATCATATTATTAATATTACTATATTTTAAGTTTTAAACTCTTTTTTTTCGAAAACAATTTTATATACATAAGCAATTTGCAATTTTGGTGGTCGGGTACATAAACAAATAATGTTGACGTATATTAGTAAAAGTTAAATAATTAAGTTCAATGCAATCGTTAATTTTGTTTTTTTGCAGACAGAAACCGGTTTTTTGATTTATTAATTTGTTAGGTTTTACGTGAGAAAGGCGATCGTATTTGGCTAGTACTTGGTTTTTTTTTTGTCAATACCTATTTATCATTGCTAAAGATTATAACAACTTCTAAACTATTTTTATTCTATACTTTATATTAAAAATATTTTTAAATGTAAGTAACCTTAGTGTTTTAAAACAATGTACATTGTACACTAGTGATAGAAATTATTATAATATTCGAGACACAAATAATAACCCTAATATACATCCATTGCCAAGACCAGTTCTGAATACACTAAAGAAACTAGTATATAAAAAACTGTTTGAAATACATTTTAGAAAATTAATTAAACTTGCAAAACGTCGGTCATTCACTACTTGGAAATGTTTTTAAAAATAACTAAATATCAAAAAAAAAATAATGATATGATAATCTATATAAAATATATATTTTTAAATTCATCATATATATTAATATGGAAAAAGTAGAGAAAATTAATTATATGTAATTAGTGATAATCTAAGGTCAACGAAAAAATAAATGTGTTTTGATTTTTGTTCCAAAAAAAAAAAAGTAAAATTAAGTTGTACCGTGGAATTTTATATTCATTGTAGATATTCTACAATGCTCGATTGTGTAAGATTATAAATTTAAAATCGATAATTACTAATTAACAATATATAATCGTTTATAAAGTTTCTAACGGATAATTGTGGTAATAATTGTTTTATCCATGGATAAAAATGATTGCGATATACAACTTTTTACCTTGACCAACATTGTATTTAATCGGGAATAACTACTGAAATTGCCACGGATTTTTTTATCTATCGAGATCAGTTAAACGGGCGTTGATATTTATTTCATAATTGATAATTAATTAAAGTCTCCCCGTTAATATAATTATATTATTCACTGTACGATGTGTTATTTTAGACGAGTGCCTGGAATTAGTTTAGCTGGTATAAAAATGTGTATTGTGTGAATACAAGATAGTTGGAACTGCATAATTCCCCTCTCTTTTTCTTGTTAAAGTCAAGTTCACTACGTCATCGATCTCAACGTAAGACCACTAATAGTAGTGGTAGTTCCCAAACGTGCACCATATACCTAAGTAGTAATATAATAACAAAACAGGCTGTGAATGTTACACGAACAAAAGTAGCAGGCCAGCACTAAACAATACATTCCGTGCATTCCACTATCGTAAATCATATATAACATAAAAAGTGCAGTAACAATGATTTGTTTGCATATGTGACACAATTGTATTGAGTTATGTTTGTTTAAATTTGAATCACATTCGTTTTATAATTCCTATTATATGGTTATAACTTTTGATTATTTTCCGCATAGTGAATAGTCTATAAAATTGATAAAATAGTCATTATTTTTTTTTTTAATTGCAAATTCCGATTACTAATTAAAATAATATACATTACTTAGAAAACGTAACGTCATAGTTTTTTATTAGAGTTGTC